TGGGTTTGCGTTAGTGGTTGCGTTTTGATTTGGTTCGTTTTTGTTCTTTCTTTTTTCGTTTTTGTTTGTGTTTTTTTTTTGTGGGTTTGTATTTGTGTTTTTGGTTGGTTTTGCGTTTGAATTTGGTTTGTTTTCGTTTGCTTTTTCGTTGTTTTTTTGTTGTTGTTGGTATTGGTGTTTGTTGTTGGGTTTGTTGTTAGGTTTTTGTTTTCGTTTGCTTTTTTGTTTGTTTTTTTCTTTGTGTTTGTATTGGTGTTTGTGGTTGTGATTGGGTTTGTTGTTAGGTTTTTGTTTTCGTTTGTATTTGTAATTGTGTTAGCGTTATGTTTGCGTTTTGTTGTTTTGGTTTTGGTTGGTTGTGGTTTGGGTGGGCAATGCCGGGTTTATGATGATTACTAAACACACAGGTAATGGTCTTTAACAGGAAGGTTTTTCACAGAAGCCAGAGCAGGGCCTGGCAGGGACGGCTAGTATATATATATATGGTGCCTTTTTCTCGATTCGCCGCTCCCCCTAACCCGAAAACCTGTACACTCCTCTGAGTTAAAGAAATCTACTAGACAACAGGTTCTCAATGTACAGGTCAGGTCCGCCAGTGGAGGGGGGGTGGGGGGTCGCATGTTTTATGTGGGAGGGGGGGGGGGGTCGTCAACTTGTAGACTAAACCAACAAATGTATGTTTAGCTGTATGGGGGTAGCGGGTCATTGGCTTTGACTTTTTTTTTACTTTCTCGTATATACGAAGTATAGAGAAAGTATTGCAATCGTGCAAAAAAATCTCTTGAAATTTTAACACTTTTCACCGTATTACACCTCAGTCCTTCATCACATCCGAAGTACAGAGGACTTATTTTAATCGGGCAAAAATTATCAATCCAGATTTATCAAAATTAAGAGGTTTTATGCGTAATCCATTCTGAAAAACTGGGCTTTGCAATTATCCTGTCCGTATGTCTTTGTGTCTGTCTGTGTGTCTCTGTGTGTGTGTGTGTAATCACGATAACTTAAGTACCGTTACAGCCAGGTTGATGAAATTTCATATATAAGTATTTTATCAAAATCGTAGATCCGTATCAACTTTTGAGCGATTTCCGATAACCGGAAGTGGTACTTTTTCTACTTTGAATTTTTCAAAGCCTATAATTTGAGTACTATTTCAGATAGATACATGAAATTTCACATGTGAGTAAAAGATCTAATTTTCTACCTTCTGTTAAATTTTGAGTAATTTCCGTTCACCGGAAGTAGTAATTTACGCTACTTCCGATTTCTCAAAAAACTAATGTAAATTTTTAAAATACGAATAATATTGCGCACTATTATGCACTTTTTATTTGGCGTTCACTTGGTGTGCAATTCTTTTGTCTACGAGATTTTATTCTATTTTTAAAACTTTAAGTATTTAAAATGCATTAAAAATCATGTCTATAGCCCGAGTTCCCATCCCCTGTTGTTTTATATAAGAATATTCGAGAAAGTTTAGGGGAGATCACTCCCGGTTTATTTAAAAGGGGGGGGGGGGGCGCCACTGGAAAAAATTTGGGAACCTGTGTAGGCTACTGTGATTATTTAAATTAATGAAACGTTTTGCTTAGTTTTCTATTCTAAAAGTAAAGCAAGCGGCATGAACTAGCATCACATTTAACAAATTCCTCTCTGCTACAGAGGTCACTCTAGTGACAAAAGTGGCAGGCCGGGCTGCCTTGACACGCCTGATAGAATGGTATGAAGCAGACGACACACCTACCCTGTTGGTCAGCGGCTGCCTCCACCTTCATGGCCTCGATCAGATGCTTCCATTCGTTCGTGATGCGCGCGTTGCTGTGGGTGAAGAAGACGACATACACGGCCACAGCCGAGGTGCCCAGCAGAACCAGGTACAGCATCTTCTTCAAACATTTGCGCGCCATCTTTAAGTCAGGAAGGCGACGAGATCCTTCAACCAAAACTGGATCTGCTGACAACATATGCTACCTGCTCACGTGCGGACTTCACTTTGATGATCTGTAGATCATGTTGTCACGTTGATGCCTGTAGAATGTTGTCACGTTGATGCCTGTACAATGTTGTCACGTTGATGCCTGTAGAATGTTGTCACGTTGATGCCTGTAGAATGTTGTCACGTTGATGCCTGTAGAATGTTGTCACGTAGATGCCTGTAGAATGTTGTCACGTTGATGCCTGTAGAATTTTGTCACGTTGATGCCTGTAGAATGTTGTCACGTTGATGCCTGTAGAATGTTGTCACGTTGATGCCTGTAGAATGTTGTCACGTTGATGCCTGTAGAATGTTGTCACGTTGATGCCTGTAGAATGTTGTCACGTTGATGCCTGTAGAATGTTGTCACGTAGATGCCTGTAGAATGTTGTCACGTTGATGCCTGTAGAATGTTGTCACGTTGATGCCTGTAGAATGTTGTCACGTAGATGCCTGTAGAATGTTGTCACGTTGATGCCTGTAGTGGTGTGTAGACTAGAGTGTCTGGTTATCCTAGAGGTCCGCGTCTAGCTACCATGAACACGTCAAGTAACACATATGAAGCGAATCAAAATGTCGCACATGTTGCTGCTGGTCAATACATTTAACGATTTGATAATCCTATGGGATTAGCCCCCACCTAACCGCCTACATGGCTTAGATATAGCTTAAGAATTCAAAGATTAAAATAACTTTTGATTTCTAATTTGGTTCAGTTTGGAGGTCGTCGTCAATAAATGACGTCACACTTGTTGGCAATTTTTATCTCCCATATTAACCCTGTATATTGTCACAACCCCCCCCCCCCCACTATTGTAACACTTTAGTCTTCCGACGTTATTGTTGCAGCCTGTACACAATACAAACACAATCAGCCTGTACACAATACAAACACAATCAGCCTGTACACAATACAAACACAATCAGCCTGTACACAATACAAACACACACTAGAAAAGTTTCAGTTGTGACCTATTCCTGCCCTCATCAACGTCAGCTGATTCACGAGTCTCTTCACGTGAGATGAGTTGAAAGTTTTGATGTACTGTCACAGATGAGTTGAAAGTTTTGATGTACTGTCACAGATGAGTTGAAAGTTTTGATGTACTGTCACAGATGAGTTGAAAGTTTTGATGTACTGTCACAGATGAGTTGAAAGTTTTGATGTACTGTCAAGATCAGGCTACCAGTGTAAGAAACTAGTACACACTATGTAAAGCATGAACCAACCAGCATTCGACTAAACCTATCACATACGAGTGTAGAGAGTTAACCAAGCACCCAGTCTTTTAACTTTTAACACAACGTGACACCCCTCTCCATATGACCCCCCCCCCCCCCCCAAATAAAAAGAGAGTAGGTGAATTAAAGTGACAGAAAGAATTTAGCAGTGTAGAGGGTAGGTGAATTAAAGTGACAGAAAGAATTCAGCAGTGTAGAGGGTAGGTGAATTAAAGTGACAGAAAGAATTTAGCAGTGTTGAGAGTAAGTGAATTAAAGTGACAGAAAGAATTTAGCAGTGTAGAGGGTAAGTGAATTAAAGTGACAGAAAGAATTTAGCAGTGTAGAGGGTAGGTGAATTAAAGTGACAGAAAGAATTTAGCAGTGTAGAGAGTAAGTGAATTAAAGTGACAGAAAGAATTTAGCAGTGTAGAGGGTAAGTGAATTAAAGTGACAGAAAGAATTTAGCAGTGTAGAGGGTAGGTGAATTAAAGTGACAGAAAGAATTTAGCAGTGTAGAGGGTAGGTGAATTAAAGTGACAGAAAGAATTTAGCAGTGTAGAGGGTAGGTGAATTAAAGTGACAGAAAGAATTTAGCAGTGTAGAGGGTAGGTGAATTAAAGTGACAGAAAGAATTTAGCAGTGTAGAGGGTAGGTGAATTAAAGTGACAGAAAGAATTTAGCAGTGTAGAGGGTAGGTGAATTAAAGTGACAGAAAGAATTTAGAAGTGTATGTGAATTAAGTAAAGCTGCTTCTTTATCCTGCATCTCCAGTAAGCTCAACTTGGGTGATTGCCAAAGACTGTACACTTTATGAAACCAGTTTCTTTATACACATTCTATTTAATTTATACAATTTAAAAAAAAAAAAACTATACACGCATTTTTCTTTTTAAAAATAGGTAACTAAAACAGGTGGGGTAGTCATTTGGGAACAGCCTGGAACCATTTGATGGCATTCCAATGAATTCCATGTCACTTCAGTGGAATATACTGCTCGGACTCAACGTTTGAGGGGGGGGGGGGGTCGGACAATGTTAAAAGTATATATTTTTCTAAATAAATTTAATTTCGTTCGGGGAGGGAGGCAGTAACCTTTCCTCGGGGGGGGGGGGGGGGTGGGTGGCTCCCCCCCCCCCCTAGAAGAGATGCCTGGAAGAAACTCTGGAGGTGACCCACAGCCGAATATAATTTTTTTTTTTAAGCTTACAATGTTTTCGTGCATTTTTTGCCTTGATGTTTGTTTTATATTTTAAATTACATATATATATATAATATAAAGTTTAATTCTGTATATATGTTTCTTTGTAAAATGTTTGTCGTGGATTACAAAGGAATATAAGAAAAAACGAAAAAAAAATCGATACTTCTATGGATTCAAGTGTTAGGTTACTAAAGTGCTCATGGTCTAAATTTATGATTTCAAAAATTAATATTAAAAGTCTTTAAAAACAATTTTTATTTTATATACTCAGAACAATAATTTTCAATTATGAATATTACATAAAATTAAAAAAAAAGTGTATCAACGTTTATAAAATTTCTAAAATTGTGTCTGGAATGTATGTGCATTTTGTCCTTTAGCTCTCATTACGTCCCTTGATTTGGAAACCAATTACTTCCCTTTAAAAAAAAAACCCATTAAATTGGGGGGAGAAAGAATTTACTTTTTATTTGTTTTGGTGATAGGAAAAAAAAAATTAGCGGGGATTGATCAAGTGCAATGTTATTGGTATTTTAAATACTGCCTTTTATTTATTCCATGCACTGAACGTACTGTTTTCTTCTGATTATTTTTAATCAATAACAGTTAATAAGCCAGGTCCTTCATGTCCTAAATGTTTATCTAAGAATAATACTTGAAATGTCGCCCATCTAACAAACTGATTAGGCATTCATTGTCTTTACAGACAAGACTTAAAACGGCTTTTTTGTGTGCAATATTACAACTTTCTCCATACATGAACATCCACAACACAAACTGTAGCGTGAGCAGCAGACATCCAAGTTTGAATGACTTCCTGTTGCTCTCCTCTGACAGGACCTCGAAAGTGTCAAGTGAAGAGGATCGTTCTCTTTCTCCTCTAAACACCCGCTGTCGCCGGCAAATTTCTTTTGGAAAAACAAATCAAGTCCATTGCGCTAGAGGCCGCTAGATGTGCAAACGACTTTCTTCGTAGCAGTGGTTAAGTTTACTTGTTTTTGCTTTTAGAAGAAATGCTATAGTCAGCATTATCTCCATTGCGTAAGTTTTATAAAAGACTTTTGGAAAAGGTACTTGCGACCATCCCAAATACGACACTATTGATGTTGACGTACAAAGGCGCTTTGTTTTACTTTTCAAGTTCCTTTCCCAGCGCCCCCCCCCCCCCCCCCCCCCCCCAATGAGTACAGGATACAAATGCATTGTTTGTGAACTACCAAACCGTCCATTCACCATTTCTGCACACGGTGTCCACCTAAAAAATGTCAGGCAGAAATGTCCACTTTCTGTTACCTGGGCCATGTGAGAGAGCTACGAATAAGATCTCGTTTTAACATTTCGTCCAGCTAACTCTAGTTATCGGTTAAAAAGAAAATAGAGGAAGTACAACCCTAACCACTTCCGGTTACCGGAAATCAGTAAAATGTTGTCAGCTATCTACGAATGGGATCTAAGAATAATACTTGTAATGTCGCCCATCTAACAAACTGATTAGGCACTCATTGTCTTTACAGACAAGACTTAAAACGGCTTTTTTGTGTGCAATATTACAACTTTCTCCATACTCTGTATAAGAGAAAGTAAAAATGGAGAAAAAATGAAAGACATTTTAAAATATTCAGTTGTAATCTATTTACAAAAATGCTGAACACATCTCACATACTAAATACCAACAACTTTATAAAGCATTCACTGAATGTGTCTAAATCCAAACTAGTCTGGTTGCTCCTAATGTCCCACTGATAGGCAAACGCACAGTATGAAGTGGACCACTTGCAGTAGACCACACCATCCTCCCCTACAGACACCACACCATCCTCCCCTACAGACACCACACCACCCTCCCCTACAGACACCACACCATCTTACCCTACAGACAACACACCATCCTACCCTACAGACACCACACCATCTTACCCTACAGACAACACACCATCCTACCCTACAGACACCACACCATCCTACCCTACAGACACCATTAACAGACACCACACCACCCTCCCCTACAGACACCACACCACCCTCCCCTACAGACACCACACCATCTTACCCTACAGACAACACACCATCCTACCCTACAGACACCACACCATCCTACCCTACAGACACCACACCATCCTCCCCTACAGACACCACACCATCCTCCCCTACAGACACCACCATCCTCCCCTACAGACACCATTAACAGACACCACACCATCCTACCCTACAGACACCACACCATCCTCCCCTACAGACACCACACCATCCTCCCCTACAGACACCACACCATCCTCCCCTACAGACACCACACCATCCTCCCCTACAGACACCACACCATCCTCCCCTACAGACACCACCATCCTCCCCTACAGACACCACACCATCCTCCCCTACAGACACCACACCATCCTCCCCTACAGACACCACACCATCCTCCCCTACAGACACCACACCATCCTCCCCTACAGACACCACACCATCCTCCCCTACAGACACCACACCATCCTACCCTACAGACACCACACCATCTTACCCTACAGACACCACACCATCCTCCCCTACAGACACCACACCATCCTCCCCTACAGCACACCATCCTCCCCTACAGACACCACACCATCCTCCCCTACAGACACCACACCATCCTCCCCTACAGACACCACACCATCCTCCCCTACAGACACCACACCATCCTCCCCTACAGACACCACACCATCCTACCCTACAGACACCACCATCCTCCCCTACAGACACCACACCATCCTCCCCTACAGACACCACACCATCCTCCCCTACAGACACCACACCATCCTCCCCTACAGACACCACACCATCCTACCCTACAGACACCACCATCCTCCCCTACAGACACCACACCATCCTCCCCTACAGACACCACACCATCCTCCCCTACAGACACCACACCATCCTCCCCTACAGACACCACACCATCCTACCCTACAGACACCACCATCCTCCCCTACAGACACCACACCATCCTCCCCTACAGACACCATTAACAGACACCACACCATCCTCCCCTACAGACACCACACCATCCTCCCCTACAGACACCACCATCCTCCCCTACAGACACCACACCATCCTCCCCTACAGAAACCACACCATCCTCCCCTACAGACACCACACCATCCTACCCTACAGACACCACACCATCCTACCCTACAGACACCACACCATCCTCCCCTACAGACACCACACCATCCTACCCTACAGACACCACACCATCCTCCCCTACAGACACCATTAACAGACACCAACCATCCTTAGTATGGACAACACCAGATCATTTCTTGATTACATTTTTATACAGGGCAATCAGATTTAATGACCTAGCCCCCCCCCCCTCCCCTAGGTAGCTACACATGATCCCCCACACAGCACACTACACACACACCCACACAAAAATAAAAGGTTCTCACAGCAGTCAGATGACGCAGATTTTTTTCTGCTAACATACACAAAGTCATACACAGTCACACACAAAGTCATACACAAAGTCATACACAAAGTTATGACATAAACAAAGTCAAACACATGATATAGACAAGGTCATAACATACACAATTTCATGACACACACAAAGACATGACAAAAACTTATAACAATAAAACAAATTAATAGTATAAGCCAGGGGTCGGCAACCTTTCAAGCAGGAGAGCCAAAAGTTGCAATTTTCAAAATTTCCCAATTTCAATATTTTGGTATTTGATCAGGATTAGATATATACATTTGTTTTTTTTATTTGAAATAAATAGCTTTAAATATGAAAGAATATTTATACTTTAAAAAATATACTAATATTTCTCACAAAACATATTAAAGTATTTTAGTTAGCTCTACTATGATAAAATCAGTAAACAAATAATTTAACTATACGGCTATCCCAATCCACTTTAGACGCCAGTAACTTTTTTTCTTTCTTTACGGATATCACCAGCTCAGAAGGTGTCTGCCATTAGCCAGGCAGGCCTCAACACGGCTTGGGTGTCGGTCGCTTCTGTCTTTGGTTCTCACCGGGCTTATCTTCCTACCCACTGAACGCAGGGTAGACTCGTACCCCACCGGCTCAACTGTAGGAAGCTAATAACTTTAAAAATAACACGTCACTCATGTCAAATTAATGTATGCTGACTGATAGAGAAATGCATTCTGAAAAAAAAAATAATATTCCCCATTTAACGATATTCGAAAAAGTCGGCAGTGGCAAGAATGGAACCGGCTACAGCACGGCTTTGGGTCAGGTGCCCCAGCGGCTGTCAGCTGTCTGTATACTTTCTACCTCACCTTCTCTCATTGTTCTCTGATGAGTATTTTTATCCTGTTTAACGTTGTTTTTCTTTACATTTTAATGAGTTTTGAAAATAATATAAAATAATAATTAATATTTGTGCATGGAACTGGAGAGCCGCTTCTTGACATCAAAAGAGCCTCATGCGACGCAGGTTGCCAACCCCTGGTATAAACTTATGACATACACATAATCATGACATAAACTTATAATGGCCAGAAAAAGTACCAAATAAAGACCTCTGGCAGAACAAAACAACAGCCCAGAGATACGGACATCATACCCTGAGACGGGTAGCAGATAATATCACATAAACTTATGACATTTACACATTTGTTACATACACAAATTCATGACATAAACTTATGAAACACAAAGTAATGGCATACATTAATTAGGCAGTTATAGATGGGGGTGGGTTTAAAAAATCCTTATATAACATTTAAATACACATATAAAAAATATATATATGTATCCTATTAATCTAGTTATAATTATGTATGTTTTGTATTTATTTTATCAAGTTTGTAGCTTTAGTATTAGGACTAACAGCAGTCATATGTACTTTTATCCCACCCCCATTGTTTATAATAATACAAACTAATGCATGCGTTTATATATATATATATATATATATATATATATATATATATATATATATATATATATATATATAAATATATATATATATATATGAAAAATTACCCCAAAAAAGCCACTGATATATTGATGTATAAATGTTGTGGGTTCAAACCTATCCACCCCCCCCCCCCCCCTCACCACTGGTGGAGAAAATGTTGCCAGACTGTGTAATATCTATCAAGCTGAGAAAATCTCTGGTTAGATAAAGTGACCAATGGGTGGCTGGGTGGTGTCAGTGAGCCTCCCCACCCCCCCAATGGTCCACTCCCACTCAGCTTTTATTTCAAACTGAGCAGAAAAGTGGTGGGGTCCTCCAGGTAGGACTTCCATAGGTTGGAGAACCTGGCTATAGTGGCGCCATCTATCACACGATGGTCTGCGCTCCAGCTGACATTCAGCACGTGAACTTTCTTCAACTGGCCCTCTTCATCAAAACGTGGCAGCACCTGGCCAATGGATGACAGGCTGTATGACAGGTGTCAGGTGTGATGTAGGTGTGATGGTAGTTGTCAGGTGTGATGGTAGGTGTCAGGTGTGATGGTAGGTGTCAGGTGTGATGGTAGGTGTCAGGTGAGATGGTAGTTGTCAGATGTGATGGTAGGTGTCAGGTGTAATGGTAGGTGTCAGGTGTGATGGTAGGTGTCAGGTGTAATGGTAGGTGTCAGGTGTGATGGTAGGTGTGATGGTAGGTGTGATGATAGGTGTCAGGTGTGATGGTAGGTGTGATGGTAGTTGTCAGGTGAGATGGTAGTTGTCAGGTGAGATGGTAGGTGTGATGGTAGGTGTGATGGTAGGTGTGATGATAGGTGTCAGGTGAGATGGTAGGTGTGATGGTAGTTGTCAGGTGTGATGGTAGGTGTGATGGTAGGTGTGATGGTAGGTGTGATGATAGGTGTCAGGTGTGATGGTAGGTGTGATGGTAGGTGTGATGATAGGTGTCAGGTGAGATGGTAGGTGTGATGGTAGTTGTCAGGTGTGATGGTAGGTGTGATGGTAGGTGTGATGGTAGGTGTGATGATAGGTGTCAGGTGTGATGGTAGGTGTGATGGTAGGTGTGATGATAGGTGTCAGGTGTGATGGTAGGTGTGATGGTAGGTGTGATGATAGGTGTCAGGTGAGATGGTAGGTGTGATGGTAGTTGTCAGGTGTGATGGTAGTTGTCAGGTGTGATGGTAGGTGTGATGGTAGTTGTCAGGTGTGATGGTAGGTGTCAGGTGTGATGGTAGTTGTGATGGTAGTTGTCAGGTGTGATGGTAGGTGTCAGGTGTGATGGTAGTTGTGATGGTAGTTGTCAGGTGTGATGGTAGGTGTGATGGTAGTTGTCAGATGTGATGGTAGTTGTCAGGTGTGATGGTAGGTGTGATGGTAGTTGTCAGGTGTGATGGTAGGTGTGATGGTAGTTGTCAGGTGTGATGGTAGGTGTGATGGTAGTTGTCAGGTGTGATGGTAGGTGTGATGGTAGGTGTCAGGTGTGATGGTAGGTGTGATGGTAGTTGTCAGGTGAGATGGTAGGTGTGATGGTAGTTGTCAGGTGTGATGGTAGGTGTGATGGTAGGTGTCAGGTGTGATGGTAGGTGTGATGGTAGGTGTCAGGTGTGATGGTAGTTGTGATGGTAGTTGTCAGGTGTGATGGTAGGTGTGATGGTAGTTGTCAGATGTGATGGTAGTTGTCAGGTGTGATGGTAGGTGTGATGGTAGTTGTCAGGTGTGATGGTAGGTGTGATGGTAGGTGTCAGGTGTGATGGTAGTTGTCAGGTGTGATGGTAGTTGTGATGGTAGTTGTCAGGTGAGATGGTAGTTGTCAGGTGTGATGGTAGTTGTGATGGTAGGTGTCAGGTGTGATGGTAGGTGTGATGGTAGTTGTCAGGTGTGATGGTAGGTGTGATGGTAGTTGTCAGGTGTGATGGTAGGTGTGATGGTAGGTGTGATGGTAGTTGTCAGGTGTGATGGTAGTTGTGATGGTAGTTGTCAGATGTGATGGTAGGTGTGATGGTAGTTGTCAGGTGAGATGGTAGGTGTGATGGTAGTTGTCAGGTGTGATGGTAGTTGTCAGGTGAGATGGTAGGTGTGATGGTAGTTGTCAGGTGTGATGGTAGTTGTCAGGTGTGATGGTAGATGTCAGGTGTGATGGTAGTTGTGATGGTAGTTGTCAGGTGTGATGGTAGTTGTCAGGTGAGATGGTAGGTGTGATGGTAGGTGTCAGGTGTGATGGTAGGTGTCAGGTGTGATGGTAGGTGTCAGGTGTGATGGTAGTTGTCAGGTGAGATGGTAGGTGTGATGGTAGGTGTCAGGTGTGATGGTAGGTGTCAGGTGTGATGGTAGGTGTCAGGTGTGATGGTAGGTGTGAGATGTGATGGTAGGTGTGATGGTAGTTGTCAGATGTGATGGTAGTTGTCAGGTGAGATGGTAGGTGTGATGGTAGGTGTCAGGTGTGATGGTAGGTGTCAGGTTGTGATGGTAGGTGTCAGGTGTGATGGTAGGTGTGAGATGTGATGGTAGGTGTGATGGTAGTTGTCAGGTGAGATGGTAGGAATGATGGTAGGTGTCAGGTGTGATGGTAGTTGTCAGGTGAGATGGTAGGTGTCAGGTGTGATGGTAGGTGTCAGGTGTGATGGTAGGTGTCAGGTGTGATGGTAGGTGTGAGATGTGATGGTAGGTGTGATGGTAGTTGTCAGATGTGATGGTAGTTGTCAGGTGAGATGGTAGGTGTGATGGTAGGTGTCAGGTGTGATGGTAGGTGTCAGGTGTGATGGTAGGTGTGAGATGTGATGGTAGGTGTGATGGTAGTTGTCAGATGTGATGGTAGATGTGATGGTAGTTGTCAGGTGAGATGGTAGGTGTGATGGTAGTTGTCAGGTGTGATGGTAGTTGTCAGGTGTGATGGTAGGTGTGATGGTAGTTGTGATGGTAATTGTCAGATGTGATGGTAGGTGTGATGGTAGTTGTCAGGTGAGATGGTAGTTGTCAGGTGTGATGGTAGGTGTCAGGTGTGATGGTAGGTGTGATGGTAGTTGTGATGGTAATTGTCAGATGTGATGGTAGGTGTGATGGTAGGTGTGATGGTAGTTGTGATGGTAATTGTCAGATGTGATGGTAGGTGTGATGGTAGGTGTGATGGTAGTTGTGATGGTAATTGTCAGATGTGATGGTAGGTGTCAGGTGTGATGGTAGGTGTGATGGTAGTTGTCAGGTGTGATGGTAGTTGTCAGGTGTGATGGTAGGTGTGATGGTAGGTGTGATGGTAGTTGTGATGGTAATTGTCAGATGTGATGGTAGGTGTGATGGTAGGTGTGATGGTAGTTGTGATGGTAATTGTCAGATGTGATGGTAGGTGTGATGGTAGGTGTGATGGTAGTTGTGATGGTAATTGTCAGATGTGATGGTAGGTGTGATGGTAGTTGTCAGGTGTGATGGTAGTTGTCAGGTGTGATGATAGGTGTCAGGTGAGATGGTAGGTGTGATGGTAGTTGTCAGGTGTGATGGTAGTTGTCAGGTGTGATGGTAGGTGTGATGGTAGTTGTCAGGTGTGATGGTAGGTGTCAGGTGTGATGGTAGTTGTGATGGTAGTTGTCAGGTGTGATGGTAGGTGTGATGGTAGTTGTCAGGTGTGATGGTAGGTGTCAGGTGTGATGGTAGGTGTGATGGTAGTTGTCAGGTGTGATGGTAGTTGTGATGGTAGTTGTCAGGTGTGATGGTAGGTGTGATGGTAGTTGTCAGGTGAGATGGTAGTTGTCAGGTGAGATGGTAGGTGTGATGGTAGGTGTGATGGTAGGTGTGATGATAGGTGTCAGGTGAGATGGTAGGTGTGATGGTAGTTGTCAGGTGTGATGGTAGGTGTGATGGTAGGTGTGATGGTAGGTGTGATGATAGGTGTCAGGTGTGATGGTAGGTGTGATGGTAGGTGTGATGATAGGTGTCAGGTGTGATGGTAGGTGTGATGGTAGGTGTGATGATAGGTGTCAGGTGAGATGGTAGGTGTGATGGTAGTTGTCAGGTGTGATGGTAGTTGTCAGGTGTGATGGTAGGTGTGATGGTAGTTGTCAGGTGTGATGGTAGGTGTCAGGTGTGATGGTAGTTGTGATGGTAGTTGTCAGGTGTGATGGTAGGTGTGATGGTAGTTGTCAGGTGTGATGGTAGGTGTCAGGTGTGATGGTAGGTGTGATGGTAGTTGTCAGGTGTGATGGTAGTTGTGATGGTAGTTGTCAGGTGTGATGGTAGGTGTGATGGTAGTTGTCAGGTGTGATGGTAGGTGTGATGGTAGGTGTCAGGTGTGATGGTAGGTGTGATGGTAGTTGTCAGGTGAGATGGTAGGTGTGATGGTAGTTGTCAGGTGTGATGGTAGGTGTGATGGTAGGTGTCAGGTGTGATGGTAGGTGTGATGGTAGGTGTCAGGTGTGATGGTAGTTGTGATGGTAGTTGTCAGGTGTGATGGTAGGTGTGATGGTAGTTGTCAGATGTGATGGTAGTTGTCAGGTGTGATGGTAGGTGTGATGGTAGTTGTCAGGTGTGATGGTAGGTGTGATGGTAGGTGTCAGGTGTGATGGTAGTTGTCAGGTGTGATGGTAGTTGTGATGGTAGTTGTCAGGTGAGATGGTAGTTGTCAGGTGTGATGGTAGTTGTGATGGTAGGTGTCAGGTGTGATGGTAGGTGTGATGGTAGTTGTCAGGTGTGATGGTAGGTGTGATGGTAGTTGTCAGGTGTGATGGTAGGTGTGATGGTAGTTGTCAGGTGTGATGGTAGTTGTGATGGTAGTTGTCAGATGTGATGGTAGGTGTGATGGTAGTTGTCAGGTGAGATGGTAGGTGTGATGGTAGTTGTCAGGTGTGATGGTAGTTGTCAGGTGAGATGGTAGGTGTGATGGTAGTTGTCAGGTGTGATGGTAGTTGTCAGGTGTGATGGTAGGTGTCAGGTGTGATGGTAGGTGTGAGATGTGATGGTAGGTGTGATGGTAGTTGTCAGATGTGATGGTAGTTGTCAGGTGAGATGGTAGGTGTGATGGTAGGTGTCAGGTGTGATGGTAGGTGTCAGGTTGTGATGGTAGGTGTCAGGTGTGATGGTAGGTGTGAGATGTGATGGTAGGTGTGATGGTAGTTGTCAGGTGAGATGGTAGGAATGATGGTAGGTGTCAGGTGTGATGGTAGTTGTCAGGTGAGATGGTAGGTGTCAGGTGTGATGGTAGTTGTCAGGTGAGATGGTAGGTGTCAGGTGTGATGGTAGGTGTCAGGTGTGATGGTAGGTGTCAGGTGTGATGGTAGGTGTGAGATGTGATGGTAGGTGTGATGGTAGTTGTCAGATGTGATGGTAGTTGTCAGGTGAGATGGTAGGTGTGATGGTAGGTGTCAGGTGTGATGGTAGGTGTCAGGTGTGATGGTAGGTGTGAGATGTGATGGTAGGTGTGATGGTAGTTGTCAGATGTGATGGTAGATGTGATGGTAGTTGTCAGGTGAGATGGTAGGTGTGATGGTAGTTGTCAGGTGTGATGGTAGTTGTCAGGTGTGATGGTAGGTGTGATGGTAGTTGTGATGGTAATTGTCAGATGTGATGGTAGGTGTGATGGTAGTTGTCAGGTGAGATGGTAGTTGTCAGGTGTGATGGTAGGTGTCAGGTGTGATGGTAGGTGTGATGGTAGTTGTGATGGTAATTGTCAGATGTGATGGTAGGTGTGATGGTAGGTGTGATGGTAGTTGTGATGGTAATTGTCAGATGTGATGGTAGGTGTGATGGTAGGTGTGATGGTAGTTGTGATGGTAATTGTCAGATGTGATGGTAGGTGTCAGGTGTGATGGTAGGTGTGATGGTAGTTGTCAGGTGTGATGGTAGTTGTCAGGTGTGATGGTAGGTGTGATGGTAGGTGTGATGGTAGTTGTGATGGTAATTGTCAGATGTGATGGTAGGTGTGATGGTAGGTGTGATGGTAGTTGTGATGGTAATTGTCAGATGTGATGGTAGGTGTGATGGTAGGTGTGATGGTAGTTGTGATGGTAATTGTCAGATGTGATGGTAGGTGTGATGGTAGTTGTCAGGTGTGATGGTAGTTGTCAGGTGTGATGGTAGGTGTGATGGTAGTTGTCAGATGTGATGGTAGGTGTGATGGTAGGTGTGATGGTAGGTGTCAGGTGTGATGGTAGGTGTGATGGTAGTTGTCAGGTGTGATGGTAGGTGTGATGGTAGTTGTCAGGTGAGATGGTAGTTGTCAGGTGTGATGGTAGTTGTCAGGTGTGATGGTAGGTGTGATGGTAGTTGTCAGGTGTGATGGTAGGTGTGATGGTAGGTGCGATGGTAGGTGTGATGGTAGGTGTCAGGTGTGATGGTAGGTGTCAGGTGAGATGGTAGGTGTCAGGTGAGATGGTGGGAATGATGGTAGTTGTCAGGTGTGATGGTAGGTGTCAGGTGTGATGGTAGGTGTGAGATGTGATGGTAGGTGTGATGGTAGTTGTCAGATGTGATGGTAGTTGTCAGGTGTGATGGTAGTTGTGATGGTAGTTGTGATGGTAGTTGTCAGGTGTGATGGTAGGTGTGATGGTAGGTGTGATGGTAGTTGTCAGGTGTGATGGTAGGTGTGATGGTAGTTGTGATGGTAGTTGTCAGGTGTGATGGTAGGTGTCAGGTGTGATGGTAGGTGTGATGGTAGTTGTCAGGTGTGATGGTAGGTGTGATGGTAGGTGTCAGGTGTGATGGTAGGTGTGAGATGTGATGGTAGGTGTGATGGTAGTTGTCAGATGTGATGGTAGGTGTGATGGTAGGTGTCAGGTGTGATGGTAGGTGTCAGGTGTGATGGTAGGTGTGAGATGTGATGGTAGGTGTGATGGTAGTTGTCAGATGTGATGGTAGGTGTGATGGTAGTTGTCAGGTGTGATGGTAGTTGTCAGGTGTGATGGTAGTTGTGATGGTAGTTGTCAGGTGTGATGGTAGGTGTGATGGTAGGTGTGATGGTAGTTGTCAGGTGTGATGGTAGGTGTGATGGTAGTTGTGATGGTAGTTGTCAGGTGTGATGGTAGGTGTGAGATGTGATGGTAGGTGTGATGGTAGTTGTCAGGTGTGATGGTAGGTGTGATGGTAGGTGTCAGGTGTGATGGTAGGTGTGAGATGTGATGGTAGGTGTGATGGTAGTTGTCAGATGTGATGGTAGGTGTGATGGTAGGTGTCAGGTGTGATGGTAGGTGTCAGGTGTGATGGTAGGTGTGAGATGTGATGGTAGGTGTGATGATAGGTGTCAGGTGTGATGGTAGGTGTGATGGTAGGTGTGATGGTAGTTGTCAGGTGTGATGGTAGTTGTCAGGTGTGATGGTAGGTGTGATGGTAGTTGCCAGGTGTGATGGTAGGTGTCAGGTGTGATGGTAGGTGTCAGGTGTGATGGTAGTTGTCAGGTGAGATGGTAGTTGTCAGGTGTGATGGTAGTTGTCAGGTGAGATGGTAGGTGTCAGGTGTGATGGTAGGTGTCAGGTGTGATGGTAGGTGTGAGATGTGATGGTAGGTGTGATGGTAGGTGTCAGGTGTGATGGTAGTTGTCAGGTGAGATGGTAGGTGTCAGGTGTGATGGTAGTTGTCAGGTGAGATGGTAGGAATGATGGTAGGTGTCAGGTGTGATGGTAGTTGTCAGGTGAGATGGTAGGTGTCAGGTGTGATGGTAGTTGTCAGGTGAGATGGTAGGTGTCAGGTGTGATGGTAGGTGTCAGGTGTGATGGTAGGTGTCAGGTGTGATGGTAGGTGTGAGATGTGATGGTAGGTGTGATGGTAGTTGCCAGATGTGATGGTAGTTGTCAGGTGAGATGGTAGGTGTGATGGTAGTTGTCAGATGTGATGGTAGTTGTCAGGTGTGATGGTAGGTGTCAGGTGTGATGGTAGTTGTCAGGTGTGATGGTAGTTGTCAGGTGTGATGGTAGGTGTGATGGTAGGTGTCAGGTGGGATGGTAGGTGTGATGGTAGTTGTCAGGTGTGATGGTAGGTGTCAGGTGTGATGGTAGTTGTCAGGTGTGATGGTAGGTGTGATGGTAGGTGTCAGGTAGGATGGTAGGTGTGATGGTAGTTGTCAGGTGTGATGGTAGTTGTCAGGTGTGATGGTAGTTGTCAGGTGTGATGGTTGGTGTGATGGTAGTTGTGATGGTAATTGTCAGATGTGATGGTAGGTGTGATGGTAGTTGTCAGATGTGATGGTAGGTGTGATGGTAGGTGTGATGGTAGGTGCGATGGTAGGTGTGATGGTAGGTGTCAGGTGTGATGGTAGGTGTCAGGTGTGATGGTAGGTGTGATGGTAGTTGTCAGATGAGATGGTAGGAATGATGGTAGGTGTCAGGTGTGATGGTAGGTGTCAGGTGAGATGGTAGGTGTCAGGTGAGATGGTAGGTGTGATGGTAGGTGTGATGGTAGTTGTCAGGTGTGATGGTAGGTGTGATGGTAGGTGCGATGGTAGGTGTGATGGTAGGTGTCAGGTGTGATGGTAGGTGTCAGGTGTGATGGTAGGTGTGATGGTAGTTGTCAGGTGAGATGGTAGTTGTCAGGTGAGATGGTAGGTGTGATGGTAGGTGTCAGGTGTGATGGTAGGTGTCAGGTGAGATGGTAGGTGTCAGGTGTGATGGTAGGTGTCAGGTGTGATGGTAGGTGTCAGGTGAGATGGTAGGTGTCAGGTGAGATGGTAGGTGTGATGGTAGGTGTGATGGTAGTTGTCAGGTGTGATGGTAGGTGTGATGGTAGTTGTCAGGTGTGATGGTAGTTGTCAGGTGAGATGGTAGGAATGATGGTAGGTGTCAGGTGTGATGGTAGGTGTCAGGTGAGATGGTAGGAATGATGGTAGTTGTCAGGTGTGATGGTAGGTGTCAGGTGTGATGGTAGTTGTCAGATGTGATGGTAGGTGTCAGGTGAGATGGTAGGTGTCAGGTGTGATGGTAGGTGTCAGGTGAGATGGTAGGTGTCAGGTGTGATGGTAGGTGTGATGGTAGGTGTCAGGTGTGATGGTAGGAATGATGGTAGGTGTCAGGTGTGATGGTAGTTGTCAGTTGAGATGGTAGGTGTGATGGTAGGTGTCAGGTGAGATGGTAGGTGTCAGGTGTGATGGTAGGTGTCAGGTGTGATGGTAGGTGTCAGGTGTGATGGTAGTTGTCAGGTGAGATGGTAGGAATGATGGTAGGTGTCAGGTGTGATGGTAGGTGTCAGGTGAGATGGTAGGTGTCAGGTGTGATGGTAGGTGTCAGGTGTGATGGTAGGTGTCAGGTGTGATGGTAGTTGTGATGGTAGTTGTCAGGTGTGATGGTAGTTGTCAGGTGAGATGGTAGGTGTGATGGTAGGTGTCAGGTGTGATGGTAGGTGTCAGGTGTGATGGTAGTTGTCAGGTGAGATGGTAGGTGTGATGGTAGGTGTCAGGTGTGATGGTAGGTGTCAGGTGTGATGGTAGGTGTCAGGTGTGATGGTAGGTGTCAGGTGTGATGGTAGGTGTCAGGTGTGATGGTAGGTGTCAGGTGGGATGGTAGGTGTCAGGTGTGATGTTAAGTGTCAGGGATGTTACAACCCTTATGACACGAAGCATTAGGTATGAGAACTGACCTGAATTTTGCCAATGGCGCCAATAGCAACATTAGGTGGGAGAATCACAGGCCTGGCGTAGGTACCACCAATCTGTGGAAAACATTTACAAACCTAGGTTCAAAGTGCTAATGTAGAGCAGTGCTAATGTAGGCCAGTGCTAAAGTAGGCCAGTGCTAATGTAGGTCAGTGCTAAAGTAGGCCAGTGCTAAAGTAGGGCAGTGCTAAAGTAGGCCAGTGCTAATGTAGGGCAGTGCTAATGTAGGGCAGTGCTAATGTAGGCCAGTGCTAAAGTAGGGCAATGCTAAAGTAGGCCAGTGCTAATGTAGGGCAGTGCTAATGTAGGGCAGCGCTAATGTAGGGCAATGCTAAAGTAGGCCAGTGCTAATGTAGGGCAGTGCTAATGTAGGGCAGTGCTAAAGTAGGGCACTGCTAAAGTAGGCCAGTGCTAATGTAGGGCAGTGCTAATGTAGGGCAGTGCTAATGTAGGGCAGCGCTAATGTAGGCCAGCGCTAATGTAGGTCAGTGCTAAAGTAGGGCAGTGCTAAAGTAGGCTAGTGCTAATGTAGGAAAGTGCTAAAGTAGGCCAGTGCTAATGTAGGCCAGTGCTAATGTGGGCCAGTGCTAATGTAGGCCAGTGCTAATGTAGGCCAGTGCTAATGTAGGGCAATGCTAAAGTAGGGCAATGCTAAAGTAGGCCAGTGCTAATGTAGGCCAGTGCTAATGTAGGGCAGTGCTAATGTAGGGCAGTGCTAAAGTAGGCCAGTGCCAAAGTAGGCCAGTGCTAAAGTAGGCCAGTGCTAATGTAGGCCAGTGCTAATGTAGGGCAGTGCTAAAGTAGGCCAGTGCTAATGTAGGCCAGTGTTAAAGTAGGCCAGTGCTAATGTAGGCCAGTGCTAATGTAGGCCAGTGCTAATGTAGGCCAGTGCTAAATTAGGCCAGTGCTAAAGTAGGCCAGTGCTAATGTAGGCCAGTGCTAATGTAGGGCAGTGCTAAAGTAGGCCAGTGCTAAAGTAGGCCAGTGCTAATGTAGGCCAGTGCTAATGTAGGCCAGTGCTAATGTAGGCCAGTGCTAATGTAGGCCAGTGCTAATGTAGGCCAGTGCTAATGTAGGCCAGTGCTAAAGTAGGCCAGTGCTAATGTAGGCCAGTGCTAATGTAGGCCAGTGCTAATGTAGGGCAGTGCTAAAGTAGGCCAGTGCTAAAGTAGGCCAGTGCTAAAGTAGGCCAGTGCTAAGTAGGCCAGTGCTAATGTAGGGCAGTGCTAATGTAGGGCAGTGCTAAAGTAGGCCAGTGCTAAAGCAGGCCAGTGCTAATGTAGAGCAGTGCTAAAGTAGGCCAGCGCTAATGTAGGGCAATGCTAAAGTAGGCCAGTGCTAATGTAGGGCAGTGCTAATGTAGGGCAGTGTTAATGTAGGCCAGTGCTAATGTGGGCCAGTGCTAATGTAGGCCAGTGCTAATGTAGGCCAGTGCTAAAGTAGGGCAATGCTAAAGTAGGCCAGTGCTAATGTAGGCCAGTGCTAATGTAGGCCAGTGCTAATGTAGGGCAGTGCTAACGTAGGCCAGTGCTAATGTAGGCCAGTGCTAATGTAGGGCAGTGCTAAAGTAGGAAAGTGCTAATGTAGGCCAGTGCTAATGTAGGCCAGTGCTAATGTAGGCCAGTGCTACATCTCTATACTTACACTTCCAATGTTAGATAAACTGAATGTTGTTCCTGACAGCTCTGCTGTGCCAAGTTTACCAGCCAAGCCCAAGTTTTGCAGGCGGTTCAGTTCAACAGCTATGTCAAAGATGGAGAGAGCCTGAACGTTTTTAATGCTGGGTACAAGCAGGCCTTCAGGTGTATCCATGGCAACTCCAATGTTGTGGGAGCCCTGAGGATGGGAACACATCAGACATGACTGGGACACATCAGACATGACTGGGACACATCAGACATGACTGGGACACATCAGACATGACTGGGACACAGACATGACTGGGACACATCAGACATGACTGGGACACATCAGACATGACTGGGACACATCAGACATGACTGGGACACAGACATGACTGGGACACAGACATGACTGGGACACAGACATGACTGGGACACATCAGACATGACTGGGACACATCAAACATGACTGGGACACAGACATGACTGGGAACACATCAGACATGACTGGGACACAGACATGACTGGGACACAGACATGACTGGGACACATCAGACATGACTGGGACACATCAGACATGACTGGGACACAGACATGACTGGGAACACATCAGACATGACTGGGACACATCAGACATGACTGGGACACATCAGACATGACTGGGACACAGACATGACTGGGAACACATCAGACATGACTGGGACACAGACATGACTGGGACACATCAGACATGACTGGGACACAGACATGACTGGGACACAGACATGACTGGGACACATCAGACATGACTGGGACACATCAGACATGACTGGGACACATCAGACATGACTGGGACACATCAGACATGACTGGGACACATCAGACATGACTGGGACACATCAGACATGACTGGGACACATCAGACATGACTGGGACACATCAGACATGACTGGGACACAGACATGACTGGGACACAGACATGACTGGGACACAGACATGACTGGGACACATCAGACATGACTGGGACACATCAGACATGACTGGGACACATCAGACATGACTGGGACACATCAGACATGACTGGGACACAGACATGACTGGGACACAGACATGACTGGAACACAGACATGACTGGGACACATCAGACATGACTGGGACACAGACATGACTGGGACACATCAGACATGACTGGGACACATCAGACATGACTGGGACACAGACATGACTGGGACACATCAGACATGACTGGGACACATCAGACATGACTGGGACACATCAGACATGACTGGGACACATCAGACATGACTGGGACACATCAGACATGACTGGGACACATCAGACATGACTGGGACACATCAGACATGACTGGGACACATCAGACATGACTGGGACACATCAGACATGACTGGGACACATCAGACATGACTGGGAAACATCAGACATGACCGGGACACATCCTAAGCAGAGATATCAGTAGGCTTATCCTAAGCAGAGATATCAGTAGGCTTATCCTAATTTGAGATATCAGTAGGCTTATCCTAATTTGAGATATCATTAGGTTTATCCTAAGCAGATATCTCATTAGGTTTATCCTAAGCAGAGATCTCAGTAGGCTTATCTTAACCAAAGATATCAGTAGTCTAAGCAGAGTTATCAGGATCTGTAACAAATCAGGTATGTGACCAGACCATGAAACAAAAAGGAGCTAAATATGTTTTATCCGTGTTTTATTGCAGTCTCACACCATTATTGTACTAATGACTGTTTAATATAAAGAAAAAGCAATGTATGTCTGTTTGTCTTGTATGCATTACTACACCTTTCATTCCATCGCATGAAACTTTGGGGAGTTGATGAGAATACTCAACGGGAGGTTTCTGCAAAAAAAATTTGCTAACGCGCCGCCCCAGGAGGGAGCAATTTTTGTCTATATATGTTATTTAAAAAAGTAAAAGTTGAATGCGGTTTGACTCCGTTCATCCAAGTGCGATGAAACCCCAGGGAGTTGACCCGAAGTTCCCCTGTGAGCACTATGGCATCTACTTTCATTTTAAAAAAAGGCTATACACTAAAAACATGATGGGAAGCAATAATCATTGACTATATAGAATCAGGTGCGTCATTTGACGCCCTGGCATAGTGCCATTTGGCCCCCATTTGGGCTATACTGAGAGCGCCATAGTGCATACGTTTGTTTTAAAGAGTGCGATAGAATATGAATATGATGTAGTCGTAAAGTCGTTCATCAAATCGAATCAGGGCGCCCTCGTAGGGTGCAAATTGACGCCCCGGACTATCCTGTGAGCACTATGTGCCTACGTTAGTTTTAAGAAGCACCCTACAATATTGACATGGCGGCACAGGACATTTGATGATTGAACCAAGCCAGGGGTCGTACACCGTGCCCCTGTGGCTGTGTAACCTGGGGCTCCCGAGAGCACCCATCTATGTCCCTGACACCTGGGTGGTTGCCAAAATTGTGTTCTACCAGACTATTACGGTGAGTGATCAATGTACACTCAAGGCTTTCACACACCTGACCTGGGGCGTGCTGGGCGATAGTGTAGGTAAACCTGTGCAACAACAAATAGGATCCAAGATATATGGGGCAGGCATTGTTTACATTTAAATATCTCAATTTTAGAAAACAAGATCACATATCTAAGAATATGAGATTGGTAACGCATTGATGAAACGCTCTTAAAATATTTCAACAGACTATTCTATCCCCGCGGCAACACTAGTTTTAAATAAAAGAAGTTTATGTTACTCTAAAATAACAATGAAAATCTGCCTAATTGCAATTTAATGTTTACATTATAAACAACTTTTTAAAACATACAATTTTACAAAATACAAAAATGGAAATTAAATTTTATTCTAACTTTAAGCTAATTTAAACTGTAATGATCTAGTTGTACTCTTGTTTTAAATTATGCCTTATATTTTTTTAAAGATGGGTATGGTAAAATGTAAGTACAGTTTCTAGATCTAGATTAATTGTAATTTGTAAGTTTGAGTTCATGTGATGGGAACATGAAATTGATCAGAATAGCTGAAAGTCTTGTGGAATTATTACATGTAAAATGATAATTACACTAGAGAAATTGGAGTTCCACTAAAATTTGAAGTCATGCCCACAAACTAATAAACATTTCCAGTCACCCCCAAGCTAATCAAATGGTCTGACCTTGTAGAAACTAATCAAATGATCTGACCTTGTAGAAACTAATCAAATGATCTGACCTTGTAGAAACTAATCAAATGATCTGACCTTGTAGACACTAATCAAATGATCTGACCTTGTAGAAACTAATCAAATGATCTGACCTTGTAGAAACTAATCAAATGATCTGACCTTGTAGAAACTAATCAAATGATCTGACCTTGTAGAAACTAATCAAATGATCTGACCTTGTAGAAACTAATCAAATGATCTGACCTTGTAGAAACTAATCAAATGATCTGACCTTGTAGAATCTAATCAAATGATCTGACCTTGTAGAAACTAATCAAATGATCTGACCTTGTAGAAACTAATCAAATGATCTAACCTTGTAGAAACTAATCAAATGATCTGACCTTGTAGAAACTAATCAAATGGTCTGACCTTGTAGAAACTAATCAAATGATCTGACCTTGTAGAAACTAATCAAATGATCTGACCTTGTAGACACTAATCAAATGATCTGACCTTGTAGAAACTAATCAAATGATCTGACCTTGTAGAAACTAATCAAATGATCTGACCTTGTAGAAACTAATCAAATGATCTGACCTTGTAGAAACTAATCAAATGATCTGACCTTGTAGAAACTAATCAAATGATCTGACCTTGTAGAAACTAATCAAATGATCTGACCTTGTAGAATCTAATCAAATGATCTGACCTTGTAGAAACTAATCAAATGATCTGACCTTGTAGAAACTAATCAAATGATCTAACCTTGTAGAAACTAATCAAATGATCTGACCTTGTAGAAACTAATCAAATGGTCTGACCTTGTAGAAACTAATCAAATGATCTGACCTTGTAGAAACTAATCAAATGATCTGACCTTGTAGAAACTAATCAAATGATCTGACCTTGTAGAAACTAATCAAATGATCTGACCTTGTAGAAACTAATCAAATGATCTGACCTTGTAGAAACTAATCAAATGATCTGACCTTGTAGAAACTAATCAAATGATCTGACCTTGTAGAAACTAATCAAATGGTCTGACCTTGTAGAAACTAATCAAATGATCTGACCTTGTAGAAACTAATCAAATGATCTGACCTTGTAGAAGCTAATCAAATGATCTGACCTTGTAGAAGCTAATCAAATGGTCTGACCTTGTAGAAACTAATCAAATGGTCTGACCTTGTAGAAACTAATCAAATGGTCTGACCTTGTAGAAACTAATCAAATGATCTGACCTTGTAGAAACTAATCAAATGATCTAACCTTGTAGAAACTAATCAAATGATCTGACCTTGTAGAAACTAATCAAATGATCTGACCTTGTAGAAACTAATCAAATGGTCTGACCTTGTAGAAACTAATCAAATGATCTGACCTTGTAGAAACTAATCAAATGATCTGACCTTGTAGAAACTAATCAAATGGTCTGACCTTGTAGAAACTAATCAAATGGTCTGACCTTGTAGAAACTAATCAAATGGTCTGACCTTGTAGAAACTAATCAAATGGTCTGACCTTGTAGAAACTAATCAAATGGTCTGACCTTGTAGAAACTAATCAAATGGTCTGACCTTGTAGAAACTAATCAAATGGTCTGACCTTGTAGAAACTAATCAAATGATCTGACCTTGTAGAAACTAATCAAATGGTCTGACCTTGTAGAAACTAATCAAATGATCTGACCTTGTAGAAACTAATCAAATGGTCTGACCTTGTAGAAACTAATCAAATGGTCTGACCTTGTAGAGACTAATCAAATGGTCTGACCTTGTAGAAACTAATCAAATGGTCTGACCTTGTAGAAACTAATCAAATGATCTGACCTTGTAGAAACTAATCAAATGGTCTGACCTTGTAGAAACTAATCAAATGATCTGACCTTGTAGAAACTAATCAAATGGTCTGACCTTGTAGAAACTAATCAAATGATCTGACCTTGTAGAAACTAATCAAATGATCTGACCTTGTAGAAACTAATCAAATGATCTGACCTTGTAGAAACTAATCAAATGATCTGACCTTGTAGAAACTAATCAAATGATCTGACCTTGTAGAAACTAATCAAATGGTCTGACCTTGTAGAAACTAATCAAATGATCTGACCTTGTAGAAACTAATCAAATGATCTGACCTTGTAGAAACTAATCTAATGATCTGACCTTGCAGAAACTAATCAAATGATCTGACCTTGTAGAAACTAATCAAATGATCTGACCTTGTAGAAACTAATCAAATGGTCTGACCTTGTAGAAACTAATCAAATGATCTGACCTTGTAGAAACTAATCAAATGATCTGACCTTGTAGAAACTAATCAAATGATCTGACCTTGTAGAAACTAATCAAATGATCTGACCTTGTAGAAACTAACCAAATGATCTGACCTTGTAGAAACTAATCAAATGGTCTGACCTTGTAGAAACTAATCAAATGGTCTGACCTTGTAGAAACTAATCAAATGATCTGACCTTGTAGAAACTAATCAAATGATCTAACCTTGTAGAAACTAATCAAATGATCTGACCTTGTAGAAACTAATCAAATGATCTGACCTTGTAGAAACTAATCAAATGGTCTGACCTTGTAGAAACTAATCAAATGATCTGACCTTGTAGAAACTAATCAAATGATCTGACCTTGTAGAAACTAATCAAATGATCTGACCTTGTAGAAACTAATCAAATGATCTGACCTTGTAGAAACTAATCAAATGATCTGACCTTGTAGAAACTAATCAAATGATCTGACCTTGTAGACACTAATCAAATGATCTGACCTTGTAGAAACTAATCAAATGATCTGACCTTGTAGAAACTAATCAAATGATCTGACCTTGTAGAAACTAATCAAATGATCTGACCTTGTAGAAACTAATCAAATGATCTGACCTTGTAGAAACTAATCAAATGATCTGACCTTGTAGAAACTAATCAAATGGTCTGACCTTGTAGAAACTAATCAAATGATCTGACCTTGTAGAAACTAATCAAATGATCTGACCTTGTAGAAACTAATCTAATGATCTGACCTTGCAGAAACTAATCAAATGATCTGACCTTGTAGAAACTAATCAAATGATCTGACCTTGTAGAAACTAATCAAATGGTCTGACCTTGTAGAAACTAATCAAATGATCTGACCTTGTAGAAACTAATCAAATGATCTGACCTTGTAGAAACTAATCAAATGATCTGACCTTGTAGAAACTAATCAAATGATCTGACCTTGTAGACACTAATCAAATGATCTGACCTTGTAGAAACTAATCAAATGATCTGACCTTGTAGAAACTAATCAAATGGTCTGACCTTGTAGAAACTAATCAAATGGTCTGACCTTGTAGAAACTAATCAAATGGTCTGACCTTGTAGAAACTAATCAAATGATCTAACCTTGTAGAAACTAATCAAATGATCTGACCTTGTAGAAACTAATCAAATGATCTGACCTTGTAGAAACTAATCAAATGATCTGACCTTGTAGAAACTAATCAAATGGTCTGACCTTGTAGAAACTAATCAAATGATCTGACCTTGTAGAAACTAATCAAATGATCTGACCTTGTAGAAACTAATCAAATGATCTGACCTTGTAGACACTAATCAAATGATCTGACCTTGTAGAAACTAATCAAATGATCTGACCTTGTAGACACTAATCAAATGATCTGACCTTGTAGAAACTAATCAAATGATCTGACCTTGTAGAAACTAATCAAATGATCTGACCTTGTAGAAACTAATCAAATGATCTGACCTTGTAGAAACTAATCAAATGATCTGACCTTGTAGAAACTAATCAAATGATCTGACCTTGTAGAAACTAATCAAATGATCTGACCTTGTAGAAACTAATCAAATGATCTGACCTTGTAGAAACTAATCAAATGATCTGACCTTGTAGAAACTAATCAAATGATCTGACCTTGTAGAAACTAATCAAATGGTCTGACCTTGTAGAAACTAATCAAATGATCTGACCTTGTAGAAACTAATCAAATGATCTGACCTTGTAGAAACTAATCAAATGATCTGACCTTGTAGAAACTAATCAAATGATCTGACCTTGTAGAAACTAATCAAATGATCTGACCTTGTAGAAACTAATCAAATGATCTGACCTTGTAGAAACTAATCAAATGATCTGACCTTGTAGAAACTAATCAAATGATCTGACCTTGTAGAAACTAATCAAATGATCTGACCTTGTAGAAACTAATCAAATGATCTGACCTTGTAGAAACTAATCAAATGATCTGACCTTGTAGAAACTAATCAAATGATCTGACCTTGTAGAAACTAATCAAATGATCTGACCTTGTAGAAACTAATCAAATGATCTGACCTTGTAGAAACTAATCAAATGATCTGACCTTGTAGATGATGTTTTCACAGGCAGCATCCAGGGAGGAGTTGAGTACAGGGTACTGCAGCAGCGACAGCGACGCAGCCTGCCAGACACAGGACAACAACATTAGCCAGACACAGGACAACAACATTAGCCAGACACAGGACAACAACATTAGCCAGACACAGGACAACAACATTAGCCAGACACAGGACAACAACATTAGCCAGACACAGGACAACAACATTAGCCAGACACAGGACAACAACATTAGCCAGACACAGGACAACAACATTACCATCCACAGGACAACAACTTTAGCCAGACACAGGACAACAACATTAGCCAGACACAGGACAACAACATTAGCCAGACACAGGACAACAACATTAGCCAGACACAGGACAACAACATTAGCCAGACACAAGACAACAACATTAGCCAGACACAGGACAACAACATTAGCCAGACACAGGACAACAACATTAGCCAGACACAGGACAACAACATTAGCCAGACACAGGACAACAACATTAGCCAGACACAGGACAACAACATTAGCCAGACACAGGACAACAACATTAGCCAGACACAAGACAACAACATTAGCCAGAAACAGGACAACAACATTAGCCAGATACAGGACAACAACATTAGCCAGACACAGGACAACAACATTACCAGACACAGGACAACAACATTAGCCAGACACAGGACAACAACATTACCAGACACAGGACAACAACATTAGCCAGACACAAGACAACAACATTAGCCAGACACAGGACAACAACATTAGCCAGACACAAGACAACAACATTACCAGACATTATGGTGGGGTTTGTTTACCTTGATAAATATAGGCATGTATGTAAGGGATTGTTTACCTTGATAAATATGGGCATGTGTGTGAAGGTTTACCTTGATAAATATGGGCATGTGTGTGAAGGTTTGTTTACCTTGATAAATATGGGCATGTATGTGGAGGTTTACCTTGATAAATATGGGCATGTGTGTGAAGGTTTGTTTACCTTGATAAATATGGGCATGTATGTGAAGGTTTGTTTACCTTGATAAATATGGGCACATATGGTGGGCTTTGTTTACCTTGATAAATATGGGCATGTATGTGAAGGTTTGTTTACCTTGATAAATATGGGCATGTATGTGAAGGTTTGTTTACCTTGATAAATATGGGCATGTATGTGAAGGTTTGTTTACCTTGATAAATATGGGCATGTATGTGAAGGTTTACCTTGATAAATATGGGCATGTATGTGAAGGTTTGTTTACCTTGATAAATATGGGCATGTATGTGAAGGTTTGTTTACCTTGATAAATATGGGCATGTATGTGAAGGTTTGTTTACCTTGATAAATATGGGCATGTATGTAAGGATTTGTTTACCTTGATAAATATGGGCATGTATGTGAAGGTTTGTTTACCTTGATAAATATGGGCATGTGTGTGAAGGTTTGTTTACCTTGATAAATATGGGCATGTATGTGAAGGTTTGTTTACCTTGATAAATATGGGCATGTATGTGAAGGTTTGTTTACCTTGATAAATATGGGCATGTATGTGAGCTGAATGCCTCGCTGCTCTGCCATGGCTTTTAATCTTTTCCTGAGAGCAACCAACTGGCTGACATCAACGTCATCATAGTACCCAAACTGTGGGATCTTCAGGGCTTCACTCATTATCTTCACCATGGCCTTGGTCACACCTTTTAGAGGGACGGTCTTGTCCTGACCCACAACAGGGCCCGTGGCTGGGGGAGTCTTGACAGTCAGTGGTCCTGGGGCAGTTCTAGGCTTTGGTGGAGCTGGGCTGTCTGCTGTCTGGACTTGTGCTGGAGCCGCTGCTGGAGCAGGTGGAGCAGGTGGAGCAGGTGGAGGAGTGACACACAGAGTGGGAGCTACAGGAGCTGTAAAAAACAAAAATCTTCTCAATCCTAGTCCACTGATAGCGTTAGACCGACCATTTTTGCACTTATCCTGTATGGTTGATTCTGTACTTTATAAACAAAACAAAAAATAGCAAAATGTCATTTTGAACACTGCGGGACCTATTCAGCAGCCACGTCTAAACAAATGTGTCTGCACATAAAATAACGGACAAAAATTACAACAAGTATTTCAGCTAATCAAATTCAACAATAACAAATTATGTTTGTCCTTTATGCATTACTACACCTCTCATCACATCACCGTGAAACTTTGGGAAGTTTTTGAGAATATTCCTGGGGAGGTTTCTGCAAAAAAAAAAAAAAAATTCAAATTCGCAGGGGTGGCGCCCCAACAGGGTGCGATTTGTTTTTTTCTATATACGGTATATAAAAATAAAAGTCGATTTTGGTTTGGCATCGTTCATCCGATAGCCATGAGACTTTGGGGAGTTCATTATACCACTCCAGGGAAGGGTTTTTAAAAAAAATCATTTTTAATTTCGCAAGGGCGGCGCCACAGGAGGGTCCGATTTTTCTCTATATACGGTATATAAAAATAATAAAAGTGAATTGCAGTGACACCGTTCATTCGATAGGCATGAAACTTTGGGGAGTACATTATAAAACTCTAGGGAAGGGTTCTGTAAAAAAATAATTTTTAATTTCGCAAGGGCGGCGCCATGGGAGGGTGCAATTTTTCTCTATGTACAGTATATAAAAATAAAACTCGATTGCGATTTCACGGGGTTCATCCGATAGCCATGAAACTTTGGGGAGTTAATTATAACACGGGAGGGTGTGATTTTTCTCTATATACGGTTTATAAAAATATAAGTCTATTTCGGTTTCACACCGTTCATCCGTGTACCTTGAAACTTTGGGGAGATGATTAGATCACTCAATGGTAGAGTTCTGCAAAAAAAAAATATTGTTTAATATTGCAAGGGCGGCGCCCCAAGGGAGAGCGATATTTTTCTCTATACACGGTATATAAAAAATAAAACTCGGATGCGGTTCATCCGAGTGCCATGAAACTTTAAGGAGTAGATGAGAATACTCCGGAGAATATTTCTGCGAAAAAGCAAACTAAAGTTTCTTATGGGCGGCGCCATGTAGGGTACAATTTTCGTCAATACGCGGTTTGGCGCCCAAAGTTTTAGAGTGACAATGTTGGCACTTGGCATCCATTAATCGAGCGTCCTGCATAGCGAGTAAGGGGTACTACTATATTCAGCGGTAAAGCTACAACAGGCTTCTAAAAATAACTTTGTAACGCGAGGAAATTCTTCTGTACAGTTTCGTCACCTTGCGAAAAATGAAAAAATAACTTTTTGAATATGAGGAGCCTACTGTAGAGTTTCGTCACTTTGCGAATGATGCAATAAGCATCTATTATTAGACGATCCAGTCAGAAATTGAGATCGAGCATCTAATAATAGACCATTAGTAACGCTACCATATTGCATCAGTCACACTGATGTTTAAAACACGTCAAATAATTTTTACGTGTTAAAGAAAAAAAATCATGTATATTTGTGTCACTTCAGCGAATGACGAAATGTGCATCATTGTTTACAGGATGCTATTTGGTACTCTGGGTTATCCTATGAGCACGATGGCGCCTGTTAGTTTTAAGGAGCCAGGGGCCGTACGCTGCGCCTATGCGATAGTGTAATCGGGGGGGGGGGGGGGGGCGCTCCTGAGAGCGCCCCTCTACGTCTCTAACACAGAGGCGGTCACCGAAGTGTGTTCTACCATATTATTTTGGTGAGTGATTAATGTACACTCAAGGTTTTCATGAGGTAGTGTAGGTAAACCCGTGTCCCGATTTTTATGATCCAAGCGTAGGCATTGTTTACATTTAAATAACTTTTAGAAAATAAGGTCACGAGTCTAAGAATATAGGATTAGTAACGCATGGATGAATCCCTTCTTATATATTTCGTCGGACTATCTTCTATTCCCGCGGCAACGCACGGGGACGGGTACGCTAGTAGATTATAATAATGAATGTTTAGTGTTTGCAATCCTATTATTGTCTGCGGTATTTTCATTGAGTACAAGGTAGCAGAAGATAATGTTAGCAATAACGTCTTGTTGTATAAAAATAATTGCCTGTCCCCAAAACTTTGGTTAACAGATTGAAAATTAAATGTCCTGCCTAGGAGGAACTCTAGCAGACGACAGCAAACACTCAGCTAGCCATTCAACCAGCTGTGTATTAGAATGGGAGGAACTCTAGCAGACGTGAGCTGAATGCTTCTATCACATCACAACAACATTCTTTAAAACCTTACCTGCCATATCAGTCATAGCTCTAGCAGAGGTGTGCTCAATGCTTCTATCACATAACAACAATCCTTAAACCTTACCTGCCATATCAGTCATAGCGCCAAAGCCATTTAAATACATTTTTTTAAAAATAATTTTCTAGGATACCAATTTTTAAAATTAATTTTAATAATCAGAATTGGTATCAAATTTTTTTTAAGTCAATTTCACCAATAATGCTGTTTAAAATCTTAATTTCCCTCTCTGTGTGTACAGTCAACATTACGTACCTTGTTTTCCCTCCAGAAACCTGAGAACATCCTCCTTCAAAACTCTGCCATCTTTCCCTGTGCCTTTTACATCAGCTAGTTTTATCTGGTGAAATAACAGTCAGTTTAAATTCTCAAGTGGTAAGTTTAAATTCTCAAGTGGTTGGTTTAAATTCTAAAGTGGTAAGTTTAAATTCTCAAGTGATAAGTTTAAATTCTGAAGTGGTAAGTTTAAATTCTAAAGTGGTAAGTTTAAATTCTAAAGTGGTAAGTTTAAATTCTAAAGTGGTAAGTTTAAATTCTGAAGTGGTAAGTTTAAATTCTGAAGTGGTAAGTTTAAATTCTGAAGTGGTAAGTTTAAATTCTGAAGTGGTAAGTTTAAATTCTAAAGTGGTAAGTTTAAATTCTGAAGTGGTAAGTTAAACTTCTGAAGTGGTAAGTTTAAATTCTGAAGTGGTAAGTTTAAATTCTGAAGTGGTAAGTTTAAATTCTGAAGTGGTAAGTTTAAATTCTGAAGTGGTAAGTTAAACTTCTGAAGTGGTAAGTTTAAATTCTGAAGTGGTAAGTTTAAATTCTGAAGTGGTAAGTTCTAAGAAAGTCCTGCTTGTATAAGGGTGTGATCAATGTAGAGGTGTGATAAGGGTATGGCTGGTGTGGTCAGTGTATAGGTGTGGCTGGTGTGGTCAGTGTATAGGTGTGGCTGGTGTGGTCAGTGTATAGGTGTGGCTGGTGTGGTCAGTGTATAGGTGTGGCTGGTGTGGTCAGTGTATAGGTGTGGCTGGTGTGGTCAGTGTATAGGTGTGGCTGTGTGGTCAGTGTATAGGTGTGGTCAGTGTATAGGTGTGGCTGGTGTGGTCAGTGTATAGGTGTGGCTGGTGTGGTCAGTGTATAGGTGTGGCTGGTGTGGTCAGTGTATAGGTGTGGCTGGTGTGGTCAGTGTATAGGTGTGGTCAGTGTATAGGTGTGGTCAGTGTATAGGTGTGGCTGGTGTGGTCAGTGTATAGGTGTGGTCAGTGTATAGGTGTGGCTGGTGTGGTCAGTGTATAGGTGTGGCTGGTGTGGTCAGTGTATAGGTGTGGCTGGTGTGGTCAGTGTATAGGTGTGGCTGGTGTGGTCAGTGTGTAGGTGTGGTCAGGATATGGGTGTGGTCAGGATATGGGTGTGGTCAGGATATGGGTGAGGTCAGGATATGGGTGTGGTCAGGATATGGGTGTGGTCAGGATATGGGTGTGGTCAGGATATGGGTGTGGCTGGTGTGGTCAGGATATGGGTGTGGTCAGGATATGGGTGTGGTCAGGATATGGGTGTGGTCAGGATATGGGTGTGGCTGGTGTGGTCAGGATATGGGTGTGGTCAGGATATGGGTGTGGTCAGGATATGGGTGTGGTCAGGATATGGGTGTGGTCAGGATATGGGTGTGGCTGGTGTGGTCAGGATATGGGTGTGGTCAGTGTATAGGTGTGGCTGGTGTGGTCAGTGTATAGGTGTGGCTGGTGTGGTCAGTGTATAGGTGTGGCTGGTATGGTAAGTGTGTAGGTGTGGTCAGGATATGGGTGTGGTCAGGATATGGCTGTGGTCAGGATATGGGTGAGGTCAGGATATGGGTGTGGTCAGGATATGGGTGTGGCTGGTGTGGTCAGGATATGGGTGTGGTCAGGATATGGCTGTTGCTGGTGTGTTAATGTAGCAACTTGTTACACTGTTCTCCATAGCAAGCCTTCTGACTGCTGGTGTAGCCAGAGACTTGACGCCATCCAAAGCTTTTGAAGAATCTGATTCTGTTACATCCTCCTCTGGTTTTGTAAACTCTGAAAGGAAAACATCAGGGACATAGACCTGGGTTTGTCACAGAAAAATATCCCCTTTCACTAGAGTCTGGGCAACACTTCAAATAAATAAGGGATGTCTGATTCATTTGGTATCTGTCTAGACTTGCCAAAAAGCATCAAATAGGTGGAACCTAGAATATGGGAGTAGATGTGAGGTCCCAGGGGCAGTAGATGTGAGGTCCCAGGGGCAGTAGATGTGAGGTCCCAGGGGGGGGCAGTAGATGTGAGGTCCCAGGGGGGGGCAGTAGATGTGAGGTCCCAGGGGGGGCAGTAGATGTGAGGTCCCAGGGGCAGTAGATGTGAGGTCCCAGGGGGGGGCAGTAGATGTGAGGTCCCAGGGGGGGGCAGTAGATGTGAGGTCCCAGGGGGGGCAGTAGATGTGAGGTCCCAGGGGGGGGCAGTAGATGTGAGGTCCCAGGGGGGGCAGTAGATGTGAGGTCCCAGGGGGGGGGGGCAGTAGATGTGAGGTCCCAGGGGGGGGCAGTAGATGTGAGGTCCCAGGGGGGGCAGTAGATGTGAGGTCCCAGGGGGGGGGCAGTAGATGTGAGGTCCCAGGGGGGGGGGGGCAGTAGATGTGAGGTCCCAGGGGGGGGGCAGTAGATGTGAGGTCTCAGGGGGGCAGTAGATGTTAGGTCCCAGGGGCAGTAGATGTGAGGTCTCAGGGGGGCAGTAGATGTTAGGTCCCAGGGGCAGTAGATGTGAGGTACCAGGGGGGGCAGTAGATGTGAGGTCCCAGGGGGGGGGCAGTAGATGTGAGGTCTCAGGGGGGGCAGTAGATGTGAGGTCCCAGGGGCAGTAGATGTGAGGTCCCAGGGGCAGTAGATGTTAGGTCTCAGGGGGGCAGTAGATGTGAGGTCCCAGGGGGGCAGTAGATGTGAGGTCCCAGGGGGGGGCAGTAGATGTGAGGTCCCAGGGGGGGGCAGTAGATGTGAGGTCCCAGGGGCAGTAGATGTGAGGTCCCAGGGGGGGGCAGTAGATGTGAGGTCCCAGGGGGGGGCAGTAGATGTGAGGTCCCAGGGGGGGCAGTAGATGTGAGGCCCCAGGGTGGCAGTAAATGTGGGTGTCCAGGGTGGAAGTAAATGTGATGAAGTTTTTGGGCCAACAAACCTTGAGCCCCTTCAATCTCTATATCAACCAATGGCTGTCCAACTAGGGCTATAGCATCCACCTCGTGGTACAGTCTGCGTACAACACCATCATAGCGGCTTGTGATGGTCACAGAAGCCTTGTCACTTTTCACTTCACAGATGCTGTCAAACTGTTTCACAGTGTCCCCTGGCTTGACAAACCTTCAATCAAAGTTCAAATATCTTTCTACATACAAACATACAATCACAGCATGCATACGTTTCTACATACCAATATGCAATCACATTATACATCAGAAATAAATGACTGTTTATTTCAAGACTTTATGGAGAGGCACATATTACAACTAATTTCAATTTAAGGCTGCTGACTGTTTGATAATTAGCACACACAAACTCACCACTCTAAAACGACAACTTCTCGAATTCCCTCTCCTATATCAGACAGTTTATATGGTACAACAACAGCTCGTGCTGAAAATAATGGCAAAAATATCAGTCTTCAATCTTAATTGTAATATTGGAGAGGATTACCTTAAGCACCATTAAGCATTATGTGTCAGCAAGCTCATAACATTTCAGTAAGGGAGACAACAAAACATGCTCATAACATTTCAGTAAGGGAGACAACAAAACATGCTCACGGTATTTCAATAAGGGAGACAACAAAACATGCTCATAACATTTCAATAAGGGAGACAACAAAACATGCTCATAACATTTCAATAAGGGAGACAACAAAACAAGCTCATAACATTTCAATAAGGGAGACAACAAAACATGCTCATAGCATTTCAATAAGGGAGACAACAAAACATGCTCATAACATTTCAGTAAGGGAGACAACAAAACATGCTCATAACATTTCAGTAAGGGAGACAACAAAACATGCTCACGGTATTTCAATAAGGGAGACAACAAAACATGCTCATAACATTTCAATAAGGGAGACAACAAAACATGCTCATAACATTTCAATAAGGGAGACAACAAAACAAGCTCATAACATTTCAATAAGGGAGACAACAAAACATGCTCATAGCATTTCAATAAGGGAGACAACAAAACATGCTCATAACATTTCAGTAAGGGAGACAACAAAACATGCTCATAACATTTCAATAAGGGAGACAACAAAACATGCTCATAACATTTCAATAAGGGAGACAACAAAACATGCTCATAACATTTCAATAAGGGAGACAACAAAACAAGCTCATAACATTTCAATAAGGGAGACAACAAAACATGCTCATAGCATTTCAATAAGGGAGACAACAAAACATGCTCATAACATTTCAGTAAGGGAGACAACAAAACATGCTCATAACATTTCAATAAGGGAGACAACAAAACATGCTCATAACATTTCAATAAGGGAGACAACAAAACAAGCTCATAACATTTCAGTAAGGGAGACAACAAAACATGCTCATAACATTTCAATAAGGGAGACAACAAAACATGCTCATAACATTTCAATAAGGGAGACAACAAAACATGCTCATAACATTTCAATAAGGGAGACAACAAAACATGCTCATAACATTTCAATAAGGGAGACAACAAAACATGCTCATAACATTTCAATAAGGGAGACAACAAAACATGCTCATAACATTTCAATAAGGGAGACAACAAAACATGCTCATAACATTTCAATAAGGGAGACAACAAAACATGCTCATAACATTTCAATAAGGGAGACAACAAAACATGCTCATAACATTTCAATAAGGGAGACAACAAAACATGCTCATAACATTTCAATAAGGGAGACAACAAAACATGCTCATAACATTTCAATAAGGGAGACAACAAAACATGCTCATAACATTTCAATAAGGGAGACAACAAAACATGCTCATAACATTTCAATAAGGGAGACAACAAAACATGCTCATAACATTTCAATAAGGGAGACAACAAAACATGCTCATAACATTTCAATAAGGGAGACAACAAAACATGCTCATAACATTTCAATAAGGGAGACAACAAAACATGCTCATAACATTTCAATAAGGGAGACAACAAAACAAGCTCATAACATTTCAATAAGGGAGACAACAAAACAAGCTCATAACATTTCAGTAAGGGAGACAACAAAACATGCTCATAACATTTCAATAAGGGAGACAACAAAACATGCTCATAACATTTCAATAAGGGAGACAACAAAACATGCTCATAACATTTCAATAAGGGAGACAACAAAACAAGCTCATAACATTTCAATAAGGGAGACAACAAAACATGCTCATAACATTTCAATAAGGGAGACAACAAAACAAGCTCATAACATTTCAGTAAGGGAGACAACAAAACATGCTCATAACATTTCAATAAGGGAGACAACAAAACATGCTCATAACATTTCAATAAGGGAGACAACAAAACATGCTCATAACATTTCAATAAGGGAGACAACAAAACATGCTCATAACATTTCAATAAGGGAGACAACAAAACATGCTCATAACATTTCAATAAGGGAGACAACAAAACATGCTCATAACATTTCAATAAGGGAGACAACAAAACATGCTCATCACATTTCAATAAGGGAGACAACAAAACATGCTCATAACATTTCAATAAGGGAGACAACAAAACATGCTCATAACATTTCAATAAGGGAGACAACAAAACATGCTCATAACATTTCAATAAGGGAGACAACAAAACATGCTCATAACATTTCAATAAGGGAGACAACAAAACATGCTCATAACATTTCAATAAGGGAGACAACAAAACATGCTCATAACATTTCAATAAGGGAGACAACAAAACATGCTCATAACATTTCAATAAGGGAGACAACAAAACAAGCTCATAACATTTCAATAAGGGAGACAACAAAACAAGCTCATAACATTTCAATAAGGGAGACAACAAAACATGCTCATAACATTTCAGTAAGGGAGACAACAAAACATGCTCATAACATTTCAATAAGGGAGACAACAAAACAAGCTCATAACATTTCAATAAGGGAGACAACAAAACAAGCTCATAACATTTCAATAAGGGAGACAACAAAACATGCTCATAACATTTCAATAAGGGAGACAACAAAACATATTCATAGCATTTCAATAAGGGAGACAACAAAACATGATCATAACATTTCAGTAAGGGAGACAACAAAACATGCTCATAGCATTTCAAGAAGGGTATATATTCATTAGTCAATCAATACTTGACCTAGTTACATGAAAAGCTGTTGGATTATTGACCTGAACATGTTTGAGCATCTCTATGAAAAGCCCACTCACAGGTGTGACAAACTAAATGGCTCACACAGCAATGTTAATGTTTTCTCTGGCAGAGGTAGACAATAGTAGCAAGCTCAGTGCTCCCAGCTCTAATGGTGGTCTAGGATACACAGCATGTTGGCTCTACTATCATCAACTCAACTAAACATCATTTCATTATCATTACTTAAGCAGCCAAATAATCAATAAAATCATATCATAACCATGAAATCAACAAAAACGGATAAGCATGCAATCAATTAAAATCTGATACCTTTTGTTGTTTGAAAGTCCCTTTTAAAACTAAGAGACTGCAGTGATGAGAGTAGAGTTCCATGACGACAGTGATATTGGCAGCACACAAGCTGTTTGGGAAGGCCCGCAGAAAAACTTTGTCCTTGCTTCTGGGAAAATAATTCAATTTAATTATAATCTGATTTTAAAAATGAGATTTTAATTTGAATTAATTTACTGGTCTAAAAACCAAAAATCTTCAAACTCGGCTTTAAAGCTGGTGAAATAGGGATATTAGTAGTATAGTAATTAGTAATACATTCTAATACTAATGTTACATTTTTCAAAAACAATTAATAAATTATGTCTGCAATCAAGATATATAACGTCTTGCATTAAGAAAATGAAAGACATTTTTAATTCCAACACATCCAAGGCGTGGCAGAGTAAACAGAATAGTGTGTGAACTGACCCAGTAGCTCTGAGCTGGAATCTGAAGTCTTTTTTATTTTATTTTGTTTGGTGTTTTTGTTTAGAAATTTTTTTTAATCTAAATTTTAATTTTAAAAAAAATTATTCAAAATTTCCAAACATCCTTACTTGATCAACTTAATGTTCTGTTTATCTATTTATCTATTGAGGATACCAATGTCTAAAAATAGACTCTTGCAAAAATTGGTGTATTAGGTTGTTAGTAGTATTATTATAATCTCAACTATTTTTATGGTTAAAAATAGGGTTCGGTGAATGGTAGGACTAGGATTAGGGTTAGGGCACACTTTCAGTAGCTCTTGAAGGACAATTATTAACAACGTTTTTGTGTGTTTCGGTTCTGTTTTAAATAAAATAATAAAACTGGAGGTGATCGTGAAGCGGGGAATAAAATACGCTAAAATGAAGTTTTACCCTATATTTTATATTCATACTATTATTAACATTGAGCAAAAAACAGGAGGGTGATCACAGCGGTAGTTTTACCGCACGCAGTACTTTATTCTAGACTATGGACCTATTGACTTAATAATAAATTATAAAAATAACCATACTAACAAACATTTTAAATTAGGGCTATGAATTTTTATTTTGTAAAACTCCATTTTAGCGTATTTTATTCTCCGCTTCTTGTTTACCTCCAGTTGAGCGTATTTTATTATAATAACGGAGAAGGTTTCTGGGGTGGGGGAGGGTGGGGGTGGTGGGGAAGGGGATTTAATTTTACATGGATGCGATGTGGCACCCTGATCTTTCCCGTGAGCGCTATGGCAACTACGTTCGGTCTAAACAGTGTGATAGACAATGGATAAGATGGGGCGTTACAGTCGCTCATTAAATTGAATCAGGCGTGTCCGCCGGTGCCCTGGTAGGGGGCGATTTGGCTGCAAACACAAATTTTAGTTTCGGCCCCCAAAGGCTCACATGGGCTTTTGAGGACCCTGTAATTTGTTTTATTTTAATAATCAGAAAAATTAACCAAGTTTGGATTATTAACTGGGATGTTTCTTTTTGTCCGTAAAAAAATCCAAAAAGTTTTGTCACTTTGCAAATGATGCAACTAGCATTTATTTTTAGACAATCCAATCAGTAATTGAGATCGAGCATCTAATAATAGACCATTAGTAACGCTAACATATTGCGTCAGCCAAACTGATGCTTATAACACGTCAAATAATTTTTTTACATGTTAAAGAAAAAATCCTGTTCATTTGTGTCACTTTAGCGATTGACGCAATCTGCATAATTGTTAACAGGATACTATTTGGCACTCTGGGTTATACTAATAGCACGATGGCGCCTATGTTAGTTTTAAATAGCCAGGGGCCGTACGCAAGTGTAACTGGGGGCTCCAAAGAGCGCCCCTCTACGTCCTTGACACATGGGTGGTCACCAAAGTGTCTTCTACCTCAATATTTCGCTGAGTGATTAACGCACACTCAAGGTTTTCACGCGGTAGTGTAGGTAAACCCGTGTCCCGATAGTTATGATCCAAGCACAGGCATTGTTTACATTTAACTAACTCAGCTTTAGAAAACAAGGTCACACGTCTAAGAAGATAGGATTGGTAACACATTGATAAAAAACCGTCTTATATATTACGTCAGACTTACTTTTATCCCCGCGGCATCGCGCAGGGACGGGTACGCTATAATAAAATAGCCGATTCTAGTCGGAATAAGATACGCATGCGATACGCATGCGCAATGGAGAGAAACTACGACTTAGCGGCGATGTTTTCGATGGTACTGCGCATGCGTGTGTTTACAACCGCAGAACCCTAATACCAACCCTAATCCTATCCTTAACCCTATCCTTAACCCTATCCCTATTCCTATCCATAACCCTAGCCCTAATCCTATCCCTAACCCTATCCCTAATCCTACCCCTAACCCTCATTCTAGCCCTAACCCTAGCCATAGGTCACTGCGCATGCGCAGAACTATCTTTTGCCGAAAAATCTTATTCCGAGTAGACACTTCGTAATAAAATACACTCAACTGGAGATGAACATGAAGCGGGTAATAAAATACGCTAAAATGGAGGTTTACCTTTTTTTTTTAATTAGGCCTATGCCTAATTTAAGTTATTTTTAAAAATTTAAGACAAGAAAGTTATTAGTTAATTTAAAGTTACCAGTACCACTGTGATAATTTTTTGCAAGGTTTTTTGCAGTGCCACTCTTCTTCCGACGAGAGCCGCCATCCGATAGATCTAGGTTCCCTCTAGATCTAAATCTAGAGTATCACAGTAGGCCTATAGATTAAGAAGAGCTAGGGGAAAATCAGGTGGTTAGGATCTTGATTCAAGTTGTAGACTAGAACTTCATCCAGATTCAAGATCTAAGGAGTAGATCTAGTAAAACTACTAAAATAACATTGAAGAGTAGTAGTAGTTTTTAAGAAACTGATGTTCGTGGCACAAATTCTACACCTTTCTTGCAAAATTTCTCTGTGTAATGAAGCTTAAAATATATAGATGGTAAAAGGACCTAGAAAAAAATCTCCTTATTTTTATAACTATTATTTTGATTTTTCGAACAGCTTTAATGTTAAATATAAACAAGTGGATCTAAATCTACATCTAATTGTTTTGCGTTTCGCAAAAAGTCCCGGTGCTTTTAGCTTGTTTTTTTACTTCTGCTAATGTTTACAAATTGCACCAAAACATATTTCTTTGCCAATGATTATTAATTAATTTATTATGGATGATATATAAAATCAGTTCTAGATCTAGATCTAGATAAGTTCTTCATATAAAAAAAAATGAAGAATAAAACATTGTTAGGGCTAATGATCTAGATCTAGACTAAATCTAATTATTAATTAATAATGGAAAAATATGAAAAAATTAGAGTTGTTGGAAGAGGCGCATACGGGTAAGTAAAAAAAAGTTTAAAAAGTTAAAAGTTTAACTTTACTTTAAAGTTTAATTTTTAAACTACAACAGAGAAACTTGGTAAAAGAATTCTAGAATAGATTAAATGTTCATGCAGATTTCTATATAGTATATATACTATATACTATATAGATCTAGCACTCAAGGTTCATTGTCAAAATAATTCAAATTGTTCAAAATAGGCCTATAATAAAAATCTATCGTTTTGGGTACGTAAAATCGCCCGCGATTTGTAATGTGAAAAACAGGTGACTCCTTAAATTTTAATAATTATTTCACATTTTGAGGAGGATTTATGTTTTAAAAAATTCAAAAATGTTTCCTTGATTCATTTACGAAGTGACTACGCGTCTCGCTAAGCGTGGCCCCTAAAGAAAATACTACGCATCTCGCAGGTTCGATTTGTCATCTTGCAATTTAAAATGCTTATTTTTGAGGGCTCTATCACATCCTCTGTGGTTGAGTCAACAGTGTGCCAGCTGTAGTCTGAAGTTCATAGACCCGGAGTTCAGAGTTCGAACCCGGGGTTCACATTATTTTTTTTACATTTTTTTTCATGTTGAAAATATGACGTAGATTATGATTTTTTTTTTTAATAAAATTTCCAAACATCGTCACTGTCGTGCTTGCTTGCTTGCCTTACGTTTACTATCCCGTGAGTGGAAAATCCCACCACAGCCCACGGTTGGCGAGGTCACTGAGTTCAGCAGGCCTAAAGCATAAGTCATAGACGTTCACTCGAGATCGTCTGTCTTCACTTCTCTCTTCCTCCAACCCCCCTCCCCCCTCAAGCAAATTGAATTTTTTTAAAGGATAAATAATATAGACTTAGATCTACTACTATCACGCATGCTTGGCCTAAAGGTTAAAGGACAGTTTGCTTTAGCTAGGTTGCTGCTAGGTCTAGGACTATCATCTGACCCATTTGACCTCACAAACTTTCCTTGACACTACACTGTACTGTTTTTTTACAAGTACTAGACTCTTAGGTGTTGAAATAATATAGATATCTAAATACACTTAAACTCGATCTAGATCTATGTCAACATTAAATTGTTACCACGAAAAAAAAAATCGGGCAGTCCTGATATCTGTTTTTTTTTAGATCGCGTGCCACCTAGGGTAAAGATTAAGCGTAACGCGGAGCGAACTGCGCAAAGGCGGCCTTACGCGTAACGCGGAGCGAACCGCGCAAATGCGGCCATTCATTTATGTACCTGTTTTTAAACAATTGAATTAAAACTTTTCCGTAATAAATGAAGACTAGCGATGTTTCCAACAGATGCAACCATGCTCATTTACTATAGCAGCCATCTTGTCTAAGTTTTATTTTTATAAGCTTTTAGCGCCAGATTCAGGGGGAAGCCACTCTATTTTACAAATGGCTGCTGTTTATATAGCAAATCTTGCTCTCCGACACTGCTGTTTTAAGTTAATTTCTGGCCTATATCGATATATTTAGCCATTGATTTAGGTTTATTATTCATTTATCTATAATATTTGACACAAAAGTATGACAATATACTTTTATTAAAGCCTTGACAATGAGGTAACGTTTTCGTACATAAATAGCCGCGGGCGATTTTACGTACCCAAAACGATAGATTACCTTAAATACTTCCACTTAGTCGGCAAAAGATAGCTCTGCGCATGCGCAGTGACCTAGGGTTAGGGCTAGAATGAGGGTTTGGGGTAGGATTAGGGTTAGGGATAGGATTAGGGATAGGATTAGAGTTGGTGTTAGGGTTCTGCAGCTGTAAACACACGCATGCGCAGTACCATAGAAAACATCGCCGCGAAGGCAAGTCATAGTTTCTCTCCATTGCGCATGCGTATCTTATTCCGGCTAGCATCGGCCTAAATACTTTCAAAGATATTGTACCGCAAAGTTGAGCTAAGTTATTTGGGCTATCAATGAACAGATTTATAATGGACACCAGCGAGAAATGTCTCAAAGGTATTTGAGAGGTCCATAAATTAATTTAAAAATCTTGCACGGCGTTGTTACAATTAATATGGTTATAAAATCCTGTCTGTCTGTTTTTTTTCGGACTTTACTAAAGATTGGATGTATTTGATGTTTTTAATATTTTCGGTAACTAAATAAAAATAAAAAAAAAAAGCAAAAACAATTTGGTTTTCACGTGTAATGGCGACATACACAATGGCATCCTGCTATTGGATAGGCCGCCATAAATTTTATTGTACACATTGTAAGCTAAAAATAGAAAAACTAGGTCATGGTGTTTAAATTTGCATTGTTATTTAAAAACTTGATCTGCAAAGTTTTGTAAACAAAATCACTATAAAGTGGGGCTGTCAGAAATCGATCATGGAGTTCCTTTACAGCCAATCAATGTTTGTCTTACAAAAGTGAAACATCGGGTTATAACTTAGGCTTGATGAAAATAAATAGAAATGTAGCCTTAAACTCTACAAATTATTTTCAAGTTCTCTGGATCTGCAACTTGTATAGCATTGATTTTAAAAATATTAAATTTCTGAATTAATTTTAGGCTTAAGTTTTTAATAAAATTGTATCTTTTATTATTTTTATGGTCCTAAATCTAAAAAAGCACATTTTTATTCCATGTCAACAACATTACGGAAGGATTTTCGTCAACTCACTGGTGTCCATTGAAATCTCGACGTTTATTTTTATTTTTCTATGATAGATCTATATAATACTAATCACTATAATAGCGATGCTCACTAAATTGTAAATCTCATTATATTTCCATTTAAACATTACCAATGAAAAATATAGATCAATATCTAATATATTAAACACTTTATTTGATGGTACTACCTCATTTGGATCTTAATTTATTGATCAATTTTTTTTGCCACCTACGTCAGTTGAGGAAAAAAAATTCCGTGACAACCTCATATCAGTCTGAAGATGCAATCTGTACAGACTGTACAAGGTAGCCCATTTGATTTCGTTACTCCATTTCTATTATTTGGCCTACCCCCAAATTAATATTTACTTAACGGAGTAGGCCCTATAACATATTATGTTGATTTGATAGATTTTTCTTTTTAAAAATGTCATCGCATTAAAATTAATCACACGAGAGTGTGAAAAATGCATTAGAGACATCGTCAAGGACCACGCACGGCAGACAGCTTGCTCGCTCGCGCTGTTTAGTTAGCGAGCGCAGCCTCGCCCGCCACAGCACACACATGACCTATTCCATGTACTTATTTACTAATTAGTAATGTAAGCCTAGGCCAACACACATGACCTATTCCATGTACTTATTTACTAATTAGTAATGTAAGCCTAGGCCAACACACATGACCTATTCCATGTACTTATTTACTAATTAGTAATGTAAGCCTAGGCCAACACACATGACCTATTCCATGTACTTATTTACTAATTAGTAATGTAAGCCTAGGCCAAAGGCTAAAAACAAAGTGAAATTTACAAAAATTAATTAGGCTATGTGAAATTTAAAAGCACGATACATAATTAAATAAGTAAATATAGTAATTTAATTGATAGGTCCGCTAATGCTAATTCTAGTTTAGTACGCCAGCTCTCACTGATTTCCATAATTGTGGTATGGGGGCTTTTATTGTCTAAACAAATATCTATTATCCCATTGCCCAGTTGAAAGACTGATAATTAAGCTTAATTAGCCTAATTACGTCTAATTACGTGAAAAAAAATAGACAAATAAAAAGTACCCATTAAAATAAAAAAAAACAATAGCCTAGCAACAGAGCATACCAGCCTTTTTCTCAATGGCAATGAAGTCATGTCTAAAAGGAAATGTTTTTGGTGACTTTCTTATGGTTCAAATTTCACCATGATTCAATCAAAAACTTCCTTTTTTTTTCATAGCAAGTTTAATCTAATAATTGCTCACACACCAGACCCAATTTGGTTGAGTCTAGGTTAGTATTTAAAATTTTTACAAGGCTCAAAGTTGACCAATTTTTACGTTTGGTCTACATTATCGGGAGCAAATAAAAAAAAAATGTCCTGGCATAGACAATACTATCATCTAAAAATAACTTAGATTACACAGAAAACCCACCATTTTTCGCGAGATTAATATTTTTAAAGTTAATGTTAAGATAGTGACTTGAACAAAGCAAAAAAAATTCTCCAATCGTATGCCAGGTTAGGTAGCCATATTGTTGTTAGCAACGACCACTCATTTTAGGTTTGTGAGCATCGCTACTATATAATATAAATTTATAGATCTATATGTGAGTATGTGATTGAACCTGAGCTGTATACCTGAAATCTTGATGTTTATTTAAATTTATGACATGTATTGTAACAACTCCTAATAAAGCTGGCCATACATTTTTAAAAATCAAACAAAAATAAAAATTAATGCGCAGTCTGACGTCTGACTGAATCACTGTGCTGATCTACACAACGTTTTGGCACAGCAGAGTGTTTGGTCACATGGCACTGGGTGGTTGACAAGAATGGTAAATACTATAAACATTTCTAAAGCAACACATGACAGGAATTATAAAGCTTGAAAAAAAAAGTAGATATCTTTATGTATGGTTTTATACATATTTAATTCATTCGTCTTTGTTAAATATTCTTGAGACCAACATTAACAATGTGCTCATACAAACTGTTTCAAAATGCCACACATCAAAGTATTCAAAGACTCAGAGATTCGTGTTTTCTTTAAATGAAATGTTATCTTAATACTTCCAAATCCTGGGCAAGTCATTATCAAACAATACTTTTTCTCAGAACTGTCCATCTTTGTGTTCATCTAAGCGAGCGCAAGCATGTTATCATAAAACAAATTCCAGTGGAGCAGATGACAAAAGATGAGCGTCAAGCTGCGCTGAATGAAGTCAAAGTGCTCTCTATGTTACACCATCCAAATATCATACAGTACTATGAAAATTTTTTGGAGGATAAAGCCTTGATGATAGTTATGGAGTATGCTCAAGGTAAATAGTGTGATGATAGTTATGGAGTATACTCGAGGTACTTAGTGTGATGATAGTTATGGAGTATGCTCCAGGTACTTAGTGTGATGATAGTTATGGAGTATGCTCCAGGTACTTAGTGTGATGATAGTTATGGAGTATGCTCCAGGTACTTAGTGTGATGATAGTTTTGGAGTATGCTCAAGGTACTTAGTGTGATGATAGTTATGGAGTATGCTCAAGGTACTTAGTGTGATGATAGTTATGGAGTATGCTCAAGGTACTTAGTGTGATGATAGTTATGGAATATGCTCAAGGTACTTAGTGTGATGATAGTTATGGAGTATGCTCAAGGTACTTGGTGTGGGGAACAGGGCATTTCCCCCCTGTCAATTACCCCCCGGATATTTCCCCCCCGACATTACCCCCCAGAGTAATTACCCCCCCTGTCAATTAACCCCCTGTCAATTACCCCCCGCCCAGTAGGACATTACCCCCCCCCCCCCCCCGGACAGGGTTAGAGTTAGGTTTAGGGTTAGGTTTAGGGCAAGGGTTAGGGTTAGGGCTAAGGTTAGGGTTAGGGTTAGGGCTAGGGTTAGGGTTAGGGCTAGAATTAGGGTTAGAGCTAGTGTTAGGGTTAGGGTTGTGTCTAGCTTTGGTTTTGGTTTTGTGTGAAGTTTTAGGCTGAGGTGGATGCTTAGATTTTGGTCTTTTTCTTAAGGTTTGGATTAAAGTAGCATGTAGGTATAAAATTCTAGTTAGAGTTAGGATTCTAACTTGAGAGGGGGGGGGGGGGTAATTTCCCGGGGGGGGGGGGGGGTAATTAACAGGGGGTAATTGCTCCGGGGGGTAAATACGGGGGGGAAATATCCAGGGGGGTAATGTCCTGTAGCCCTTGGTGTGATGATAGTTATGGAGTATGCTCCAGGTACTTAGTGTGATGATAGTTTTGGAGTATGCTCAAGGTACTTAGTGTGATGATAGTTATGGAGTATGCTCAAGGTACTTAGTGTGATGATAGTTATGGAGTATGCTCAAGGTACTTAGTGTGATGATAGTTATGGAGTATGCTCCAGGTACTTAGTGTGATGATAGTTATGGAGTATGCTCCAGGTACTTAGTGTGATGATAGTTATGGAGTATGCTCAAGGTACTTAGTGTGATGATAGTTATGGAGTATGCTCAAGGTAAATAGTTTGATGATAGTTATGGTGTATGCTCAAGGTAAATAGTGTGATGATAGTTATGGAGTATGCTCAAGGTACTTGGTGTGATGATAGTTATGGAGTATGCTCCAGGTACTTAGTGTGATGATAGTTTTGGAGTATGCTCAAGTTTCTTAATCCTAGACTGCTGTTACACTTAAATCTTTGTGGAATAAGGATTTAACTTTTACTTAGAGCGGTTTCAAACTTTGTTAAACTTAAACATATTATGGTTTTAAACTTTATTGAATTTTAACTCAGAGCAGGTTTAAATTTGATTGAACTTTAACGTAGAGCAGTTTTTAATTTTTTTTATAATTTTAATTTTTTTTCCACCAATGCCAACTGTTCTTAGATTTTATTTGGGACTTTTTATTCAGGTGGAACCTTGTTTGATTATTTACAAAGCAGAAATGGCTGTTTGTTAGAAGAGGAGGTAAATTAAAAATTTTCTTTGTCATGTTAAGTTAACTGTACCTGTTAAATAAGTAAAATGTGTGAATATAAATGTGAGGGTGGTATGAAATCCACCTCAACTCTCTGATGCTAACCTCATTCCCATTGGCCATCAACTCTCTGGTGCTAACCTCATTCCCATTGCTTGCTCTATTGGCCATCAACTCTCTGATGCTAACCTCATTCCCATTGCTTGCTCCATTGGCCATCAACTCTCTGGTGCTAACCTCATTCCCATTGGCCATCAACTCTCTGGTGCTAACCTCATTCCCATTGCTTGCTCTATTGGCCATCAACTCTCTGGTGCTAACCTCATTCCCATTGCTTGCTCTATTGTAGTATTGGCCATCAACTCTCTGGTGCTAACCTCATTCCCATTGGCCATCAACTCTCTGGTGCTAACCTCATTCCCATTGGCCATCAACTCTCTGGTGCTAACCTCATTCCCATTGGCCATCAACTCTCTGATGCTAACCTCATTCCCATTGCTTGCTCTATTGGCCATCAACTCTCTGATGCTAACCTCATTCCCATTGGCCATCAACTCTCTGGTGCTAACCTCATTCCCATTGCTTGCTCTATTGGCCATCAACTCTCTGGTGCTAACCTCATTCCCATTGCTTGCTCTATTGTAGTATTGGCCATCAACTCTCTGGTGCTAACCTCATTCCCATTGGCCATCAACTCTCTGGTGCTAACCTCATTCCCATTGGCCATCAACTCTCTGGTGCTAACCTCATTCCCATTGCTTGCTCTATTGGCCATCAACTCTCTGGTGCTAACCTCATTCCCATTGGCCATCAACTCTCTGGTGCTAACCTCATTCCCATTGCTTGCTCCATTGGCCATCAACTCTCTGGTGCTAACCTCATTCCCATTGCTTGCTCTATTGGCCATCAACTCTCTGGTGCTAACCTCATTCCCATTGGCCATCAACTCTCTGGTGCTAACCTCATTCCCATTGGCCATCAACTCTCTGGTGCTAACCTCATTCCCATTGGCCATCAACTCTCTGGTGCTAACCTCATTCCCATTGGCCATCAACTCTCTGGTGCTAACCTCATTCCCATTGCTTGCTCTATTGGCCATCAACTCTCTGGTGCTAACCTCATTCCCATTGGCCATCAACTCTCTGGTGCTAACCTCATTCCCATTGGCCATCAACTCTCTGGTGCTAACCTCATTCCCATTGCTTGCTCCATTGGCCATCAACTCTCTGGTGCTAACCTCATTCCCATTGCTTGCTCTATTGTAGTATTGGCCATCAACTCTCTGGTGCTAACCTCATTCCCATTGGCCATCAACTCTCTGGTGCTAACCTCATTCCCATTGCTTGCTCCATTGGCCATCAACTCTCTGGTGCTAACCTCATTCCCATTGCTTGCTCTATTGGCCATCAACTCTCTGGTGCTAACCTCATTCCCATTGGCCATCAACTCTCTGGTGCTAACCTCATTCCCATTGGCCATCAACTCTCTGGTGCTAACCTCATTCCCATTGGCCATCAACTCTCTGGTGCTAACCTCATTCCCATTGGCCATCAACTCTCTGGTGCTAACCTCATTCCCATTGCTTGCTCCATTGGCCATCAACTCTCTGGTGCTAACCTCATTCCCATTGCTTGCTCTATTGTAGTATTGGCCATCAACTCTCTGGTGCTAACCTCATTCCCATTGGCCATCAACTCTCTGGTGCTAACCTCATTCCCATTGCTTGCTCCATTGGCCATCAACTCTCTGGTGCTAACCTCATTCCCATTGCTTGCTCTATTGGCCATCAACTCTCTGGTGCTAACCTCATTCCCATTGGCCATCAACTCTCTGGTGCTAACCTCATTCCCATTGGCCATCAACTCTCTGGTGCTAACCTCATTCCCATTGGCCATCAACTCTCTGGTGCTAACCTCATTCCCATTGGCCATCAACTCTCTGGTGCTAACCTCATTCCCATTGGCCATCAACTCTCTGGTGCTAACCTCATTCCCATTGGCCATCAACTCCCTGGTGCTAACCTCATTCCCATTGCTTGCTCTATTGTAGTATTGGCCATCAACTCTCTGGTGCTAACCTCATTCCCATTGGCCATCAACTCTCTGGTGCTAACCTCATTCCCATTGGCCATCAACTCTCTGGTGCTAACCTCATTCCCATTGGCCATCAACTCTCTGGTGCTAACCTCATTCCCATTGCTTGCTCTATTGTAGTATTGGCCATCAACTCTCTGGTGCTAACCTCATTCCCATTGGCCATCAACTCTCTGGTGCTAACCTCATTCCCATTGCTTGCTCCATTGGCCATCAACTCTCTGGTGCTAACCTCATTCCCATTGCTTGCTCTATTGGCCATCAACTCTCTGGTGCTAACCTCATTCCCATTGGCCATCAACTCTCTGGTGCTAACCTCATTCCCATTGGCCATCAACTCTCTGGTGCTAACCTCATTCCCATTGGCCATCAACTCTCTGGTGCTAACCTCATTCCCATTGGCCATCAACTCTCTGGTGCTAACCTCATTCCCATTGCTTGCTCCATTGGCCATCAACTCTCTGGTGCTAACCTCATTCCCATTGCTTGCTCTATTGTAGTATTGGCCATCAACTCTCTGGTGCTAACCTCATTCCCATTGGCCATCAACTCTCTGGTGCTAACCTCATTCCCATTGCTTGCTCCATTGGCCATCAACTCTCTGGTGCTAACCTCATTCCCATTGCTTGCTCTATTGGCCATCAACTCTCTGGTGCTAACCTCATTCCCATTGGCCATCAACTCTCTGGTGCTAACCTCATTCCCATTGGCCATCAACTCTCTGGTGCTAACCTCATTCCCATTGGCCATCAACTCTCTGGTGCTAACCTCATTCCCATTGGCCATCAACTCTCTGGTGCTAACCTCATTCCCATTGGCCATCAACTCTCTGGTGCTAACCTCATTCCCATTGGCCATCAACTCCCTGGTGCTAACCTCATTCCCATTGCTTGCTCTATTGTAGTATTGGCCATCAACTCTCTGGTGCTAACCTCATTCCCATTGGCCATCAACTCTCTGGTGCTAACCTCATTCCCATTGGCCATCAACTCTCTGGTGCTAACCTCATTCCCATTGGCCATCAACTCTCTGGTGCTAACCTCATTCCCATTGGCCATCAACTCTCTGGTGCTAACCTCATTCCCATTGCTTGCTCTATTGTAGTATTGGCCATCAACTCTCTGATGCTAACCTCATTCCCATTGCTTGCTCTATTGTCCAGGACATTCTAAGATTTCTGGCTCAAATGCTGCTGTCACTGCAACATGTTCACTCCAAGCAAATCCTTCACAGAGATTTAAAGACTCAAAACATTTTGCTAGACAAGAAGAAAGAAATTGTCAAGATAGGAGATTTTGGTATTTCAAAGGTTCTCAGCAGCAAAAGCAAGGCATATACTGTAAGTCATCTTTTGTGTCAGCACATTTTCTTCCGTCTCCTGTATTATGGTCAATCATCTTTGTGTCATGTCTATTGCTGTAGGTTATATTTCTCCATAACTAATCTTTAAAACAGTTTATAAGTGTATGTATCTTTTATTTTTCTCTTTGTGTAGGTAGTCGGGACACCCTGCTACATCTCTCCAGAACTATGTGAAGGCAAACCGTATCTTTGGTCAATTGTTAATGGATGCTAAAGCTTATTTTTGCTTTTGTCAATTTTAATTTTTTCAAAGTTATGAAATGATCAACATTGTATGCATTAATGTATGTAAAGTGTATGCACAATGATTGAGTCCTGACTTTAAAAAGATACAACCAGAAAAGTGATATCTGGGCCCTGGGATGTGTATTGTACGAGCTGGCCAGTCTGAAGAGAGCTTTTGAGGCAGCTGTAAGTAAACCAACAATGCTATCTATGTTGTATCATCTGGCCCGGCCTAATATTTGACAAGATCATGGCCATTTCAGATATTTGACAAATGTTTCCCAGAACTAACCAGCGTGTCCAAATGTTCCCCAGAATGAATAAACTTGTCCTAATGTTCCCCAGAATGAATAAACTTGTACAAATGTTCCCCAGAACTAACCAGCTTGTACAAATGTTCCCCAGAACTAACCAGCTTGTCCTAATGTTCCCCAGAACTTGCCAGCTTGTCCAAATGTTCCCCAGAATTAACCAGCTTGTCCTAATGTTTCCCAGAACTAACCAGCTTGTCCAAATGTTCCCCAGAATGAATAAACTTGTCCTAATGTTCCCCAGAATGAATAAACTTGTACAAATGTTCCCCAGAACTAACCAGCTTGTACAAATGTTCCCCAGAACTAACCAGCTTGTCCTAATGTTCCCCAGAACTAACCAGCTTGTCCAAATGTTCCCCAGAATGAATAAACTTGTCCTAATGTTCCCCAGAATGAATAAACTTGTACAAATGTTCCCCAGAACTAACCAGCTTGTACAAATGTTCCCCAGAACTAACCAGCTTGTCCTAATGTTCCCCAGAACTTGCCAGCTTGTCCAAATGTTCCCCAGAATTAACCAGCTTGTCCTAATGTTTCCCAGAACTAACCAGCTTGTCCAAATGTTCCCCAGAATGAATAAACTTGTCCTAATGTTCCCCAGAATGAATAAACTTGTACAAATGTTCCCCAGAACTAACCAGCTTGTACAAATGTTCCCCAGAACTAACCAGCTTGTCCTAATGTTCCCCAGAACTAACCAGCTTGTACAAATGTTCCCCAGAACTAACCAGCTTGTCCTAATGTTCCCCAGAACTAACCAGCTTGTCCTAATGTTCCCCAGAACTAACCAGCTTGTCCAAATGTTCCCCAGAACTAACCAGCTTGTCCTAATGTTCCCCAGAACTAACTAGCTTGTCCAAATGTTCCCCAGAACTAACCAGCTTGTCCTAATGTTCCCCAGAACTAACCAGCTTGTCCAAATGTTCCCCAGAACTTACCAGCTTGTCCAAATGTTCCCCAGAATGAATAAACTTGTCCAAATGTTCCCCAGAACTAACCAGCTTGTCCAAATGTTCCCCAGAACTTGCCAGCCCTGATACTGAAGATCATGCGAGGAACTTTCTCGCCAATCTCGTCCCACTACAGCCCCCAGCTGCGGGGCCTGATCCTCAGCATGCTGCACCTGGACCCAGCCAAGAGGCCCACAATCAATCAGATCATGGCCCAACCAATTATCATCAACACCATCATGAACCTCCACACAGATACTGGCAAAGTGCCTTGTGTCAGGTTAGCTCCAGTTTTAGCTGACATTTTTCTCCTTTCTTCTCTTCACATTTATTATGCCCCTTTTGAGAAATGCTAATCACTTTATTATGCCCGTCTGAGAAATGCTAATCACTTTATTATGCCCCTTATGAGAAATGCTAATCACTTTATTATGCCCGTCTGAGAAATGCTAATCACTTTATTATGCCCCATGTGAGAAATGCTAATCACTTTATTATGCCCCATGTGAGAAATGCTAGTCACTTTATTATGCCCCTTATGAGAAATGCAAATCATTTTATACACTTTATGCCCGTTTGAGAAATGCTAATGACTTTATTATGCCCCATAAGAGAAATGCTAATGCCTTTATTATGCCCCATAAGAGAAATACTAATGACTTTATTATGCCCCATAATAGAAATGCTAATGACTTTATTATGCCCCATAAGAGAAATGCTAATGACTTTATTATGCCCCATAAGAGAAATGCTAATGACTTTATTATGCCCCATAAGAGAAATGCTAATGACTTTATTATGCCCCATAATAGAAATGCTAATGACTTTATTATGCCCCATAATAGAAATGCTAATGACTTTATTATGCCCCATAATAGAAATACTAATGACTTTATTATGCCCCATAAGAGAAATACTAAAGACTTTATTATGCCCCATAATAGAAATGCTAATGCCTTTATTATGCCCCATAAGAGAAATACTAATGACTTTATTATGCCCCATAAGAGAAATACTAATGACTTTATTATGCCCCATAAGAGAAATACTAATGACTTTATTATGCCCCATAAGAGAAATGCTAATGACTTTATTATGCCCCATAATAGAAATGCTAATGACTTTATTATGCCCCATAAGAGAAATACTAATGACTGTATACACAAGATTTGTTCTGCCCCACAGAATAAATCGTCCTCTGTCAAGCATACAAGGAACTGGTCGGGGACGACAAACTTCTCGGGGTAATGTGACTTCCAGAGGTAATTTTTTTTTTTAGTTAACTGTCAACTTTAATGTGACTTCCAGAGGTAATTTTTTTTAGTTAACTGTCAACTTTATGAGTTGAGTGATAATAGCAACATCTGTTGATGTGAGTTGAGTGATGATAGCAACATCTGGTGATGTGAGTTGAGTGATGATAGCAACATCTGGTGATGTGACTTGAGTGATGATAGCAACATCTGGTGATGTGAGTTGAGTGATGATAGCAACATCTGGTGATGTGAGTTGAGTGATGATAGCAACATCTGGTGATGTGACTTGAGTGATGATAGCAACATCTGTTGATGTGAGTTGAGTGATGATAGCAACATCTGGTGATGTGAGTTGAGTGATGATAGCAACATCTGGTGATGTGAGTTGAGTGATGATAGCAACATCTGGTGATGTGACTTGAGTGATGATAGCAACATCTGGTGATGTGACTTGAGTGATGATAGCAACATCTGGTGATGTGACTTGAGTGATGATAGCAACATCTGGTGATGTGTCTTGAGTGATGATAGCAACATCTTGTGACATGACTTGAGTGATGATAGCAACATCTGGTGATGTGACTTGAGTGATGATAGCAACATCTGTTGATGTGAGTTGAGTGATGATAGCAACATCTGGTGATGTGACTTGAGTGATGATAGCAACATCTGGTGATGTGACTTGAGTGATGATAGCAACATCTGGTGATGTGACTTGAGTGATGATAGCAACATCTGGTGATGTGACTTGAGTGGTGATAGCAACATCTGGTGACGTGACGTGAGTGATGATAGCAACATCTGGTGATGTGACTTGAGTGATGATAGCAACATCTGTTGATGTGAGTTGAGTGATGATAGCAACATCTGGTGATGTGACTTGAGTGATGATAGCAACATCTGGTGATGTGACTTGAGTGATGATAGCAACATCTGGTGACGTGACTTGAGTGGTGATAGCAACATCTGGTGACGTGACGTGAGTGATGATAGCAACATCTGGTGACGTGACTTGAGTGATGATAGCAACATCTGGTGATGTGAGTTGAGTGATGATAGCAACATCTGTTGATGTGATAAAATGTTGTCTGGTGATCCCCAGATGGCACAAGGCCCCAGCCCCTGAGCTGTGTGTACTGCTGGGGTGGGGGCATCAACCTGCCCATCAAACTGCCCCTCCCCAACACAGAGACGCAGGTGGAACAGGTCTCCACAGGGAGGACACAGCGGGCAGCCCTCACCAAGAATGGGAGGCTTTTTGTCTGGGAGGTACAGTCAGTGTATTGGGGAGAGGGGGTTACTCAGTTTTATTTGTGGGTAGGAGGTACAGTCAGTTTATTTGTGTGTGGGAGGTGCAGTCAGATTATTTGTGTGTGGGAGGTGCAGTCAGTTTATTTGTGTGTGGGAGGTGCAGTCAGTTTATTTGTTTGTGGGAGGTGCAGTCAGTTTGTGTGTGGGAGGTGCAATAAGTTTATATGTGTGTGGGAGGTGCAGTCAGTTTTTAATGCGTGTGGGAGGTGCAATAAGTTTATTTGTGTGTGGGAGGTGCAGTCAGTTTGTGTGTGGGAGGTGCAGTCAGTTTGTGTGTGGGAGGTGCAATAAGTTTATATGTGTGTGGGAGGTGCAGTCAGTTTGTGTGTGGGAGGTGCAATAAGTTTATATGTGTGTGGGAGGTGCAGTCAGTTTGTGTGTGGGAGGTGCAGTCAGTTTGTGTGTGTGGGGTGCAGTCAGTTTGTGTGGGAGGTGCAGTCGGTTTGTGTGTGTGGGAGGTGCAGTCAGTTTATTTGTGTGTGGGTGAGAGGTGCAGTCAGTTTGTGTGAGAGGTGCAGTCAGTTTATTTGTGTGTGGGAGGTGCAGTCAGTTTATGTGTGGGAGGTGCAGTCAGTTTATTTGTGTGTGGGAGGTGCAGTAAGTTTGTGTGTGGGAGGTGCAGTCAGTTTATTTGTGTGTGGGAGGTGCAGTAAGTTTGTGTGTGGGAGGTGCAGTCAGTTTATTTGTGTGTGGGAGGTGCAGTAAGTTTGTGTGTGGGAGGTGCAGTCGGTTTATTTGATGAAATGTTTGGTAGCCTCAGGCTGTTGGGACGGACACACTGTTGCCTGGTTCAACAGACAGCCCAAGTTTTGTGCCACGTTTTCTAGAAGGTCAAACTGCTGTCACTATACAACAAGTGGCCTGTGGGGATTTGTTTACTGCCTGCCTTACAGGTACACCTTTTGTTTACTGCCTGCCTTACAGGTACACCTTTTGTTTACCGCCTGCGTTACAGGTACAACTTTTGTTTACTGCCTGCCTTTACACCTTTTGTTTACTGCCTGCCTTACAGGTACACCTTTTGTTTACCGCCTGCCCTATAGTGATCTCCCTTTAAAAACCTTTTTTTTTTTCTGATTGTTACAGATCGTGGAATTTTAATGACTTTTGGAAGTGGTGCTAATGGATGCCTGGGTCATGGCAACTGTAATGATGTCACACAGGTCACATTTTCCCCCTTTTTGATTGAACTCTATTTGATCTTGATTTACTTTCAATACTTTTATCCTTTCTATGTTTGTGTGATGTTAGGCCTACCCTTTTGTTCTCACTATGTGAACTGCTTCCTTCCTTGCAGGCCAAAATTGTGGAATCTCTGCTGGGTTACGAGGTGATCCAGGTCTCCTGTGGGGCCTCGCATGTGCTGGCTGTCACAAATGAACATGAAGTCTTTGCTTGGGGAAGGGGAGACAATGGTAGGTCATGGGTGACCTGTATCATCAAACTGGGGAAGGGGAGACAATGGTAGGTCATGGGTGACCTGTATCATCAAACTGTGGGGAAGGGGAGACAATGGTAGGTCATGGGTGACCTGTATCATCAAACTGTGGGGAAGGGGAGACAATGGTAGGTCATGGGTGACCTGTATCATCAAACTGTGGGGAAGGGGAGACAATGGTAGGTCATGGGTGACCTGTATCATCAAACTGTGGGGAAGGAGAGACAATGGTAGGTCATGGGTGACCTGTATCATCAAACTGTAACTAAAGCTTATTGCAAAAACCTTCCCCAGATTTAAGCTTTATAATTTGCTCAATTATTAAAGTCACAAACTATACTAATTAAATAAAGAATTGTATAATTAACGCAAAGAAAATAATTGGACATGTTTTCTAGCAGTAATTATTGTTTAGGGCTAATTTAGTGATGCCATTATGTGGTTCAAGTAAATAGCCTCAGTAACATTTCTGTTCGTGTTCAATTTAAAAATTCCACAATTACAATAGTTTCTGATTGCTTATTCTAATAGCTTAAATATCTAACTTAGTATAGAATCTATTTAACTATCGGTTTCTTTAATACAAATTGAAAATCACGATAATGTTGAAGTTTAAGCAAAAAGAAGCTTAAAATTTGTACAAAACTTGACGTAGAATAAAATAATAAAACCACTAGAAACTTTTAACTTTTAGGGAAAATCTTGCTCAATTTTGTACTATATTTAATTAGCATAAATAGGGTAGAAGCGCTTTTTGAATGATAATATTGTGATAGAAAGATGGTAGGGTAAAGGCAGTAATGGCAGTCACATCACATTAGTAGTGTATGTCGCATTAGGTTGCATTCGTAGCAAATGAGTCCTACTGTATATGTATGAACCAAATGTCTACATTGAAGTTTGTACAGAAACAAATTTAGCATGGAGTTACCTGCAAAGAAAAAACTCGTCTTGACTGACCTTCTCTTGTAATTGCTTAGGTCGCCTAGGGCTTGGTAATTACGAGTGTACCATGTCACCCCAACTGGTGTCTGTCCCCAGTCAAAGCCATCCTTGCTCTGTGCATTGTGGCATGGATTGCTCAGTCATCTTGACACTGGAGAATTCTCTTCTCTCTACTGGCAGTAACAGGTAGGCTCCTGCACTTTGGTGTGTCGTCGTCCCCCCCGTCCCCCCCCCCCCCCCTCACACTTTTGTTTGGTTAAAACATCACTTAATATATCAGTATAGGCTCAATGTCTCTGCAATGAGTAGAATTTCTTAGAATGGATGAAACAGTTTTTGGTCACATGTTGTTATGTCACCAATCATTGAGATCCACGAGTTATCTCCAGTGAGAAGAAATGACAAAAATATAGATAATAAAAAATGTTCAGGAAGAGATTTTTATGAAAGTGTATTACTTAGGCTGAACCCATCCCTGTATTCCTTAGATTTTTCCTTTGATACAACAAACTAGCCTTGTCATAGCCCCCAACTTTTAGATTCAACAAACTTGCTATAACCTCCAACTTTTACATACAACTAGCCTTGTTATAAGCTCCAACTTTTTTAGATACAATAAACTTGCTCTAACCTCCAACTTTTAGATACAATAAACTTGCTCTAACCCCCAACTTTTAGATACAACAAACTTGCTCTAACCCCCAACTTTTAGATACAATAAACTTGCTCTAACCCCCAACTTTTAGATACAACAAACTTGCTCTAACCCCCAACTTTTAGATACAATAAACTTGCTCTAACCCCCAACTTTTAGATACAACAAACTTGCTCTAACCCCCAACTTTTAGATACAACAAACTTGCTCTAACCCCCAACTTTTAGATACAATAAACTTGCCTTGCTCTAACCCCCAACTTTTAGATACAACAAACTAGCCTTGGACAGGATAAGCTTGGATGGAGCAGTAGAAAATTTGGTAGAGGAGACAACAAGCTTCACACCTGTGTCATCAGCTCCCATTACAAACCTTCCCATCAAATTAGTGGCACTGGGCACCTCACATTCAGCTGTTGTTACAGGTACAGTAACATTTTCTTGGGTCTTACAGCTGTTAACCCAATGTTTCAGCATACAACTGTTTGCCCCATGTTTCAGCATACAACTGTTTGCCCCATGTTTCAGCCGATGGCTTTAATACAACTGTTTGCCCCATGTTTCAGCATACAACTGTTTGCCCCATGTTTCAGCATACAACTGTTTGCCCCATGTTTCAGCATACAACTGTTTGCCCCATGTTTCAGCATACAACTGTTTGCCCCATGTTTCAGCATACAACTGTTTGCCCTATGTTTCAGCATACAACTGTTTTCCCCATGTTTCAGCATACAACTGTTTGCCCCATGTTTCAGCCGATGGCTTTAATACAACTGTTTGCCCCATGTTTCAGCATACAACTGTTTGCCCCATGTTTCAGCATACAACTGTTTGCCCCATGTTTCAGCATACAACTGTTTGCCCCATGTTTCAGCTGATGGCGACTGCTACACATTTGGTTCCAACCAGTTTGGACAACTTGGAGTTGAGACAGAACCTGCTCACAGAAGACCTCAGCTGGTGGCCTCACTTCCACACAAGGCCATCATGATTGCCTGCGGTGACATCTTTACTGTGGCTGTAGCTGATGGTCAGTTGGGTCCTTACCTGTGGTACATACAACTGAAAGTTGGGTCCTTACCTGGGGTACATATGACTGTCCAGTTGGGTCCTTACCTGTGGTACATATGACTGTCCAGTTGGGTCCTTACCTGTGGTACATTCGACTGTCCAGTTGGGTCCTTACCTGTGGTACATATGACTGTTGTTTGGGTCCTTACCTGTGGTACATATGACTGTCAGTTGGGTCCTTACCTGTGGTACATATGACTGTCCAGTTGGGTCCTTACCTGTGGTACATATGACTGTCAGTTGGGCCCTTACCTGTGGTACATATGACTGTCAGTTGGGCCCTTACCTGTGGTACATACGACTGTCCAGTTGGGTCCTTACCTGTGGTACATATGACTGTCAGTTGGGTCCTTACCTGTGGTACATATGACTGTCAGTTGGGTCCTTACCTGTGGTACATATGACTGTCCAGTTGGGTCCTTACCTGTGGTACATATGACTGTCCAGTTGGGTCCTTACCTGTGGTACATATGACTGTCAGTTGGGCCCTTACCTGTGGTACATATGACTGTCAGTTGGGCCCTTACCTGTGGTACATATGACTGTCAGTTGGGCCCTTACCTGTGGTACATATGACTGTCAGTTGGGCCCTTACCTGTGGTACATATGACTGAAAGTTGGGCCCTTACCTGTGGTACATATGACTGAAAGTTGGGCCCTTACCTGTGGTACATATGACTGTCAGTTGGGCCCTTACCTGTGGTACATATGACTGTCAGTTGGGTCCTTACCTGTGGTACATATGACTGTCAGTTGGGCCCTTACCTGTGGTACATATGACTGAAAGTTGGGCCCTTACCTGTGGTACATATGACTGAAAGTTGGGCCCTTACCTGTGGTACATATGACTGTCAGTTGGGCCCTTACCTGTGGTACATATGACTGTCAGTTGGGTCCTTACCTGTGGTACATATGACTTTCAGTTGGGTCCTTACCTGGGGTACATATGACTGTCCAGTTGGGTCCTTACCTGTGGTACATATGACTGTCAGTTGGGCCCTTACCTGTGGTACATATGACTGTCAGTTGGGCCCTTACCTGGGGTACATATGACTGTCAGTTGGGTCCTTACCTGTGGTACATATGACTTTCAGTTGGGTCCTTACCTGGGGTACATATGACTGTCAGTTGGGCCCTTACCTGGGGTACATATGACTGTCAGTTGGGTCCTTACCTGGGGTACATATGACTGTCAGTTGGGCCCTTACCTGTGGTACATATGACTGTCAGTTGGGCCCTTACCTGTGGTACATATGACTGTCAGTTGGGCCCTTACCTGTGGTACATATGACTGTCAGTTGGGCCCTTACCTGTGGTACATATGACTGTCAGTTGGGCCCTTACCTGTGGTACACATGACTGTCAGTTGGGTCCTTACCTGGGGTACATATGACTGTCAGTTGGGCCCTTACCTGTGGTACACATGACTGTCAGTTGGGTCCTTACCTGGGGTACATATGACTGTCAGTTGATTCCTTACCTGTGGTACACATGACTGTCAGTTGGGTCCTTACCTGGGGTACATATGACTGTCAGTTGGGCCCTTACCTGGGGTACATATGACTTTCAGTTGGGTCCTTACCTGGGGTACATATGACTCTTCCATTACAAAATAATATTAAGGTAAGCTTGTGTGTAGTGGACATTTAAAGAGCCTTGCTATACTGCAAGATGTGTGATGGACGCCTGCTGTTTCCACCAGACCATCAGGTGTACACTTGGGGCAAATGCTCCCGTGGCCGTCTAGGAAGAATGGATGAGGAGAGCCACCTACCAAAGCCTGTGCTGTTCCCACAAGATGAAGACCCCTTTGTTGTTGTCTCAGTCTCCAGCAGCCATGGTGGAACTGTCATTGCCACCAAACGTAAGGATAACTCTAACTTTGAGTAGCCATAATTGACAGTTTAGATAGCAAGTGCCTTTTCTTTTATTATCTCATTTTATCATTTGATTTCAATTTTTAAAAAATACACAGAAAAGGAACTTCGTTTTTTTATAGTTCAGCTGTTACAATTGCACATGGGTTTCTTTTATCAGGTGTTGACAAGTTTTTTCTTTTCAATTTTGTCATCAAATCAGCTGTAAAAATTTGTATTAAAACTAATTTAAGACTGAAAAAAATCAGAATTACTTTGAGAATGTTTCACTAAACAAATTAATTGCAATTGTAAATTTTTTTAATCAAATATAAATATGTCAGGGTCAACATGTTTTAAAGTATCACATCTGCTATTTCTAATATTATAAAAATATTATTTTATATGCGGTATTTCCCTATATTGTGTGCTAGCTTATTGAACAGGATGTTTTTGTTTATGTCTTCATTACCACATAAAAAACCAAATTTTTTTTCCCTTTTTTTTTAATTACCAAACAGTCAAATATGTCAGCTCTTTAATATTCAGACAAAAAACAAATAATCCAGTTTTTTATAACCACTTTTATTTTAATTATGCTGTCAATTTTTTAAATATTTAAGATTATTCAAGGTTTGGTCAATTTTTTGGCACATTTTCAAACTAGCGCATGATGCCTAATTGGAGTTTTAAATTGAGCAACCAAACTGGTGACTGCAAGCCTACCATAACTACCAAACCAATGAAGAATCCCATTAGAAATGTAAACAAGGCTGCATTATCAGGCCAGGAGAGAGAGTCTGATTTTGACCGCTCAAAAAACAAAAAATCATTTTTAAAATCTTTGTATTATGTCTTGACATTAGTAACCTTCCTCAACAATATAAAATTTTCAAGTGCAGAGAGCTTGCATTCTCAACATGAATATACATCATATAAGTGGCCAGCCCTAAAACCTGGTCATCTAGTTACTTCACCAAATAGATTTTAACCTGACGTTTTTGTATTTCCAGCTAAACAAAGATCATCAAGCCCTGTCTGATGTTAGTTCTCCACCAGAGGCATTAATATCATATGTGAACACTCAACCAGAGGCATTAATATTTTATGATGTGAGCACTCAACAGACAGCCGCCTACATAAGGCATCCACATCATTATGTTAGCTGTCTACCTAAGGCTATCACATCATGATGTTAATACCTGTCTACAGAAAATGATTATATATCACATTAGCAACAAGAGTGCACCTGTTAGTTCTGTTGACTAGTGTTACTATAAAGCTTTATATAACACATTTTTAAGATTGTCAACTACCACAGGTGAAAGATGGATGTCATGTAAAGACGTGCAATAATGTCTGTGTATCATATTCACTCACTTCATCTGTGCTATTGCTGTTTAGTTGGTTGGTCACTAATTCATCATGGAAAATGTTGCCTGTATACCTTAGAAATAATGATGGTGTGGATTATATTCCAGCTTCAACTTTTATTAATATGACCACACACACACACAGAAGAGCACCGTGTAAACAAAGTTATTTTTCTTAAATAAATGCTGGTTTTTGGCACCAAGTCTTTGTACCCATGAAAGTTAAAATAAATGGGTCCATTTGTAAATAGAACAAACAAGGAAGTTGTTTTAGATAGGATTGTTTGAAGAGGGAAGTTGTTTAATTGTTTGGTAGAACATCCGATTGAGAGGATCAAAATCATCATAGGATAAGAAAAGCTGCCCTTAGCATGCTTACATGATATGGCTTGTTTATGGAGGTATCAATTTTTTTGCTTAACAAAAGAGAGCTTTGGTGATGTGGGAAATTTAGTGAGCTGCATAGGAGCATCATTCTGTAATAGAATGTAGCTTGTTGCTAACAGTCTATCATGCTAAATTCTCAATACAACGTCATAAAAAACATTTTAAAGAACCCCAGCCTTGAATACATTTAACTTAAATCACGTGACTCAATACCTGAGGATTATTTAGTTGGTATAGAGCTGCCAGCTACTGTTGTCCGATGAAGAATCCTGAGACCAACTTTAGAAACTGGGTACTGTGTTTCTGGTGTGGCTTCATGTGCCACGGCCCTGTTGTCTGATATGATAAAATCTCCTTCACGCCACTGGAAAGTTTTAATCAGGGAGTCAAGGATAGCATACAGTCTTGACAAAGTTTTAATCAGTGAGTAAAGGATAGCATACAGTCTTGACAAAGTTTTAATCAGTGAGTCATGGATAGCATACAGTCTTGACAAAGTTTTAATCAGTGAGTCAAGGATAGCATACAGTCTTGACAAAGTTTTAATCAGCGAGTCAAGGATAGCATACAGTCTTGACAAAGTTTTAATCAGGGAGTCAAGGATAGCATACAGTCTTGACAAAGTTTTAATCAGGGAGTCAAGGATAGCATACAGTCTTGACAAAGTTTTAATCAGGGAGTCAAGGATAGCATACAGTCTTGACAAAGTTTTAATCAGGGAGTCAAGGATAGCATACAGTCTTGACAAAGTTTTAATCAGCGAGTCAAGGATAGCATACAGTCTTGACAAAGTTTTAATCAGGGAGTCAAGGATAGCATACAGTCTTGACAAAGTTTTAATCAGAGAGCCAAGGATAGCATACAGTCTTGACAGTTTTAATCAGGGAGTCAAGGATAGCATACAGTCTTGACAAAGTTTTAATCAGTGAGTAAAGGATAGCATACAGTCTTGACAAAGTTTTAATCAGGGAGTCAAGGATAGCATACAGTCTTGACAAAGTTTTAATCAGGGAGTCAAGGATAGCATACAGTCTTGACAAAGTTTTAATCAGAGAGCCAAGGATAGCATACAGTCTTGACAGTTTTAATCAGGGAGTCAAGGATAGCATACAGTCTTGACAAAGTTTTAATCAGTGAGTAAAGGATAGCATACAGTCTTGACAAAGTTTTAATCAGGGAGTCAAGGATAGCATACAGTCTTGACAAAGTTTTAATCAGGGAGTCAAGGATAGCATACAGTCTTGACAAAGTTTTAATCAGGGAGTCAAGGATAGCATAAATCTTGACAAAGTTTTAATCAGCGAGTCAAGGATAGCATACAGTCTTGACAAGGTTTTAATCAGGGAGTCAAGGATAGCATACAGTCTTGACAAGGTTTTAATCAGGGAGTCAAGGATAGCATACAGTCTTGACAAAGTTTTAATCAGGGAGTCAAGGATAGCATACAGTCTTGACAAAGTTTTAATCAGGGAGTCAAGGATAGCATACAGTCTTGACAAAGTTTTAATCAGGGAGTCAAGGATAGCATAAATCTTGACAAAGTTTTAATCAGAGAGTCAAGGATAGCATACAGTCTTGACAGTTTTAATCAGGGAGTCAAGGATAGCATACAGTCTTGACAAAGTTTTAATCAGGGAGTCAAGGATAGCATACAGTCTTGACAGTTTTAATCAGGGAGTCAAGGATAGCATACAGTCTTGACAAAGTTTTAATCAGGGAGTCAAGGATAGCATACAGTCTTGACAGTTTTAATCAGGGAGTCAAGGATAGCATACAGTCTTGACAAAGTTTTAATCAGGGAGTCCTCAAGCTAACAACAACTGCTGCGCCCCCATTAGCCTATATAACAGTACAGACTAGTTCCAGCCATAAGCCTATATAACAGTACAGACTAGTTCCAGCCATAAGCCTATATAACAGTACAGACTAGTTCCAACCATAAGCCTGTATAACAGTACAGACTAGTTCCAACCATAAGCCTGTATAACAGTACAGACTAGTTCCAACCATAAGCCTATATAACAGTACAGACTAGTTCCAACCATAAGCCTATATAACAGTACAGACTAGTTCCAACCATAAGCCTATATAACAGTACAGACTAGTTCCAACCATAAGCCTGTATAACAGTACAGACTAGTTCCAACCATAAGCCTATATAACAGTACAGACTAGTTCCAACCATAAGCCTATATAACAGTACAGACTAGTTCCAACCATAAGCCTATATAACAGTACAGACTAGTTCCAACCATAAGCCTATATAACAGTACAGACTAGTTCCAACCATAAGCCTATATAACAGTACAGACTAGTTCCAACCATAAGCCTATATAACAGTACAGACTAGTTCCAACCATAAGCCTATATAACAGTACAGACTAGTTCCAACCATAAGCCTATATAACAGTACAGACTAGTTCCAACCAGAGGCGTTGTGAGGGGAAGGGGGGTGCGGTCCGCATCGGGTGACACCATTCAGGGGGATGATGACACCATGGCAAAAATAATATTTATATAGAAAAACATGATCATTCCAGTTAAATGATTAATTAGAGATTAGAGCTAAAAAGTCTTAATTAAGAGCAAAATTGACAAATCTTGACGTTAACCTGCTAACTATATAGAAAACTATACTACATCTAGCTGTATTTATAACTGACTTTAGATGAATATCATTAGTATTATATGTGCACACTTTAAAGCTATCACTTGGAAGGGGGGGGGGGGGGTGTGGGGTGACACAAATAAACGTTGCAAAATTTGCCTGAGGAAAAAGGTTTTCTTGAGAACTGTAATAACTGAAACGTCATTCCATGTCTGGGGAGTGACACCAAATTTATTAATTTACTAATACAATAATTTTTCCACTTGCATTAATAACTGTTAGAGTTAGGCCCCTAATTGCTTTTTTCTAGGTGGATGCAGTGATGCCTTTTGACAAAAAGTTGGGGAGGGGGGTGACACAAAATACACCATCCACCGAAGTGGATTGGGATAAAACCACATTGGAAACTTACAAATCTACTTATCCTTTGATGAAGCAAATTATTATACTACAGCCTTCGTGTCTGTGTAAATGTGTGGAGGAGTGGCTGACACTAGTAGAACATTTGATTAGTTATCTATGATGTGTAATATGTTTAATGGGTTAGTTTTCTATTCCTAAAAAGTTGTGATATGTGGCTAAAATCAATGTATAAATTCATGGATTTTTGTCTTTGTCATAAATATTTATCGATATGTAATGAGTTAAATAAAAACATTTTGTTTTTCAATTACTACCTAAAAGTTCATGTTTCAAAAGAACACAGCTTTTGAAATGTATTGATCCATTGTAAATAAATTAAGTTAAAAAAACTTGAGAGATGAAAATAAATAATGGAAACCATAAACAATATAAACGAGCAACAGATAAATATAACAGGTTGGCTTGCCACATTGACACATGTCGACCAAAATCCACAAAAATTGTGGACGTCATAAATGAATGACCCCATATACAAAGTATATATATATATATATATGAATATAGATGTACATATATATATACACATATATCTATATAGATTTTTTTCGGGGGGACGACACCCAACCTAGCGACGCCATGGGTTCCAACCATAAGCCTATATATCTGTAAAGACTAGCTCCAACCATTAGACCTTTAAAAAATTGTTTACCCACATTTCTTCTACTTCTACAATAAGAAAACCAGATGAACAAATGGAAAATAGCCAAATCAGAAAAATAACCAAATCAGAAAATAAGATATACTGAATAGAAAAGAGAAAACGCCCTACTGAAAACTGAAAGAACTGGAATGCTAGATATGTTTGGAGAAGTCACATCATGTTTTTCTCACATTATCTGACTCAAACTTACCTCGTGTTCATAAATTAGTTTCCCATCTTTCTTAACAATTTCTTCATGAATTTCACCCAAAATTTGTCTGGTTTCTGCCTGATTTGTCATTCTCTGCTGGCTGGTTTTGTAGTCCCAGATGAAAGCACCAATCATCCCCAGATGGAAACAGAGAACCTGCAAATAAAAAGTTTCTAAAACAATGAAAACAAAAGTAAAGCACTTCATTTTAAATGTAATTAATAAGTAGAATTATAATTGATTTTTTCTTGTATTAATTAAAGGGTCTTTAAGTGGGTCGACAGCATAGCTATTACAAAATTATAGCTAAACCCAGTGATGTATGCAGGTTTTCGGGATAGCTGCTTCAATAAACCGGGAGTGATCTCCCCTAAACTTTCTTGAATATTCTTATATAAAATAACAGGGGATGGGAACTCGGGCTATAGACATGATTTTTAATCCATTTTAAATACTTAAAGTTTTAAAAATAGAATAAAATCTCGTAGACAGATTAATTGCACACCAAGTGAACGCCAAATAAAAAAGCGTATAATAGTGCGCAATATTATTAGTACTTTAAAAATTTACATTAGTTTTTTGAGAAATCGGAAGTAGCGTAAATTACTACTTCCAGTCAACGGAAATTACTCAAAATTTAACAGAAGGTAGAGAATTAGATCTTTTACTTACATGTGAAATTTCATTTATCTATCTGAAATAGTACTCAAGTTATAGGCTTTTGAAAAATTCAAAGTAGGAAAAGTACCACTTACGGTTATCGGAAATCGCTCAAAAGTTGATACGGATCTACGATTTTGATAAAATACTTATATATGACATTTCATCAACCTAGCTGTAACGGTACTCAAGTTATCGTGTTTACACACGGACAGACAGACAGACAGACACACAAACATACGGACAAGATTGCAAAATTATGTTTTTCCGTATCAGTGAGGTGTAAAACGTCGAGATTTGTAAAAATCTTGATTTTTTTTTTTTTTTTGCACGATTACAAGACTTTCTCTATACTTCGTATATACGAGAAAGTAAAAAAAGGTGCCAGTTTCTTTATATATATATTATATGTATGTATGTATATAATATATATATATATAAATCTGCATATATATATATATATATATATATATATCTGCATGAGTTTGATAAAAAATATGTGGCTGTCCTGACAACTTCAAAACAAATTGCATTTTTTATATCAACCTGGCTATCCATATTGTTAATTTGATAGCTCTACATATGTTGCCAAACATAAAAGGCATAGAAAAATAGATGAGACAACATGAAAGAAGGATGGGGCAAACACTGTCAGGGGGGGGGGGGGTGAACATAGGGGACAGTAGAATGGAGGAAGATGATCAATGGACGCTTGGTACACAAGAACAGTTCAAGACCCAGGACAGACAGGTAGATGGAAGACTGCATCAAACTGCCAGTAGTCCTTCCCAGCTTGGGCCAAATGTTTGTCTTACATTAGGAGATGGGAGCAGGGTCAGACATTAGATGGAGCAGGGTCAGACATTAGGAGATGGGAGCAGGGTCAGACATTAGGAGATGTCAGACATTAGGAGATGGGAGCAGGGTCAGACATTAGGAGATGTCAGACATTAGGAGATGGGAGCAGGGTCAGACATTAGGAGATGTCAGACATTAGGAGATGGGAGCAGGGTCAGACATTAGGAGATGGGAGCAGGGTCAGACATTAGGAGATGTCAGACATTAGGAGATGGGAGCAGGGTCAGACATTAGGAGATGGGAGCAGGGTCAGACATTAGGAGATGTCAGACATTAGGAGATGGGAGCAGGGTCAGACATTAGGAGATGTCAGACATTAGGAGATGGGAGCAGGGTCAGACATTAGGAGATGGGAGCAGGGTCAGACATTAGGAGATGGGAGCAGGGTCAGACATTAGGAGATGTCAGACATTAGGAGATGGGAGCAGGGTCAGACATTAGGAGATGGGAGCAGGGTCAGACATTAGGAGATGGGAGCAGGGTCAGACATTAGGAGATGTCAGACATTAGGAGATGGAGCAGGGTCAGACATTAGGAGATGGGAGCAGGGTCAGACATTAGGAGATGGGAGCAGGGTCAGACATTAGGAGATGGGAGCAGGGTCAGACATTAGGAGATGTCAGACATTAGGAGATGGGAGCAGGGTCAGACATTAGGAGATGGGAGCAGGGTCAGACATTAGGAGATGGGAGCAGGGTCAGACATTAGGAGATGGGAGCAGGGTCAGACATTAGGAGATGGGAGCAGGGTCAGACATTAGGAGATGGGAGTAGGGTCAGACATTAGGAGATGGGAGCAGGGTCAGACATTAGGAGATGTCAGACATTAGGAGATGGGAGCAGGGTCAGACATTAGGAGATGGGAGCAGGGTCAGACATTAGGAGATGGGAGCAGGGTCAGACATTAGGAGATGGGAGCAGGGTCAGACATTAGGAGATGGGAGCAGGGTCAGACATTAGGAGATGGGAGCAGGGTCAGACATTAGGAGATGGGAGCAGGGTCAGACATTAGGAGATGGGAGCAGGGTCAGACATTAGGAGATGGGAGCAGGGTCAGACATTAGGAGATGGGAGCAGGGTCAGACATTAGGAGATGGGAGCAGGGTCAGACATTAGGAGATGGGAGCAGGGTCAGACATTAGGAGATGGGAGCAGGGTCAGACATTAGGAGATGGGAGCAGGGTCAGACATTAGGAGATGGGAGCAGGGTTGGACATTAGTAATAAAACAGATAGTGTTAGTTACCTCACTAGTTAAAGACAGTTACAATTACTATGGACATTTCGACCCAAGGTCTTCGTAACCATACTGTTGTGTGCTGACAAAGACCTTCGGTCAAAACGTCAATAGTATTTATAACTGTCTTTAACTTGTGAGGTAACTAACACTATCTGTTTATTACTAATTGAATTAACCTCACTGCAGCTACCATTTGTATTTATCTTTTCGGGTCAGACATTAGGCTGGACAATGGCTCCCCATCTCCGTCCCCGTCCCCCCTGGACACACCATTGGGTAAACCTTACATGCCCTACAACATGTCAGTGGGATAATGGACACCAATACTAGCAGTTATAAAATCAACTTTGACTTACTGACTGCCCTGTCTGAGGGTGGGCATAGGTCAAAGGGTGAATGACATCATGGTCATTTCCCACCATCCATAACCTTTCCCACGAGGTTCTGCGCTCTTGGGACAGCGAATGAAGCAGTTCCGCAAAACCGACAAATGCTGAGAATTGACAGGGTAGAGATGAAATAACCAACAATCAAGAATTTCTTTAAATGTCATTCATCAACTGTCATAGTCCAGCTAGGGGCAAAATAAATACCCAAAATCCTAGCTAGCAATTGGCTAAGCCAACATTAGCTAGGGCTTCAAATAACAGATAAGTGCAAGCCAGTAACTAAATTTTTTTAAAATGGAGAGAGTTACCTGTAGAGCCTACTTTAGGTACAGCAACCATATGGTACAAAGCGTAGTCAAATGGTTTCTCCATGAAAGAGCCATCAATATGCCAGCCTGAGCGACCAACATTGCGGCAGCCCTCACGCTCATCATTAGACACTCTAAAGACATCCGGGTCAGGGGACCTTGGGTGTTTATAAAAAGTTGACTCTAAATCCCCAAGCCATCTGCTGATTCTAACATGGTCCTTCCCAGAGATCTTCCCTTGGTTTTTAAAAATCAGAAGGCAATGTTTGGTCAGCAGATGTTTGATGTCAGCAATGGTCTGACAAGAACTGACAGATATTAGATCAATGCCTCGGATCTCAACGCCAAGCTTTACTGGAGTAATATGTAAAGCCATTATTTTTGTATTATTCAGCTTGCCAAAATATTTGTTGCCTGTGCCAGATTACCACCAACATCCAAAGACTTTGTTGTTATCCTTCTTGCACCTGCAGATTAATAAAATAACAACAAAGAAAACTGTGCCGAGTTCACTAACATATTACTAGAGTAAACATTTCTTACACCTTTACAGCAGATATCATGAAATTAGAAAAAAAATGTAGTTTTAGATTTTATTTATTTCTAACTTAATTACCTCCCCTGCTCCTTAATTCTGTGGCTCGGTCATTATGTACATCTGTAAGTTTGTGTTCAAATCTTGTAATATAAGACTGCTTGTAATGGAGAGATCTCTTTTAAAATTTCCTGATAAGATCATTTCTGATGAAAACGTTTCATTTTCAATAATATATGAAATTACACGTTACATTAGTTACACTAAATTGAAAGTTACTATTTGAAAACAAAAGGGAGATAACTAGGTCAAGTGAGCTGGTGTTCTTATGGAATATCTACCAATCCTTAAGACGAGACAGGTTACTAAAAGCACGTAACAGTTGATTTATTTATTTTTTATAAGGGAATATTATCCTCATTTAGTATTTATTTAGGCTTATAGTATAAAGCAAACTTTATCAAGCGATGACAGTGTCAACTTAAAAAAGATTGATAAGAAAGAAAGAATAAATTGTTATGTTTGTCATTTGTATGGTGGTAATCAGAGGTGATGGGGTTGGATGGCGAAGTAAAATAAATTGCACTGACCTTAGATGACTGCAGGTAATGGGGTTGGAATAGTTGGATGAAGTAAAATAAATAAAATGTATATATTTTATTACAACACTAAAAAGCAAGAAGTGACTCATCCCAATGCAATATATTTATTATGTATGATGAAAAGGGGATCTACAACACATTGTATTTATTGTTTTTTGTAATATTATATGGATGATGGAAGATATATATGTCGGTTACTGTTAGGTTCAGTGTTTCTTCCAGACTTTTTTCTCCAGGGGGGGGGGGGGGGGGCACTTGAAATTTTCGGGGGGCGGTAGAATTTCTTCGGGGGGGGGGGGGGGGGGTGGGTATATATTTTCTATATAAATTAGGCCTATATAAATTTCACTTTGTTCGGGGGGGGGGGGGGCGGTAAAAAATTTTGCCCCCCCCCCCCCCCCCCCCCCCCCCCCCCGAAGAGATGCCTGGAAGAAACTCTAGTTAGGTTGTTACTTGCTTGTTAATACTAGGATTGTAATCTTGACTAGATCTAGCTTTTGGTTAGCAATTAATTAGGATTATGATAATAGATTATAGTTTATAGTAGGAGTAGGACTATGGATGATTGGGTTAACAGCGTTAGGGATAGGGTTAGCGATAGCATTGGATTGACTTTAGTGTCACTTTAGCAAGCTATGTAAGTATGTAGGCTATATAAATTGTGTTGTAGATATATTTTAATTTTAGTTAACTATTTACTAATTTAGGAAAAGAACACCCCTTTCTATTTTTTAAGAAGATTATATTTGTGATTTATACTTAACTATTATATTAGTATTAGGCCTAACTATTAACTAATTTTATTTATAAGTTAAGATCTAGATCTAGATTCTAGTAGCTACCTTACTTGCTAACTAGATTCTAGATCTAGTAATACTAGATCTAGATCTAGATCTACAAGATTCTAACCCTAACCCTAGGACACTCGGTATAAAAATTCGCCCAATAGTCAATAGTATAGTAATAGATCTAGATCTATATTTATTATTTTTATACTAGAGTCTATAATATTTAATAGCCATAGGGCCTCTATCTAGCTAGATCTACACATTCTGGATCTAGATTCTAGATCTTAAAGTATAGGTATAGATCTATATTATCTTTACCCAACTAGATCTAGAGTATTAGATCTAGACTCTATACATTATAATTTAGATCTAGAGATCTAGATCTAGATTTTATTTGTTCTAAAAATGTTTTTTTTTTTTTTTTGGTTTTTTTTTTTGGGGTTTTTTTTTGCGATTGGCAAGTGTTTGTTCTTGGAAACGACGACGCGGGTATACTAATACCGCGTTTACACTTATGACATGTATACTATACATTTCCAGAACACAAAGCCCGCCAAAAGTTCTTTTTTTATCTGGAACAATTTTCTCCACAGAACATGTTACTTTAGCATTCACACTTACAGAACATGTTATAGAACATTTTATAAAACAAGCATGACCTTTGACACAGAGCGTCTGCTATATAGGCCGAGATAATTAAAATAAAGAGTAATCAAAGTAAAAAAAAAAAAACTTAGATAGTGAGCACACAGCTTTATTTTAAAAAGGAAAATGGTGTAGCCACGGTGCTTGCGATTCAACAATGAATTATCTAAAAATTAGAGAGCATGCAAGATTTTATAAATTTTATTGGAGTGCCAGCAAATGGAGCTAGGGGTTGTCCATAACTGAGGGGGGGGGGTCCGTAATTTTGTGACGGTGTGTGACGAGAGGGGGGGGGGGTTGTTCAGATGGTGCGACATCCAACTTTTGCATTATAAAAAAGCAATTTTAGAAAACGAATTTTAGAGGTTATTTCGCGTTTTAGTTTTAGAACACTTTTAAAATAGGAATTGATTAAAATACTCTATTTTGACAGAGTTCAGACAAGATTTTGGAAAAATATCAATGTTTTAAGAAAAATTCAAACGCAATTTTGAAGGGGGGGGGGGTTGTAGACTGAGGTGTGACGTCATTTTAGGGGGGTCTGGCTTTTTGTGACGATGTGTGACGGAGGGGAGGGGGGAGGTAAAAATCGTCTTAAAAAGCGTGACGTCATTTATGGATGGCCCCTAATACAGACTTTTATTTTTATTATCGGATGCCCAATGAGTCTACATTGGGTCGGGTTCCCAGAAAAATGCGCAATCGGAAAACAGCGCAACGAAAAACTTTACAAACTATGCTAATACAGTTTAATTTTGTCCTATTTTTACAGTAAAAGTTACCGGCCAGGGCGCAAGAGTTCCTAGATGAACTTCAACGACCATGTGTTTGTGACTAAGGCAAGCCACCTAGATGGGGCATCTGGCTGTGATCAGACATGGAAGGGGTGGGCGCCCTTGACACCAGTGTTTCTTTCAAGCATAAAAAATTCTGAAAGAAACACTGCTTGACACAACGACCCAAATAATGGTTCATGGATCATTGATTTATTATTTATATTACAAATAAAATAGTAAGACAAGATAGAGAAAGTATGTGAAATGTGTGGACAGAACAATAGAAAAGCTAATCATGGAGAGGAAATGGCGATGGACACGCTTGGAAGGATACTCGCACTATAGCCAGACATGCCTTGCAGTGGAACCTCCTGGGCAAGCGACGCAGGGGTCAGTCTGGGAAGACATGGCGACGTAATGTGTTGGAGGCGGCCGAAAGGTCAGGAAGGAATAGCTGAAAATAGTTGCAGGAGACCGTTGGGGGAGTGGACAGATTTGACAGATTCTGTTCCACGATTTTTTTTATTGTAGGAGAAAGAAGCGAATTCGGCCTCCACCACGAGTTTATATATATATATATATATATATATATATATATATATATATATATATATATATATATATGGCGACATTTTTGGGCCCCCTATTGGTTTGGTCCCCACCAACACCCACATTACGGTATTACTGTATAAGGGTTCCGCCCAGTGTTTCTTCTAGACCACGGGTTCCCAACCTGGGGGTCGCGACCCCCTTGGGGGTCGCGAAGGTCTTTCTGGGGGGTCGCCAACTGGTAAACTAAACCTTAGTAATTTGAAACAAAACATAAATATTTAGAAGAATTTTTGAAATTCGGCTTCATTAACATCACTGGAAATGTAATAGAGAAGAAACAAAGCGCACTGTACAAAGTTGTTCTCAGTCACGAATCTATGAAATCTTCAAAACTAAAATGCCATTTGAGACGAGTCATTCGGAACACACCAAAAAATATATGGAGTTCTTTCGTCGGTAAGAAGCTAGTTGCAAACGCCAGAGACTTGATCGAACAGGAAGTTTTCACCAGCATTAGTGCAAGCATCAAATAAAGTCGCGATAGAAAATGCCAAGCAAAAAAAAACAATAGGAGAAAATCTCATCAAGCGCTGCATGTACGTAAATGTTAAATAACACACTTTTATCGAAATTAAGCTTTCACCATTGTTTGCTTTTCAAGTTGATAAATCAACAGACGTGAGTTTGTGTTGGCAGTTGCTGGTCTGTGTCTATATTAATGCGGATGATAGCAAAGAAGAGTTGCTCTTTTGTGAAGATAGCATGGAGAAAATAAATACCTTTTTTGAAACTGGATGATTAAAATGGGTTAGAACGGCTGTGGGGGTTTGAACGGATGGTGCGCCATCTATGTTTAGCTCAAAATCGGGCTTTCAGAAAACAGAAAAGATTTAGCTCCCTAACCACTGCCCTAACCAATCGACTTCAAGAGTCCATTGCTAGTATAAGTCGTAAATTATATAAAATCTGGAGCCTTCAAAGAACTGAGCAAAAACATTTATATAGATCACGAGGTTCTGCTCCTCTACACTACAGTACGCTGGCTGTCAAACGAAATGTTGTAAATTGTGTTTTTGAATTGAAATCTGAAATCGAATTGTTCTTGGGTGTGCAAAGGAAACAAGACTTTTTGGTATACTTAAAACGACATAGAGTGGTTGGAGAGAGTATCATACCTAGCAGATGTATTCGAACATCAAGATAAGCTTAACCTGAAGCTTCAGGAAAAATGAACGAATATTATAACTTTCCATGATAATCTCGGGGCATTTTTATCAAAGCTGCGAAATCGGTAAAGAAAATAAATCTTGGAAATATTGTAAATTTGAGAAACTCTGCGGTGTGGTAGATGAATCTGATTGTGAGATAATTGAAATTTTGAAAGACGCGATTTCTGGGCATCTTGAATCTCTTGAAAACGAACTGCATCGCTATTTCTCTGAGCTGAAAAAAAGAAGAATCTGCATTTACGCATTACCCATTCTCTTCTTCCCTTGATGTTGCCAGCATTCCCGATGAATTACAAGATAAATTATTTGATTTGCAGAATGATTCCGAGTAAGATGAAAAATGCAGACACAATTTTGGTGTAGTATTCACCATTCATACCCAAACGTAAAATTGATTGACTTTTCGAGAATATATTTTCAACACTATTCTTCGATTAAAAACAAAATTAAGATAATTATAATGACATAGGTTGGCGTTAACAAAAAAAAATTAAATTAAAAACTTAACCACGAAGGTTTAGTGAATAGTATGCAATTTTACTCATGCTATTAAAATAGTTATCAAGAGTAGTTCATATTGAAAGTCTATTAGAAAATCTTATTTTAGTGCTTATTAATTTCCATACTAATTTTGGCTTTTTAATTCTATGGGGGTCGCGGGTCACTTACTTTTTATAAAAGGGGGTCGCCACTCGAAAAAGGTTGGGAACCACTGTTCTAGACTTTTTTCTCCAGGCGGGCACTTCAAACTTTCGGGGGGGGGGGGGGGATGGACACTGTTAAAAGTATATATTTTCTATATAAATTCCAGTTCGTTTTTCATGAACATTATTTTAAAATATGATTTATTTTTATTCATTTGTTACAGTTTTAATTTTTTTGACTGCCTAGGTTTATTAAATATGTTCGATACTTGTCCCAACTTGTCTAGCGGCGAGCCAGACTGCACTATTTACGTTTTGTAAATACATTTTTCTGTGTGTATGCAATTTGAAAAAAATGCCAAATAATTTAATTATTTTGAAACATTTTTGTTTATTATTTATTAATACATTATGACTATAAGAAAATAAGAAAATAAATTATGGGAAAATGACAAGTTATGAAAGGAGTTTGTCGATTTAAAATAGGTGGTGCCCGCCACCCTACCGATATTTTAGAATGTGCTCTAGAGTAAAAAAAAAGGTTGGGAACCCCCTGGTTTAGGGTATGGGGTCGCTAGGTCGGGTGTCACCAGGTGCGGCAAATCATGGTGTCACCCTCCACCAAATAAAAAAAGTAAAGGATAAATATATATAGTTGCAATTGGTGTCTCCCCCCCCCCTCACCTCCAATTATGCCAAAGGGCGTGAATTTTATTGAACATCTTATTTTGATACACCTATTAATTCAAGTGGAAAAAACCAACGTTTTCATAGTAAATTATTATGTATGGTGTCACCCCCACCTCGGTCGTTGATTGGCGGATCAGTTATTGACAATTTTGAACTTAAATTTGTGTGTGTGTAAATTTTACAGTTGGTGTCACCCCCTCCCACTTGTCGAGATCGTCAATTTGTAATAAAAAGACTTTTAAACTCTAATTAATCATTACTTGAACTAGCAAACAGCATTAAAAAAATATTTTGCTTTTTTTTGTGTCACCCCCCCGCCCCCTCTAAATGGTGTCACCCAGAGCCGGCGTTAGGAATACGCGGGGCCTAGGGCCAACCATCCGCGCGGGGCCTGCTTTTTTCCATTATATATATATATATATATATATATATATATATATATATATATATATATATATATATATATATATATATATATATATATATATATGTGTGTGTGTGTGTGTGTGTGTGTGTATAGTCCTATATAATATGCATACACACATAATAACACATAAATGTTTTGGAGGCTATAAGACTTTAATAACAGATGTTTACCTCTCCCACGTTTTAACCCAATGTTCTTAGTGGGTTTTTTCATGCTAAGATATTTAATAACTTTTGACAGATATGTCATTCATACCAAATCACTTAAGAAAATTCAATCACGTGCCAAATAATTAGGAAAATAAAGTTGTTTAAATTGTTTGTTGATGACTAATTATTAATATAAAAGCATGGGCGTAGCGAGGGGGGGGGGTGCGGACCGCACCGGTAGACACCATTTAGGGGGGGGGGGGGGGTGTGACACAAAGGCAAAAAGAATAGCAAAACATATACAAAAAATGATAGATAATTAGAGTGTTAAATAGTCTTTTAAGAGCAAATTTGATAAATTCCGACAAGGGTGGAGAGGGGGGGGGGGGGCTGGTGGTGACACCATGACGTAAACCTGCTAATGATAGCGAAAACATGCTACATCAACACTTTTAACTTTCTTCAAAAAAAATAATAATAAATCACTCTGTCTAATGCCCCTTGATATAGATCCTAAGGGCCTCCCCCCCCCCCCCCTCATCGCCATCTTCCCACCCTTCTGCACGCAACTGAATGTTAATTTTGTTATACCAAGACAAGTAGGCCTGCATTTAAAACATCTACAACAAGAAAGTCAGGACTAGAGTTCATCGGGTCACTAACTGTCTACTACAGGCATCCCTCTGCTCACTAAAAGGACGTCTTCATGGGTCCGCATACAATAGGGTATCTTTTTACCTGTCTCCCAAATTTACATCCCATGTCAGGTCGGGAGCTGATTTGCATCCAACAATCTCCAGTCAGCTCAGGTCAAATGCCAGGCGACCGTACCCTACACAAATGGAAGGTGTGACCCCGTTTTTGTATCGAATTACGTCCTTTCCCAGTTCAGGTGGGTGATAACTCACTAACATCAACCGGGGCCTCAGTTATAACAATCAACAACTTCGGCATTCGACCATTTAGTTTTTCCCAATTGAATTCAGCAACAATTTTTTTAAGTTTACAAACTAATTCAGATAACAATGACAGTGTTGACGCGCGGGGCCCCTTCAGGCGCGGGGCCTAGGGCGGCCGCCCCGTTTGCCACCCCCTAACGCCGGCTCTGGTGTCACCGCACTCGTCTGCTGTAGGTTATTGTACCTTCATTTTATAAAACTAAAAGAGTTGACCAATCTAAGCCAGCAATTATTTTAGTTTTATCAAATGCTGGCAATCCATTGGGCGTTGTTGCGATCTTGTCCTACACACTAAAGTATAAGTAAATTTATATGAATGTTTAATCAACACGTTACCAATCGGTATTTTTAAACGTGTGATCTTGATTTCTAGAAGTGAGTTTATTTTAAATGTAAACGTCAACAATATATTTCTTAGATTTTTAGGTTTTTGGAGCGCGGGTTTGTCTACGACGTCCCAGACGCTCAAGGGCGTGCTGCACGAGAGCCTTGAGTGTACGCGTATCTCCCTCCGTAATCATAGTTAAGTAAATAATATCCCCGGGCAACCGGTCAGGGGCGTCGCGAGACGTTCTTGGAGCCACCGTTTACCAGGTGCGACCCCAGGTTCGGTTTAGGGTGCTCTTTAAAACGAATTTATGCGCCATAGTGTTCACGGGGGAGCCCGGGAAGCAACGGGCCAAACGAACGTGGACCGCCGGAGGATGTGCCAAGTGCAGTTTCACCGTTGAATCAACTAATACCCCTGCAATAAAGGCCGCCGTGCCTACATACTACATAGATCCCTAAATCTAAAAATAAACATATTCTGTTTCTTTAGTGTTTTCTGTCAGTATTGAATGTTTTACGGTTATTAGTGCGACGGCAAACTACAAAACAAACACATCTTCTGATGATTTATCTTAGCAGTGGCAGAAGTAGAGTCAGACTCTCTACTCTATAAAGTTATAAAGTATTCCTGATTAAAATGGTGAGTAGATTCTAAATGTAGATTCTAGATCTAGATCTAGTAACTAACATCATCATCATCACTCCTTTATGGCCCCTGGGGGGCAAAGGGCTGCAACCACACATCTCCAGCGGACTCGGTTTTGGGCTGCTCCTCTAATCTGTGCCCATGAGAGCCCAGCTGTTTTTGCCTCTTCCTCAACCGTTCTCTTCCATGTTTTCTTTGGCCGGCCCACCCTCCTTTTCCCCTGGGGATTCCAGTCCAATGCATGTTTTGCGATGTTTTCTTTTTCTTTTCTTAACGTGTGTCCGATCCATCCCCATTTTCGGGCCTTAATAATAATATCTTTCTCTATTGGCTGTTGCTTTAAAATTTGCCACAGGTCTTTGTTTGATAGTTTGTCTGGCCATCTTATTTTGAGTATATGTCGTAGGCATTTGTTTACGAACGCCTGTAGCCTATCAGTATTTGTCTTCGTAACCCTCCAGGTCTCCAAGCCATAGAGTAGCACTGCCTTAACATTCGTGTTGAAAATTCCAATTTTGCTCCGGAGTGACAGGGCCGTGGACCTCCACATCGGGCGCAGTGAGTTGAAGGCACATCTAGCCTTGTTGATACGGCATTTTATGTCCTCGTCTGCTCCCCCGTCATTATTGATCACGCTTCCCAGATATGTGAATGTGTTTGTTTCTCGTAAATCTTCTCCATTGAGCTGTATCGGCAGGATATAAACAAACACGGAAGCCGTGAACCAAATGAAATACCGACAAGCATGATATGCGCATTTACAAAAGCATAATAATTACTGTAAAATATTACTATTTTATTAGATTAGGCCTAGGATAGACTATAGTATTGGTTACTATTTACTATAGACATAGAGTATAGACTAGAATATAGATAGGGTAATCTAATAGGCCTATATCATTTGAAACAGATATGTGCTGGAGAGGAAACTAATGAATTTATGTTTGAAATAGGTAGCTATGTCATATTTGAGAAAAAATTAAAATATTACATAGAATTGCTATTGTTTTGTTCAGAAAAGCTGTCAACAAATATTACATAGAATTGCTATTGTTTTGTTCAGGCTGAAAGAAAAGCCGTCAACAAATATTACATAGAATTGCTATTGTTTTGTTCAGGAAAGCTGTCAACAAATATTACATAGAATTGCTATTGTTTTGTTCAGGCTGAAAGAAAAGCCGTCAACAAATATTACATAGAATTGCTATTGTTTTGTTCAGGCTGAAAGAAAAGCCGTCAACAAATATTACCCACCTGACTGGGACCCAAGGAAAGGCTCAGCCAACAAACGTGTGGGGCAACATCCCCTGAGAGATCGCGCTCGCAAGTTAAGTCAGGGAATCCTTGTCATCAGGTACTAGCATGTGTCATCAGGTACTAGCATCATGTGTCATCAGGTACTAGCATGTGTCATCAGGTACTAGCATCATGTGTCATCAGGTACTAGCATCATGTGTCATCAGGTACTAGCATGTGTCATCAGGTACTAGCATGTGTCATCAGGTACTAGCATCATGTGTCATCAGGTACTAGCATATGTCATCAGGTACTAGCATGTGTCATCAGGTACTAGCATGTGTCATCAGGTACTAGCATCATGTGTCATCAGGTACTAGCATCATGTGTCATCAGGTACTAGCATGTGTCATCAGGTACTAGCATCATGTGTCATCAGGTACTAGCATCATGTGTCATCAGGTACTAGCATCATGTGTCATCAAGTACTAGCTTCATGTGTCATCAGGTACTAGCATCATGTGTCATCAGGTACTAGCATGTGTCATCAGGTACTAGCATCATGTGTCATCAGGTACTAGCATGTGTCATCAGGTACTAGCATCATGTGTCATCAGGTACTAGCATGTGTCATCAGGTACTAGCATGTGTCATCAGGTACTAGCATCATGTGTCATCAAGTACTAGCTTCATGTGTCATCAGGTACTAGCATCATGTGTCATCAGTAACTAGCATGTGTCATCAGGTACTAGCATGTGTCATCAGGTACTAGCATATGTCATCAGGTACTAGCATGTGTCATCAGGTACTAGCATGTGTCATCAGGTACTAGCATGTGTCATCAGGTACTAGCATCATGTGTCATCAAGTACTAGCTTCATGTGTCATCAGGTACTAGCATCATGTGTCATCAGTAACTAGCATGTGTCATCAGTAACTAGCATGTGTCATCAGGTACTAGCATGTGTCATCAGGTACTAGCATATGTCATCAGGTACTAGCATCATGTGTCATCAGGTACTAGCATCATGTGTCATCAGGTACTAGCATGTGTCATCAGGTACTAGCATGTGTCATCAGGTACTAGCATCATGTGTCATCAGGTACTAGCATGTGTCATCAGGTACTAGCATCATGTGTCATCAGGTACTAGCATGTGTCATCAGGTACTAGCATCATGTGTCATCAGGTACTAGCATGTGTCATCAGGTACTAGCATCATGTGTCATCAGGTACTAGCATCATGTGTCATCAGGTACTAGCATGTGTCATCAGGTACTAGCATGTGTCATCAGGTACTAGCATGTGTCATCAGGTACTAGCATCATGTGTCATCAGGTACTAGCATCATGTGTCATCAGGTACTAGCATGTGTCATCAGGTACTAGCATGTGTCATCAGGTACTAGCATGTGTCATCAGGTACTAGCATGTGTCATCAGGTACTAGCATCATGTGTCATCAGGTACTAGCATCATGTGTCATCAGGTACTAGCATCATGTGTCATCAGGTACTAGCATGTGTCATCAGGTACTAGCATGTGTCATCAGGTACTAGCATGTGTCATCAGGTACTAGCATGTGTCATCAGGTACTAGCATCATGTGTCATCAGGTACTAGCATGTGTCATCAGGTACTAGCATGTGTCATCAGGTACTAGCATCATGTGTCATCAGGTACTAGCATGTGTCATCAGGTACTAGCATGTGTCATCAGGTACTAGCATGTGTCATCAGGTACTAGCATCATGTGTCATCAGGTACTAGCATGTGTCATCAGGTACTAGCTTCATGTGTCATCAGGTACTAGCATGTGTCATCAGGTACTAGCATGTGTCATCAGGTACTAGCATGTGTCATCAGGTACTAGCATGTGTCATCAGGTACTAGCATGTGTCATCAGGTACTAGCTTCATGTGTCATCAGGTACTAGCATGTGTCATCAGGTACTAGCATGTGTCATCAGGTACTAGCATGTGTCATCAGGTACTAGCTTCATGTGTCATCAGGCACTAGCATGTGTCATCAGGTACTAGCATCATGTGTCATTAGGTACTAGCATCATGTGTCATCAGGTACTAGCATGTGTCATCAGGTACTAGCATCATGTGTCATCAGGTACTAGCATGTGTCATCAGGTACTAGCATCATGTGTCATCAGGTACTAGCATGTGTCATCAGGTACTAGCATCATATGTCATTAGGTACTAGCATCATGTGTCATCAGGTACTAGCATGTGTCATCAGGTACTAGCATCATGTGTCATCAGGTACTAGCATCATGTGTCATCAGGTACTAGCATGTGTCATCAGGTACTAGCATCATGTGTCATCAGGTACTAGCATCATGTGTCATCAGGTACTAGCATCATGTGTCATCAGGTACTAACATGTGTCATCAGGTACTAGCATCATGTGTCATCAGGTACTAGCATGTGTCATCAGGTACTAGCATCATGTGTCATCAGGTACTAGCATCATGTGTCATCAGGTACTAGCATGTGTCATCAGGTACTAGCATGTGTCATCAGGTACTAGCATCATGTGTCATCAGGTACTAGCATATGTCATCAGGTACTAGCATGTGTCATCAGGTACTAGCATGTGTCATCAGGTACTAGCATCATGTGTCATCAGGTACTAGCATCATGTGTCATCAGGTACTAGCATGTGTCATCAGGTACTAGCATCATGTGTCATCAGGTACTAGCATCATGTGTCATCAGGTACTAGCATCATGTGTCATAAAGTACTAGCTTCATGTGTCATCAGGTACTAGCATCATGTGTTATCAGTAACTAGCATGTGTCATCAGGTACTAGCATGTGTCATCAGGTACTAGCATGTGTCATCAGGTACTAGCATCATGTGTCATCAGGTACTAGCATCATGTGTCATCAGGTACTAGCATGTGTCATCAGGTACTAGCATCATGTGTCATCAGGTACTAGCATGTGTCATCAGGTACTAGCATGTGTCATCAGGTACTAGCATGTGTCATCAGGTACTAGCATCATGTGTCATCAGGTACTAGCATCATGTGTCATCAGATACTAGCATGTGTCATCAGGTACTAGCATGTGTCATCAGGTACTAGCATGTGTCATCAGGTACTAGCATGTGTCATCAGGTACTAGCATCATGTGTCATCAGGTACTAGCATGTGTCATCAGGTACTAGCATGTGTCATCAGGTACTAGCATCATGTGTCATCAGGTACTAGCATGTGTCATCAGGTACTAGCATGTGTCATCAGGTACTAGCATGTGTCATCAGGTACTAGCATCATGTGTCATCAGGTACTAGCATGTGTCATCAGGTACTAGCTTCATGTGTCATCAGGTACTAGCATGTGTCATCAGGTACTAGCATGTGTCATCAGGTACTAGCATGTGTCATCAGGTACTAGCATGTGTCATCAGGTACTAGCATGTGTCATCAGGTACTAGCTTCATGTGTCATCAGGTACTAGCATGTGTCATCAGGTACTAGCATGTGTCATCAGGTACTAGCATGTGTCATCAGGTACTAGCTTCATGTGTCATCAGGTACTAGCATGTGTCATCAGGTACTAGCATCATGTGTCATTAGGTACTAGCATCATGTGTCATCAGGTACTAGCATGTGTCATCAGGTACTAGCATCATGTGTCATCAGGTACTAGCATGTGTCATCAGGTACTAGCATCATGTGTCATCAGGTACTAGCATGTGTCATCAGGTACTAGCATCATATGTCATTAGGTACTAGCATCATGTGTCATCAGGTACTAGCATGTGTCATCAGGTACTAGCATCATGTGTCATCAGGTACTAGCATCATGTGTCATCAGGTACTAGCATGTGTCATCAGGTACTAGCATCATGTGTCATCAGGTACTAGCATCATGTGTCATCAGGTACTAGCATCATGTGTCATCAGGTACTAGCATGTGTCATCAGGTACTAGCATCATGTGTCATCAGGTACTAGCATGTGTCATCAGGTACTAGCATCATGTGTCATCAGGTACTAGCATCATGTGTCATCAGGTACTAGCATGTGTCATCAGGTACTAGCATGTGTCATCAGGTACTAGCATCATGTGTCATCAGGTACTAGCATATGTCATCAGGTACTAGCATGTGTCATCAGGTACTAGCATGTGTCATCAGGTACTAGCATCATGTGTCATCAGGTACTAGCATCATGTGTCATCAGGTACTAGCATGTGTCATCAGGTACTAGCATCATGTGTCATCAGGTACTAGCATCATGTGTCATCAGGTACTAGCATCATGTGTCATAAAGTACTAGCTTCATGTGTCATCAGGTACTAGCATCATGTGTTATCAGTAACTAGCATGTGTCATCAGGTACTAGCATGTGTCATCAGGTACTAGCATGTGTCATCAGGTACTAGCATCATGTGTCATCAGGTACTAGCATCATGTGTCATCAGGTACTAGCATGTGTCATCAGGTACTAGCATCATGTGTCATCAGGTACTAGCATGTGTCATCAGGTACTAGCATCATGTGTCATCAGGTACTAGCATGTGTCATCAGGTACTAGCATCATGTGTCATCAGGTACTAGCATCATGTGTCATCAGGTACTAGCATCATGTGTCATCAGGTACTAGCATGTGTCATCAGGTACTAGCATCATGTGTCATCAGGTACTAGCATGTGTCATCAGGTACTAGCATCATGTGTCATCAGGTACTAGCATCATGTGTCATCAGGTACTAGCATGTGTCATCAGATACTAGCATCATGTGTCATCAGGTACTAGCATGTGTCATCAGGTACTAGCATCATGTGTCATCAGGTACTAGCATCATGTGTCATCAGGTACTAGCATGTGTCATCAGGTACTAGCATGTGTCATCAGGTACTAGCATCATGTGTCATCAGGTACTAGCATGTGTCATCAGGTACTAGCATCATGTGTCATCAGGTACTAGCATCATGTGTCATCAGGTACTAGCTTCATGTGTCATCAGGTACTAGCATCATGTGTCATCAGGTACTAGCATCATGTGTCATCAGGTACTAGCATCATGTGTCATCAGGTACTAGCATCATGTGTCATCAGGTACTAGCATCATGTGTCATCAGGTACTAGCATCATGTGTCATCAGGTACTAGCATGTGTCATCAGGTACTAGCATCATGTGTCATCAGGTACTAGCATCATGTGTCATCAGGTACTAGCATCATGTGTCATCAGGTACTAGCATGTGTCATCAGGTACTAGCATGTGTCATCAGGTACTAGCATCATGTGTCATCAGGCACTAGCATCATGTGTCATCAGGTACTAGCATCATGTGTCATCAGGTACTAGCATGTGTCATCAGGTACTAGCATCATGTGTCATCAGGTACTAGCATGTGTCATCAGGTACTAGCATCATGTGTCATCAGATACTAGCATGTGTCATCAGGTACTAGCATGTGTCATCAGGTACTAGCATCATGTGTCATCAGGTACTAGCTTCATGTGTCATCAGGTACTAGCATCATGTGTCATCAGGTACTAGCATGTGTCATCAGGTACTAGCATCATGTGTCATCAGGTACTAGCATGTGTCATCAGGTACTAGCATGTGTCATCAGGTACTAGCATCATGTGTCATCAGGTACTAGCATGTGTCATCAGGTACTAGCATGTGTCATCAGGTACTAGCATCATGTGTCATCAGGTACTAGCATGTGTCATCAGGTACTAGCATGTGTCATCAGGTACTAGCATGTGTCATCAGGTACTAGCATCATGTGTCATCAGGTACTAGCATGTGTCATCAGGTACTAGCTTCATGTGTCATCAGGTACTAGCATGTGTCATCAGGTACTAGCATGTGTCATCAGGTACTAGCATCATGTGTCATCAGGTACTAGCTTCATGTGTCATCAGGTACTAGCATCATGTGTCATCAGGTACTAGCATGTGTCATCAGGTACTAGCATCATGTGTCATCAGGTACTAGCATGTGTCATCAGGTACTAGCATGTGTCATCAGGTACTAGCATCATGTGTCATCAGGTACTAGCATGTGTCATCAGGTACTAGCATGTGTCATCAGGTACTAGCATCATGTGTCATCAGGTACTAGCATGTGTCATCAGGTACTAGCATGTGTCATCAGGTACTAGCATGTGTCATCAGGTACTAGCATCATGTGTCATCAGGTACTAGCATGTGTCATCAGGTACTAGCTTCATGTGTCATCAGGTACTAGCATGTGTCATCAGGTACTAGCATGTGTCATCAGGTACTAGCATCATGTGTCATCAGGTACTAGCATGTGTCATCAGGTACTAGCATGTGTCATCAGGTACTAGCTTCATGTGTCATCAGGTACTAGCATGTGTCATCAGGTACTAGCATGTGTCATCAGGTACTAGCATGTGTCATCAGGTACTAGCTTCATGTGTCATCAGGTACTAGCATGTGTCATCAGGTACTAGCTTCATGTGTCATCAGGTACTAGCATGTGTCATCAGGTACTAGCATGTGTCATCAGGTACTAGCATCATGTGTCATCAGGTACTAGCATGTGTCATCAGGTACTAGCTTCATGTGTCATCAGGTACTAGCATGTGTCATCAGGTACTAGCATGTGTCATCAGGTACTAGCATGTGTCATCAGGTACTAGCTTCATGTGTCATCAGGTACTAGCTTCATGTGTCATCAGGTACTAGAATTTTTTTTTTCAAAAGTTCAGTTCAATCCATTATAGTTTGTTAAAAGTTAAGTTGAATCCAATATAGTTTGTTGCAAGTTGAATCCAATATAGTTTGTTGTAAGTTGAATCCAATATAGTTTGTTGTAAGTTGAATCCAATATAGTTTGTTGCAAGTTGAATCCAATATAGTTTGTTGCAAGTTGAATCCAATATAGTTTGTTGCAAGGTTTGTTCCTGTTTCAGGTTTGAGCTGCCGTACAACATCTGGTGTGGAGGGTGTGGAAGCCATGTTGGCATGGGTGTGCGTTACAACGCAGAAAAGTCCAAGGTGGGGAACTACTACAGCACCCCCATCTACAAGTTCCGTATGAAATGCCATCTGTGTGACAACTATTTCGAGATTCAAACAGATCCTAAAGTAAGTTGGGTTAGGGTTAGATCCTAAAGTAAGTTGGGTTAGATCCTAAAGTAAGTTGGGTTAGATCCTAAAGTAAGTTGGGTTAGATCCTAAAGTAAGTTGGGTTAGATCCTAAAGTAAGTTGGGTTAGATCCTAAAGTAAGTTGGGTTAGATCCTAAAGTAAGTTGGGTTAGATCCTAAAGGAAGTTGGGTTAGATCCTAAAGTAAGTTGGGTTAGATCCTAAAGTAAGTTGGGTTAGATCCTAAAGCAAGTTGGGTTAGATCCTAAAGTAAGTTGGGTTAGATCCTAAAGTAAGTTGGGTTAGATCCTAAAGTAAGTTGGGTTAGATCCTAAAGTAAGTTGGGTCAGATCCTAAAGTAAGTTGGGTTAGATCCTAAAGCAAGTTGGGTTAGATCCTAAAGTAAGTTGGGTTAGATCCTAAAGTAAGTTGGGTCAGATCCTAAAGTAAGTTGGGTTAGATCCTAAAGTAAGTTGGGTTAGATCCTAAAGTAAGTTGGGTTAGATCCTAAAGTAAGTTGGGTTAGATCCTAAAGTAAGTTGGGTTAGATCCTAAAGTAAGTTGGGTTAGATCCTAAAGTAAGTTGGGTTAGATCCTAAAGTAAGTTGGGTTAGCTCCTAAAGTAAGTTGGGTTAGATCCTAAAGGAAGTTGGGTTAGATCCTTAAGTAAGTTGGGTTAGATCCTAAAGTAAGTTGGGTTAGATCCTAAAGTAAGTTGGGTTAGATCCTAAAGTAAGTTGGGTTAGATCCTAAAGTAAGTTGGGTTAGATCCTAAAGTAAGTTGGGTTAGATCCTAAAGTAAGTTGGGTTAGATCCTAAAGTAAGTTGGGTTAGATCCTAAAGTAAGTTGGGTTAGATCCTAAAGTAAGTTGGGTTAGATCCTAAAGCAAGTTGGGTTAGATCCTAAAGTAAGTTGGGTTAGATCCTAAAGTAAGTTGGGTTAGATCCTAAAGTAAGTTGGGTTAGATCCTAAAGCAAGTTGGGTTAGATCCTAAAGTAAGTTGGGTTAGATCCTAAAGTAAGTTGGGTTAGATCCTAAAGGAAGTTGGGTTAGATCCTAAAGTAAGTTGGGTTAGATCCTAAAGGAAGTTGGGTTAGATCCTAAAGTAAGTTGGGTTAGATCCTAAAGTAAGTTGGGTTAGATCCTAAAGCAAGTTGGGTTAGATCCTAAAGCAAGTTGGGTTAGATCCTAAAGTAAGTTGGGTTAGATCCTAAAGTAAGTTGGGTTAGATCCTAAAGTAAGTTGGGTTAGATCCTAAAGTAAGTTGGGTTAGATCCTAAAGTAAGTTGGGTTAGATCCTAAAGTAAGTTGGGTTAGATCCTAAAGTAAGTTGGGTTAGCTCCTAAAGTAAGTTGGGTTAGGGTAAGCTAATAACCAGATCTTTAAACAGCATGATTGTTGTTTCCCCATGCCAGAACCATGACTATGTCATACTGTGTGGAGCCAGAAGGAAAGAGCAGAGGTGGGACCCAGTGGCAAATGAACAAGTAGTGCCAGAAGGTAGGTCAACAACTGCTGCTAAGGTTTTAATCTTCATTATTGTTCAAGATGACTGAAAAAATTAAAAGCTACATTTATTTACCTTTAATTTGATACAAACAAACGCGTTTGTTTATAAATGGATACGATGATATGACCCATTTTCAGTGATACGGTGGGTTAGTTTTTTAAGGAGTGTTGCTGTGACGCCATTGACCGTTCACTGCCGTTCAGCAGAAATGTGTCGTCTGCTAGATTTCTCCCTTTTCAAATACACGGCGGGCAAAATTAGCGGGCTTAGTTAGCTGTTGTCTCGATCAAGTTTTTTATAGGTTTTGTTTTTACCCTGCTTGATTATTAAAACATTAATGACATTAGTTTAATAGAAGGCAAGTTATAATTTTTCTACAGTTTAGAATATATTTTCAGTATGTTTAGAACAATATTAAAGCTATTCATGCTTTGCTTACTTTTATTATGTTCTGCTCGATATTCTCAGTGAGTAGAAAAAAAAATGTACAAATGGCAAGTTTGTGTCAAACACTAATCATCCATTGTTAAAATTAGATTGGTAGCCGTAAATAATACGCAAAAATAATGATTTTAAATATATATTTCTGAAATGACCACGAAACATTGTTTAAAAAAACGGAATCATGGTATTGAGGTTTTCGGCAGCCATCATTACCATAACGACAGTAAAAAAAGTAGGTCATGAGACAGGCTATACTAGAGATTAATCCAAGATAGATGACAAAAAAAAAAACCCCTTTGATCTCTATTAATCCAAGATAGATAACCCAAAAATACAACCTTTGATTTCTATTAATCCAAGATAGATAACCAAAAAATAAAACAACCTTTGATTTCTATTAATCCAAGATAGATAACCCAAAAATACAACCTTTGATTTCTATTAATCCAAGATAGATAACCCAAAAATAAAGAAACTTTGATTTCTATTAATCCAAGATAAGACAACCCAAAAATAAAACAACCTTTGATTTCTATTAATCCAAGATAAGACAATCCAAAAATACAACCTTTGATTTCTATTAATCCAAGATAAGACAACCCAAAAATAAAACAACCTTTGATTTCTATTAATCCAAGATAAGACAATCCAAAAATACAACCTTTGATTTCTATTAATCCAAGATAAGACAATCCAAAAATACAACCTTTGATTTCTATTAATCCAAGATAAGACAATCCAAAAATACAACCTTTGATTTCTATTAATCCAGCATAGATAACCCAAAAATACAACCTTTGATTTCTATTAATCCAGCATAGATAACCCAAAAATACAACCTTTGATTTCTATTAATCCAAGATAAGACAACCCAAAAAAAACCTTTGATTTCTATTAATCCAAGATAAGACAACCCAAAAAAAACTTGCTACTGACCCCATGTTTAAGCTGGAGCATGGCTCTGATGACAAGAAGAAGGGCAGTTCAAAGGTCATGGGTCTGGCACAGATTGAAGAGAGCAGGCTCTCAATGAAGGAAGACTACATTTTAAACAGGATGGCTAGGGATCAGTTTAGGGTAAGTGAACAGGGATCAGTAGTGGGAACAGGGATCAGTTTAGGGTAAGGGAACAGGGATCAGTTTAGGGAACAGGGATCAGTTTAGGGTAAGGGAACAGGGATCAGTTTAGGGTGTGAGGGAACAGGGATCAGTTTAGGGAACAGGGATCAGCTTAGGGTTGGGGAACAGGGATCAGTTTAAGGTAAGGGAACAGGGATCAGTTTAGGGTGAGGGAACAGGGATCAGTTTAGGGTGAGGGAACAGGGATCAGTTTAGGGAACAGGGATCAGTTTAGGGTTGGGGAACAGGGATCAGTTTAGGGTAAGGGAACAGGGATCAGTTTAGGGTACAGGGATCAGTTTAGGGAACAGGGATCAGTTTAGGGAACAGGGATCAGTTTAGGGTGAGGGAACAGGGATCAGTTTAGGATGAGGGAACAGGGATCAGTTTAGGGTGAGGGAACAGGGATCAGTTTAGGGTGAGGGAACAGGGATCAGTTTAGGGTGAGGGAACAGGGATCAGTTTAGGTTTAAACTTTGAAGGCAAATTTAAATGTTTTTTATATTTTAAGGAAGAAAAAAAAGAGCTAAAGAAAGCTGCAGATGCTGATGAAGCCATTCTTGCTAGAAATGCCTTGGACATTGAGCTGGTAGAGGAAGCTGAAGAGGACAAGAAACTGGCCACTTTGTTGAAATATTCAGTTACATCTTGTAAGTGGTCAGTTGGTGGTGCTGGGTTGGTGGTCAGTTGGTGGTGCAGGGTTTGTTTTCAGTTGGTGGTGCTGGGTTTGTTTTCAGTTGGTGGTGCAGGGTTGGTGGTCAGTTTGTGATGCATGGTTGGTGGTCAGTTTGTGGTGCATGGTTGGTGGTCAGTTTGTGGTGCAGGGTTCATGGTCACTTGGTGATGCAGGGTTGGTGGTCAGTTGGTGGTGCAGAGTTTGTTTTCAGTTGGTGGTGCAGGGTTGGTGGTCACTTGTTGGTGCAGGGTTTGTGGTCAGTTTGTGATGCAGGGTTGGTGGTCAGTTGGTGGTGCAGAGTTTGTTTTCAGTTGGTGGTGCTGGGTTGGTGGTCAGTTGGTGATGCATGGTTGGTGGTCAGTTGGTGGTGCAGGGTGTGTGTAGGTTCTACATAAATTGTTAATTTTGAAAAAAAGAAATTACATGTTGACATTGTGTGTGACCTTTGACATTTGAGTCCATGATTTTCTGGGGATTTAACCATGTGACCTTGAATTTTTTCCCCAGCGTATGAAGAGAAAGAGAAAGAGAAGAGGAAGAGCATTGAACAGCGGCCTTTATTTGTCAGCTTGTCCAGCCCAGCAGCTCAAGGTCAAGGTGACAAACATTTGCAGCTCAAGAAAAAACTGGAACAGGGGCTCAAAGCAAACCTCAGGGACCCTTTCTCCTGCAGCACGTCAGTTGGCAGGACAAGACATCTGGCAGCCTGCGCGTCAGTTGTCAGGAGGAGACAGGCACCTGCCACCAGCCTGCCTGTGTCACGTCAGACCACTCAACACCTGTCTAGCACCTGTCCAGACAGCAGTCTCACTGTGATGAATGCTAACCTGTCATGTACTGAAGCTAAACCAGACTGTGCAGGTGAGTCAGGGCCAGTAGTGACCAGCACTAGCTCAGTGGCACTGACAACCTGTTCAGTGACAACCTGTTCAGTGGCAACCTGTTCAGTGACAACCTGTTCAGTGACAACCTGTTCAGTCCCAGCAACATTGGCTAGCACTGAAGACAGATCTCCACAACCTGCACTCAATACTGGCCTCGCAGCTTTAGCCTCCAGCTATTCTGATTCAGATAGTAACTCATGACATGGTGGGCCACATGATATGGCATCTGAGTGCCTCATTACATGACATCAATAAGTCATATTGCATGACATCAGTGTGCCACATGGCATGTCAGTGTGTCACATGGCATGTCAGTGTAGGCCACATGGCATCAGTGTGCCACATGGCATGTCTGTGTGTGCCACATGACATTGTGTGAGTGTGCCACATGACATCAGTGCTACATGACATGTCAGTGTATGCCACAATGCAAGCAGCTATGGGAGACCTAAAGTCTCTGTGTGCTAAATAAATAAAGACAAACAGAATCTGTCAAAAACAGTTTTAATTTTGTGTGTAAATATGCAGAACTAAATTGATGAAAAAGTGTAAACAATAAAAAATAAGCAAATATTTTTTTAGTAGTCTAGCCACTTAAGTCTGGGGGGGGGGGGGGGGGGGGAAGAACTATCTTTAAATATTAAATATCTATGTTTACATGAGATAGATATCTGTGTTTACATGAGATAGATATCTGTGTTTACATGAGATAGATATCTGTGTTTACATGAGATAGATATCTGTGTTTACATGAGATAGATATCTGTGTTTACATGAGATAGATATCTGTGTTTACATGAGATAGATATCTGTGTTTACATGAGATAGATATCTGTGTTTACATGAGATAGATATCTGTGTTTACATGAGATAGATATCTGTGTTTACATGAGATAGATATCTGTGTTTACATGAGATAGATATCTGTGTTTACATGAGATAGATATCTGTGTTTACATGAGATAGATATCTGTGTTTACATGAGATAGATATCTGTGTTTACATGAGATAGATATCTGTGTTTACATGAGATAGATATCTGTGTTTACATGAGATAGATATCTGTGTTTACATGAGATAGATATCTGTGTTTACATGAGATAGATATCTGTGTTTACATGAGATAGATATCTGTGTTTACATGAGATAGATATCTGTGTTTACATGAGATAGATATCTGTGTTTACATGAGATAGATATCTGTGTTTACATGAGATAGATATCTGTGTTTACATGAGATAGATATCTGTGTTTACATGAGATATCAACGCTGAGCTCATAAAACAAAACTTGTACCATCTCAGTATCACATTAACCCCTTTACCGTGTGTCACGAGTTAACTCGTCATATAAAATCTTGGGCTTTACCGTGTGTCACGAGTTAACTCGTCATATAAAATCTTGGGCTTAACCGTACATCACGAGTTAACTCGTCTTTAGATAAAAAAGTCGTCTGTGTGCCGTGCGTCCCGAGTTAACTCGTCTTGATACGAAAATAGCGTTGGAAATCAATAACAATGTAGAGGGAGGCTAATCTAACAGCCAATTCAACAGCGGATGATAAAAATAGGTCATCACGTGATGTGAAAACGAAAGTGGAAAGGAGACATGTACGATAGGTATAAGAATAAATGTAGGAAGCAAATACTTATTATTTATTATGATTATAATTTATGCAGAGTGTAGTTTGTGTAGTTTTATGCATACATACGGGTATGTGTAGGTATGCACACTGGAGAAAAATTATTTTGTTGGTACTGCGCTGTTTTATTTTGTCAGGACAACATAACAAATCAAATAATGAAAAAAAACAATTACACAGTTTCCAAAAAAAGAAGAAAATTTTTTTTTCCACGGTAAAGGGGTTAGTGCCTCAGTTGTAAGTCAAAAATGTCCTGAATCTGGTGTGACCTTGACACTTATTATAATGCTGCAGCTTATTAAAATGCTGAGCAAATGGATGGCCACTTTTGGAAAGCTGAGACCATCTCACCAATATATAAATGTTCAGACAAATCTCACCTGTATAAAGTTTAGACAGACACCTCAGCTATATAAAGTTTAGACAGACACCTCAGCTATATAAAGTTTAGACAGACACCTCAGCTATATAAAGTTTAGACAGACACCTCAGCTATATAAAGTTTAGACAGACACCTCAGCTATATAAAGTTTACTGACACCTCAGCTATATAAAGTTTAGACAGACACCTCAGCTATATAAAGTTTAGACAGACACCTCAGCTATATAAAGTTTAGAGACACCTCAACTATATAAAGTTTAGACAGACACCTCAGCTATATAAAGTTTAGACAGACACCTCAGCTATATAAAGTTTAGACAGACACCTCAGCTATATAAAGTTTAGAGACACCTCAGCTATATAAAGTTTAGAGACACCTCAGCTATATAAAGTTTAGAGACACCTCAGCTATATAAAGTTTAGACAGACACCTCAGCTATATAAAGTTTAGACAGACACCTCAGCTATATAAAGTTTAGACAGACACCTCAGCTATATAAAGTTTAGACAGACACCTCAGCTATATAAAGTTTAGACAGACACCTCAGCTATATAAAGTTTAGAGACACCTCAGCTATATAAAGTTTAGACAGACACCTCAGCTATATAAAGTTTAGACAGACACCTCAGCTATATAAAGTTTAGACAGACACCTCAGCTATATAAAGTTTAGAGACACCTCAGCTATATAAAGTTTAGAGACACCTCAGCTATATAAAGTTTAGACAGACACCTCAGCTATATAAAGTTTAGACAGACACCTCAGCTATATAAAGTTTAGACAGACACCTCAGCTATATAAAGTTTAGACAGACACCTCAGCTATATAAAGTTTAGACAGACACCTCAGCTATATAAAGTTTAGAGACACCTCAGCTGTATAAAGTTTAGACAGACACCTCAGCTATATAAAGTTTAGAGACACCTCAGCTATATAAAGTTTAGACAGACACCTCAGCTATATAAAGTTTAGAGACACCTCAGCTATATAAAGTTTAGAGACACCTCAGCTATATAAAGTTTAGAGACACCTCAGCTATATAAAGTTTAGACAGACACCTCAGCTATATAAAGTTTAGACAGACACCTCAGCTATATAAAGTTTAGACAGACACCTCAGCTATATAAAGTTTAGACAGACACCTCAGCTATATAAAGTTTAGACAGACACCTCAGCTATATAAAGTTTAGACAGACACCTCAGCTATATAAAGTTTAGAGACACCTCAACTATATAAAGTTTAGACAGACACCTCAGCTATATAAAGTTTAGACAGACACCTCAGCTATATAAAGTTTAGACAGACACCTCAGCTATATAAAGTTTAGAGACACCTCAGCTATATAAAGTTTAGAGACACCTCAGCTATATAAAGTTTAGACAGACACCTCAGCTATATAAAGTTTAGACAGACACCTCAGCTATATAAAGTTTAGACAGACACCTCAGCTATATAAAGTTTAGACAGACACCTCAGCTATATAAAGTTTAGACAGACACCTCAGCTATATAAAGTTTAGAGACACCTCACCTGTATAAAGTTTAGACAGACACCTCAGCTATATAAAGTTTAGACAGACACCTCAGCTATATAAAGTTTAGACAGACACCTCAGCTATATAAAGTTTAGAGACACCTCAGCTATATAAAGTTTAGACAGACACCTCAGCTATATAAAGTTTAGACAGACACTTCAGCTATATAAAGTTTAGAGACACCTCAGCTATATAAAGTTTAGAGACACCTCAGCTATATAAAGTTTAGACAGACACCTCAGCTATATAAAGTTTAGACAGACACCTCAGCTATATAAAGTTTAGAGACACCTCAGCTATATAAAGTTTAGACAGACACCTCAGCTATATAAAGTTTAGACAGACACCTCAGCTATATAAAGTTTAGACAGACACCTCAGCTATATAAAGTTTAGACAGACACCTCAGCTATATAAAGTTTAGACAGACACCTCAGCTATATAAAGTTTAGACAGACACCTCAGCTATATAAAGTTTAGACAGACACCTCAGCTATATAAAGTTTAGACAGACACCTCAGCTATATAAAGTTTAGACAGACACCTCAGCTATATAAAGTTTAGACAGACACCTCAGCTATATAAAGTTTAGAGACACCTCAGCTATATAAAGTTTAGACAGACACCTCAGCTATATAAAGTTTAGACAGACACCTCAGCTATATAAAGTTTAGACAGACACCTCAGCTATATAAAGTTTAGACAGACACCTCAGCTATATAAAGTTTAGAGACACCTCACCTGTATAAAGTTTAGAGACACCTCAGCTATATAAAGTTTAGAGACACCTCAGCTATATAAAGTTTAGACAGACACCTCAGCTATATAAAGTTTAGACAGACACCTCAGCTATATAAAGTTTAGACAGACACCTCAGCTATATAAAGTTTAGACAGACACCTCAGCTATATAAAGTTTAGACAGACACCTCAGCTATATAAAGTTTAGACAGACACCTCAGCTATATAAAGTTTAGACACACCTCAGCTATATAAAGTTTAGACAGACACCTCAGCTATATAAAGTTTAGACAGACACCTCAGCTATATAAAGTTTAGACAGACACCTCAGCTATATAAAGTTTAGACAGACACCTCAGCTATATAAAGTTTAGACAGACACCTCAGCTATATAAAGTTTAGACACACCTCAGCTATATAAAGTTTAGACAGACACCTCAGCTATATAAAGTTTAGACAGACACCTCAGCTATATAACTTGAGTCAAAAGCCACTTAAGAAAAACATGTTCTGATGGTTGTTTATGTTGTGTAAAATTAAGAAAAACGTTCATGTTATAATTGTTTATGTTGTAATTGTTTATGTTGTGATTGTTTATGTTGTATAAAATTAAAATATTCTAAACGTGGATAAACAAGATATAAAAAAATAAATGACGGATATTTGATCCTGTGGGTTGGATCAAAAACTTCTGGGTACCATCCGCATAACTGGGTTGGTGTGGCCGGGTGATAGAGTGCTCATTACTAACCCAAAGCCATTGTCAGAACTGGGTTGGTGTGGCCGGGTGATAGAGTGCTCATTACTAACCCAAAGCCATTGTCAGAACTGGGACCCATGTCTTCTGGATGTCCCTACCTCTCTAGGTAGATATATATATATATATATATATGTATATACAGGTGGGAGGGCTAAGACTATCTCCCTCCCAAGATCTACACATTATAAAATAATAAGAAGATAACCAAGTATACAAAATATGCTTGTTACAAAATAATAAGATAACCAAGTATACAAAATATGCTTGTTACAAAATAATGAGATAACCAAGTATACAAAATATGCTTGTTACAAAATAATGAGATAACCAAGTATACAAAATATGCTTGTTACAAAATAATGAGAAGGTTGTCCAGAAAGCTGTCAGCTATTTAAGACTGAGTCATGTTAGTTACTGTATACAAATGATAATCATGTTAGTTACTGTATACAAATGATAATCATGTTAGTTACTGTATACAAATGATAACCATGTTAGTTACTGTATACAAATTAAAAAAATTAAAAAATTGTTTTTTCAAATAATTTAGTCCCAGTTTTGTATATTATGGATGCCACAAATTTTTAGATTTTCCGTTGAGATAATTGAGAAGTCATCCACAGGTGACACATTTCAACCAGCGTCTTAGAATAGTAAGGTTTAGACACATTTCAACCAGCGTCTTAAAATGTAAGGTTTAGACACATTTCAACCAGCGTCTTAAAATGTAAGGTTTAGACACATTTCAACCAGCGTCTTAAAATGTAAGGTTTAGACACATTTCAACCAGCGTCTTAAAATGTAAGGTTTAGACACATTTCAACCAGCGTCTTAAAATGTCAGGTTTATGGCAAGTAAATCACCAAAAGTTCAGCAGTCCTCTAACTGTCTAGGATTACAAGTGTACTACTTGAGCTAACTGTCTAGGATTACAAGTGTACTACTTGAGCTCACTGTTGAAGAGGACCCAAACATTTTCTCATTGTTGTCTTTTATAAACTGTGTTGTGTTGTCTTTTATAAACTGTGTTGTGTTTGTCTGTTATAAACTGTGTTGTGTTTGTCTTTTATAAACTGTTGTCTTTTATAAACTGTGTTGTGTTTGTCTTTTATAAACTGTGTTGTGTTTGTCTGTTATAAACTGTGTTGTGTTTGTTGATGAAGTGCTGATTGACTCATCAAGTCAAGAATTGATTGGCACATCTCGTTAGTCAAGAATTGATTGGCACATCTCGTTAGTCAAGAATTGATTGGCACATCTCGTTAGTCGAGCATTGACACATCTCATTAGTCAAGAATTGATTGGCACATCTCATTAGTCAAGAATTGATTGGCACATCTCATTAGTAGGCAGGAGAATATTTTTTGGACCAACTCTAAGGTAGTCGACATATTTCCTTCATCCAACTTGTAGACCAACCCAAGGGATTTAGTCAGTCGACATATTTCCTTCATCCAACTTGTAGACCAACCCAAGGGATTTAGTCAGTCGACATATTTCCTTCATCCAACTTGTAGACCAACCCAAGGGATTTAGTCAGTCGACATATTTCCTTCATCCAACTTGTAGACCAACCCAAGGGATTTAGTCAGTCGACATATTTCCTTCATCCAACTTGTAGACCAACCCAAGGGATTTAGTCAGTCGACATATTTCCTTCATCCAACTTGTAGACCAACCCAAGGGATTTAGTCAGTCGACATATTTCCTTCATCCAACTTGTAGACCAACCCAAGGGATTTAGTCAGTCGACATATTTCCTTCATCCAACTTGTAGACCAACCCAAGGGATTTAGTCAGTCGACATATTTCCTTCATCCAACTTGTAGACCAACTAAAGGGATTTAGTCAGTCGACATATTTGCTTCATCCAACTTGTAGACCAACCCAAGGGATTTAGTCAGTCGACATATTTCCTTCATCCAACTTGTAGACCAACCCAAGGGATTTAGTCAGTTGACATATTTCCTTCATCCAACTTGTAGACCAACCCAAGGGATTTAGTCAGTCGACATAATTCCTTCTTCATCCAACTTGTAGACCAACTAAGGGATTTAGTCAGTCGACATATTTCCTTCTTCATCCAACTTGTAGACCAACTAAGGGATTTAGTCAGTCGACATATTTCCTTCTTCATCCAACTTGTAGACCAACTAAGGGATTTAGTCAGTCGACATATTTCCTTCTTCATACAACTTGTAGACCAACTGTAAGAATAGAAAAGTTTTATTTCACCACTTGCAGAAATTCTATCAATTGTTTTACAAGAACACTGGATTTTATAAATGTCGTAATTTTATAACTTTTCTACCAGTACAGTAAAAAACTTGTGCACATAGAGTCTAACTAGTACTGGCAGGTTGCCACATTGCTGCTAGTTTTATCAAAAGTTTGTAGCAAGACAAAATACAACAGCCGTATGACTTACACTTTTGAACTTAATTTTTAACCCATTGATAAATTGTTCCGTGGATTTGCCTTGAGGAATGAGAGTCTCTAGCGGCCGCCCGGCCCGTTCTCTGGAGTACATTTCTTCCATGCCTCTGGGGATGTAGTCCACGTTGACATGGACCTACAAATGTTGGATAATATTTCAGCTGCTAATAACTTGAAAATTTACTCTGCCAAAAACACAAACTCTCCTTGGCCTCATTGAAAAAGAAATAATTTTTTGCCAAAATGAAACATTTAATTACCCCAAACACAATAGAAAAATCCTCTAAAGTATACTATGTAATTTCAACTAAGATTTGAGTCAAAAGTTTTCAATGGTCACCAACAGGCAATGGTAAGTTGCACTTACAAGTTTGGAAGTAGGGATGTCATACATCAATTCATCATCTCTGCGAGCATCGCACAAACGGACAAACACAGACGCTGCATCAACCAGTTTAACCTGGACAAATATTTGAACAGCACTTAGCTTTAACAAAACGGCAAATCTAAATTGGTAAAATAATAAGCTAGAGAAGATATACGGATTTGCTGCGAATATAATAAGCTAGAGAAGATTTACGGATTTGCTGCGGATGTTTCTTTCCATCCATTCTTTGCAGGGCTCTCTAGCAAGCTGCTTGAGCATCTGCTGATTGGGAGCGCCCAGGAACAAGGGCAGCTGGAAGGTTTCTGTGTAGCAATATTTGTCTTTAAACACTTGGACAGCAGTCCAGGCCTGGGGACACAATGAGAGCTTTATTGAAACTTTAAATGGTTGATGTAGCTTTATTGAAACCTTAAATGGTTGATGTAGCTTTATTGAAACCTTAAATGGTTGATGTAGCTTTATTGAAACCTTAAATGGTTGATGTAGCTTTATTGAAACCTTAAATGGTTGATGTAGCTTTATTGAAACCTTAAATGGTTGATGTAGCTTTATTGAAACTTTAAATGGTTGATCTAGCTTTATTGAAACCTTAAATGGTTGATGTTTTTTTTTTATATTGGAAGTGAGATCATTCATTCAATAAGAAAAAAATAGAATGGTGAGTAAACGATGGAGAAGGTCAAGGTGAGCAAATGATGGAGAAGGTCAAGGTGAGCAAATGATGGAGAAGGTCAAGGTGACCAAATGATGGAGAAGGTCAAACTTTATAAAACTTATTTTGTTTCATTAGCCCATATTTAACTCTTGAAGATTGCAAAGACGCTCCTAGCAGTTGATAAAAGTTTATCTATTTATTCTGTTGGTTTGCCAAATCTAAGTTTTTAATTGTATATTTAGATTAAGATATCATTTGAGTGGCCATTTTTAATTGTGTTTACTTCTTGTATTTTCTTATTTGTTTGATTTTGTATACTATAGAAATATTATTAGCAAAACCACTACCAAAATCACATTTCTTTAACTATTCAGTGTCAGCATCAAACAAAGTAATTTCAGCCTATTATATAATAAGCCAAAATAAAAGTATTTATTGTAATCAATTCCATGATTTTGGATGTGCTTTTAGTTTCTCAGAATAAAAACTTATAAAAAATAATTTCTATCATTAATTTTCCAAACAGAAGCAATTTTTTTCCCCGAGCAAATATTTTTTTTTTGTCATACATTCTTTCTTCTATAAATAAATAAATAATTAATAATAGTTTGTATGCAGCACATTCAATTAGGATCAATTTACATTAGTAATTTGTGGGTTTGAAATCAACAGGTCTAAAGATATGATCGTGAAATGTGAGGATAATTTCATCAGCTCACTTGTTCCAACAGGCCGTACTTGTAGTTGTCCCTGGAGACGTTGACAAAGACCTCCTGCAGGTGGATGACTGCAACCAGGAATTTGTGATAGGAGCGTCGTGGAAATGGCTGGAAGAGATTCATTTTTGTCTCATAGTTAGTGCTGGTAGGGTGAGTGAGTAAATCAACAGGAAAGACGACCCATAATATCAGTTAAAATCTACCTGACCCCACCAGTTAAAACCTACCTGACCCCACCAGTTAAAACCTACCTGACCCCACCAATTAAAACCTACCTGACCCCACCAATTAAAACCTACCTGACCCCACCAGTTAAAACCTACCTGACCCCACCAGTTAAAACCTACCTGACCCCACCAGTTAAAACCTACCTGACCCCACCAGTTAAAACCTACCTGACCCCACCAGTTAAAACCTACCTGACCCCACCAGTTAAAACCTACCTGACCCCACCAATTAAAACCTACCTGACCCCACCAATTAAAACCTACCTGACCCCACCAATTAAAACCTACCTGACCCCACCAGTTAAAACCTACCTGACCCCACCAATTAAAACCTACCTGACCCCACCAGTTAAAACCTACCTGACCCCACCAGTTAAAACCTACCTGACCCCACCAGTTAAAACCTACCTGACCCCACCAGTTAAAACCTACCTGACCCCACCAGTTAAAACCTACCTGACCCCCCAGTTAAAACCTACCTTAAAACCATCTTTCCATGCTGGAGATGAGTGTGTACTGCGAGGGTCAAGGTCATCCACAAAGGTCAACTTATCATAAGTTGCATGAGGAGTTCCCTACAATAACATAAGTTGCATGAGGAGTTCCCTACAATAAAATTTTGTTTTAGACGGCCAATAGTCCTGTCAAGACATGAACTTAAAACACAAATGTCAGTTGTCTAGTCAGGGAATGAAAACAACGTACCATATAGAAAGTTATCTAGTCAGGGAATGAAAACAACGTACCATATAGAATGTTATCTAGTCAGGGAATGAAAAGAACGTACCATATAGAAAGCTCCGGGAGGGTTGAGGCAGACATGAGCCAGTGTAAAGTTGGCCCAGGGCAGGTTGACGGCACTATCCAGGGCCAGCTGAAACAAACAAGGTAGGTCATGCGTGACTAGGCAGATCTCACCATAATATGTTGTACCATAATAAATTGGTCATTGTTGTACCATAATAAAATGGTCACTGTTGTACCATAATAAAATGGTCACTGTTGTACCATAATAAAGTGGTCATTGTTGTACCATAATAAAATGGTCACTGTTGTACCATAATAAAATGGTCACTGTTGTACCATAATAAAGTGGTCAATGTTGTACCTTAATGCCATGTCTGGGGCTGTACTGGCAGATGAAGTTCAAGTCTTGATCTAGTGGTTTGGCGTCCATTGTTTTGGTCAACTGGTTCTGTTTGAGAAGAGATTTAACTGACGTTATGAATGAGACAGCATGTCAGTTTTCTTTTTGAATAAGGTTCTATAAATACCCAAGTCACATGATAGTCATAAAAACTTTTTAACATCCACATTTTGCAGTTGGTTGGGTCAAAGTTCCATAAAAATATTGCCCACAGAAATTTACCCTACTGTATTGTTCCATATAAATTTAATGTATTGTTCCACATAAATTTAATTTAATGTATTGTTCCACTATAATTTACCCTATTATATTGTTCCACAGAAATTTACTTTAATGAATTGTTCCACAGAAATTTACCCTATTATATTGTTCCACAGAAATTTACTTTAATGAATTGTTCCACATAAATGTACCCTATTATATTGTTCCACAGAAATTTACTTTAATGAATTGTTCCACAGAAATTTACCCTATTATATTGTTCCACAGAAATTTACTTTAATGAATTGTTCCACATAAATTTACCCTATTATATTGTTCCACAGAAATTTACCCTATTATATTGTTCCACAGAAATTTACCCTATTATATTGTTCCACAGAAATTTACTTTAATGAATTGTTCCACATAAATTTACCCTATTATATTGTTCCACAGAAATTTACCCTATTATATTGTTCCACAGAAATTTACTTTAATGAATTGTTCCACATAAATGTACCCTATTATATTGTTCCACAGAAATTTACTTTAATGAATTGTTCCACATAAATTTACCCTATTATATTGTTCCACAAAAATTTACCCTAATATACTGTTCCATGTTTTTGTCTGAACTCAGAAAGCTTTCTTTAGCCTGAGTTGTGGCAGCCACAGCGTCTCTGATGGTGGTGTGAGTTCTCTTGAGCATGGCGTGGAACAGCTTGCTCTCCCCCCTGGTGGGCAGGCACTGCCCAGACAGATAGACGCGGTCAGAGTACTTGGGGCGGGGGTACCACAAGCCCAGGCGAGCCCAGTCTGTCTGAGGCACTTTGCTTGACTATTAGAAGACATATTTTCAAAACATTTAAAATAGAAACATTGATAAAGGAAAAAACATAAAAAATGGAGATATTTAAAAAGGAAATATTTAAAAAGGTAATATTAAAAAAAAAATGTAAACATCTAAAAATGAAACACAAAAGGAAATTGAATGTTTTCAGAGAAAGTTAAGACCTAGTTACCTCCAAAGGTCGACCTTTTGGGCCTTTTGGTACTCTAGCCAATCTTACGAGCAGGCTGGCACATGGTACGGGCCGTATGTTGGTGTCTCTCAGACATCTCTCTGTAAAAGGATCAACTCCATTTGGTCCTTGGCTAAATAAACGAAGTTGATGCCCACCTTCATTGAGTGATATCTGAAGAATGCAAACTTGACTGCTGACATTTACACCAAATTTGGTCACTGATATTTTTATAAAAATGTGGTGGTGACATTTCAGCGTAGATAAACAAAGCTTGAGGCTATTGGCTGACCTGGAGTCCGGCTTTATCAATGCTGGGCTGCCTGTCTGTGCCTGACTCTAGGAAAACATTGAGAGCTGCGTATCCCACAACTGTCAGCTGTCTGTAGAAGTTGTCAATGGTGTACACCTGGGGGAGGGGGTGGGGGAGGATTAGCACTCAGCACAAATCTAGGCTCACTTCTCAGGGAAATGACAGGACAAACATGAAAAGACAGGCCAAACATGAAAAGACAGACCAAACATGAAATAACAGACCAAACATGAAAAGACAGGCCAAACATGAAATGACAGGCCAAACATGAAAAGACAGACCAAGCATGAAAAGACAGGCCAAACATGAAAAGACAGACCAAACATGAAAAGACAGGCCAAACATAAAAAGACAGGCTATTTCTAACAGAGATAAGTGAATGTAACCTCCTACCTTGAAGAGTATTGTTGCAGATGGTGGGATCTGGGCCTCTCTGAACTCTGACCTGTACTCATAAACAGGGTTGTAAATCTCACTGTCAATCTTGACGCTAGTGGACATATCTTTACCATAAACTTGGTATTTCCTGTCTAATATACGGGCCGCCACCTGCCATGGAAATAACACACAATGTCACTTTTTGACACATTCATGTCACTTTTTGACACATTCATGTCACTTTTTGACAGGTTCATGTCACTTTTTGACACATTCATGTCACTTTTTGACACATTCATGTCACTTTTTGACACATTCATGTCACTTTTTGACACATTCATGTCACTTTTTGACACATCATGTCACTTTTTGACACATTCATGTCACTTTTTGACACATTCATGTCACTTTTTGACACATTCATGTCACTTTTTGACACATTCATGTCACTTTTTGACACATTCATGTCACTTTTTGACACATTCATTTTCAAACTTATGTCAAATACCACTGGCTAGCGGTTTGACTTAGAGTGTCTAATACAGAAGGTCACTTACCCTAGAATAGGTGACAGAGTCTGGCAGAAAGCGACAGCCGTCAATGTAGACATCAAATCCATCTCCAGAGTGGAAGGGTTCTGTGAGTGCCACTCTCCTCTCACATGGGAGCCAAGCGTACTGAGGGATTCATTAGCAGAGTGATTCATTAGCAGAGTGATTCATTAGCAGAGTGATTCATTAGCAGAGTGATTCATTAGCAGACTAATTCATTGGCAGAGTGATTCATTAGCAGACTAATTCATTAGCAGAGGGATTCATTAGCAGAGGGATTCATTAGCAGAGTGATTCATTAGCAGACTGATTCATTAGCAGACTAGTTCATTAGCAGACTAATTCAGAGAATGATTCATTATCAGAATATATAGCATTTTACCATGTACCCTACCTATCACTAGATGCCAACGTCAGGGAGTACGTGCCCTAACTGACCTCAGGGAGTACATGCCTATCATTAGATGCCAACTGACATCAGGGAGTACGTGCCCCAACTGACATCAGGGAGTACATGCCTATCATTAGATGCCAACTGACATCAGGGAGTACGTGCCTATCATTAGATGCCAACTGACATCAGGGAGTACATGCCTATCACTAGATGCCAACTGACCTCAGGGAGTACATGCCCCAACTGACATCAGGGAGTACATGTCTATCACTAGATGCCAACTGACCTCAGGGAGTACATGTCTATCACTAGATGTCAACTGACCTCAGGGAGTACATGCCTATCACTAGATGCCAACTGACCTCAGGGAGTACATGCCTATCTCTAGATGCCAACTGACATCAGGGAGTACATGCCTATCACTAGATGCCAACTGACCTCAGGGAGTACATGCCTATCACTAGATGCCAACTGACCTCAGGGAGTACATGTCTATCACTAGATGCCAACTGACATCAGGGAGTACATGCCTATCACTAGATGCCAACTGACCTCAGGGAGTACATGCCTATCACTAGATGCCAACTGACCTCAGGGAGTACATGCCCCAACTGACATCAGGGAGTACATGCCTATCTCTAGATGCCAACTGACATCAGGGAGTACATGCCCCAACTGACATCAGGGAGTACATGCCTATCTCTAGATGCCAACTGACATCAGGGAGTACATGCCTATCTCTAGATGCCAACTGACCTCAGGGAGTACATGCCCCAACTGACATCAGGGAGTACATGCCTATCTCTAGATGCCAACTGACATCAGGGAGTACATGCCTATCTCTAGATGCCAACTGACATCAGGGAGTACATGCCTATCACTAGATGCCAACTGACATCAGGGAGTACATGCCTATCACTAGATGCCAACTGACATCAGGGAGTACATGCCTATCTCTAGATGCCAACTGACCTCAGGGAGTACATGCCTATCACTAGATGCCAACTGACCTCAGGGAGTACGTCATCCCCATCATCTGACAGTTCACTTGGGGTGAGTGACCCTGGTCGTGGCTGACCTTGAAAGACGTGGAATCTGACGGTGGCTTTGCCGTAGCGCCTGGCGTCCCTGTGGTACTGCAGGTCATCATAAGGTATGTTTGTTGGCTCTGGGACTGGTGGCTCATAAAGCTTGAGTGTGTGTGTGCCTGTGTTGATTCTCATCAGAGTCGCTTGAAATTCTCGTCTCTCCCTTGAAGTTAAGTCTGAACATACATTCATATTTTTTATGGTTTTGAAAAGAGAATTATCATAACACTAACCCCAGGCAAACCTACTTTATAATTTATAAAAATGGAAGACTATTTGAGCACTTTGTATTGATGTGTGGGCTATTGACAAATACTAGTTTTTTGAACTGATGCCTGTGTGTTTATTTACAACTTTTTCTTGCTAATCTCTCATCATTTAGTAATGCAGTTTGAGATAGACTCAAATATTTATGTAGAAAAAAAAAAACATGGTGTTTAATATGAAGATTGAAACACAAAATTATTTACAGACATTTCAAGCAATGAATCAGTTTGTGCTTTTACTAAAGCAAAAATATCCGTTCAAGAAAGCCAAGTTTAATGGGAGCTTAATGCATAAAAAAATCATTAAGAATTTAAAAATTTTTTTTGTTGGAACAAAAAAACAAAAAAACAACAAAGATAGAGAGTTGAGAGAGAGAGTAAGCGAGGGTAAATTTAAAAACTGTAAATAACCGGGTTTTCAACTGAAATATTGAAGCAATAAATCAGCTTGGGCATATTAATATTCTGTATTGTTGAATAATTATGTATATATTTTGGTTGTTTCTTTTGTAGTAGTAAGCCAATGTGTAATTGATGTGTTCAAGTTAACACTAACCCAACCCATCCCCTAACCCAACCCATCCCCTGCATGCATTCAGGAAACTCGACCCCCCCCCCTTCCACCCTTTACCCATGGATTTTATAAATTTTGTTTTGGAGTGAGGAAGCAATAGAGGGTGGGATGGCAGTGGGGGTCAAGTAGAGTAGAGGGTGGGATGGTAGTGGGGGTCAAGTAGAGGGTGGGATGGCAGTGGGGGTCAAGTAGAGGGTGGGATGGCAGTGGGGGTCAAGTACAGTAGAGGGTGGGATGGTAGTGGCGGTCAAGTAGAGGGTGGGATGGCAGTGGGGGTCAAGTACAGTAGAGGGTGGGATGGCAGTGGGGGTCAAGTACAGTAGAGGGTGGGATGGTAGTGGGGGTCAAGTAGAGGGTGGGATGGCAGTGGGGGTCAAGTAGAGGGTGGGATGGCAGTGGGGGTCAAGTAGAGGGTGGGATGGCAGTGGGGGTCAAGTAGAGGGTGGGATGGCAGTGGGGGTCAAGTACAGTAGAGGGTGGGATGGCAGTGGGGGTCAAGTAGAGGGTGGGATGGCAGTGGGGGTCAAGTAGAGGGTGGGATGGCAGTGGGGGTCAAGTAGAGGGTGGGATGGCAGTGGGGGTCAAGTAGAGGGTGGGATGGCAGTGGGGGTCAAGTAGAGGGTGGGATGGCAGTGGGGGTCAAGTAGAGTAGAGGGTGGGATGGCAGTGGGGGTCAAGTAGAGGGTGGGATGGCAGTGGGGGTCAAGTAGAGGGTGGGATGGCAGTGGGGGTCAAGTAGAGGGTGGGATGGCAGTGGGGGTCAAGTACAGTAGAGGGTGGGATGGCAGTGGGGGTCAAGTACAGTAGAGGGTGGGATGGTAGTGGGGGTCAAGTAGAGGGTGGGATGGCAGTGGGGGTCAAGTACAGTAGAGGGTGGGATGGCAGTGGGGGTCAAGTAGAGGGTGGGATGGCAGTGGGGGTCAAGTAGAGGGTGGGATGGCAGTGGGGGTCAAGTACAGTAGAGGGTGGGATGGCAGTGGGGGTCAAGTACAGTAGAGGGTGGGATGGTAGTGGGGGTCAAGTAGAGGGTGGGATGGCAGTGGGGGTCAAGTACAGTAGAGGGTGGGATGGTAGTGGGGGTCAAGTAGAGGGTGGGATGGCAGTGGGGGTCAAGTACAGTAGAGGGTGGGATGGCAGTGGGGGTCAAGTACAGTAGAGGGTGGGATGGCAGTGGGGTCAAGTAGAGGGTGGGATGGCAGTGGGGGTCAAGTAGAGGGTGGGATGGCAGTGGGGGTCAAGTGCAGTAGAGGGTGGGATGGCAGTGGGGGTCAAGTACAGTAGGGGGTGGGATGGCAGTGGGGGTCAAGTGCTGCTGACAGTTTTCCAAAGGGAACACTAAAATTCAGAGTACACCAGACAACCTCGTGGTCTGACACAGACCAAAATAAGAGTTACTGGGGTCAATTAGTGCATAACCACATTTACTTCATTTGGTGTATCTTTGTGTATGACATTATCAAACATTTAGGGTACTAATTATAAAATAATCTTAGGGCAGTAGGGAACTAATTATTAAATAATCACTGGGCATTAGGGAACTAATTATAAAATAATCTTAGGGCAGTAGGGAACTAATTATAAAATAATCTTAGGGCATTAGGGAACTAATTATAAAATAATCTTAGGGCAGTAGGGAACTAATTATAAAATAATCTTAGGGCATTAGGGAACTAATTATAAAATAATCTTAGGGCAGTAGGGAACTAATTATAAAATAATCTTAGGGCAGTAGGGAACTAATTATAAAATAATCTTAGGGCATTAGGGAACTAATTATAAAATAATCTTAGGGCAGTAGGGAACTAATTATAAAATAATCTTAGGGCAGTAGGGAACTAATTATAAAATAATCTTAGGGCAGTAGGGAACTAATTATAAAATAATCTTAGGGCATTAGGGAACTAATTATAAAATAATCACTGGGCATTAGGGAACTAATTATAAAATAATCTTAGTGCAGTAGGGAACTAATTATAAAATAATCTTAGGGCAGTAGGGAACTAATTATAAAATAATCTTAGGGCAGTAGGGAACTAATTATAAAATAATCTTAGGGCAGTAGGGAACTAATTATAAAATAATCTTAGGGCAGTAGGGAACTAATTATAAAATAATCTTAGGGCAGTAGGGAACTAATTATAAAATAATCTTAGGGCAGTAGGGAACTAATTATAAAATAATCTTAGTGCATTAAGGAACTTATTATACCATAATCTTAGGGCATTAGGGAACTAATTATAAAATAATCTTAGGGCAGTGGGGAACTAATTATAAAATAATTGTGGGGATAAGGAAATAAAGAGCAGAAGTTTGTTTGTGTTTTGTGGGGAGAGGGGGGGTATGTAAGGGTTAATATATAATCAACAAGATTAGTGCCCCACAAAGTGAGCAACCCACCTCCTTGCATGGACATCACAAGAGGCAGTGCTGCCCATGCAACAAGAGTTTCTTCTCCGTACTGCGGCCCAGTGGTGTTGTCTGTGCCGTCATTCGGTTTGTTCAACTGTTTCTTCAAGTAGAACCTGACCACAAGCAGCATGTCCCCAGACATCTTCACGTCTTGAAACGATGCTTCTTGCTGCCCAAACACGTGGTAGTTGTACTTAAAGTTGGAGCGCACGGCGGTGGTACTGCACATGACTGGGCTGACTGCTGACTGGACAATCTGAAACCAACAAAATGTCAGTCATAAGCAGAGTCACACAAGCAGAGTCACACAAGCAGAGTCACACAAGCAGAGTCACACAAGCCAAGAAAGCTCTGTACCTTCCCATTAGAATGATAATAAGCTGTAAGTCGCACTTTGCCTTCACCAAGCTCTGCGTGCTTCACCCGGTCGACTTGGAAGCCTAATGTCTGGTCCAAAGTCGTATTCGAGTTCTGGATCTGGGGCACTTTCAAATTCCTAAAGATGAAAAATTTTCATTTGAGGTGAATAAATATTAACACCAAAAATAAGTCTAGTATTTATAATCACAGCTTTATCAGAAATATTGCCACCAAAAATATGTCTTAGTTTTTGTAAGCACAGCCAAATTATTTCTAAAAAAAAATTAAGAAAGTTTTCCAACCCACTGTGTTCCTGATATTTGATTAGCTGTTTATTCAACACAAACTTTTCTATTTAAATTTACTCAATTGGTTCATGTTTTTAATGTACATGCCATTGAATGACGTTTTTTTTAAGTCAAATAAATTGACATGTACCCTGGCAGTACTAATTTTTTTTTTTTTACTGAAGACTCTTAACCATTGGACAAGTGGTCACCAGATCTGGTTATTAGGCTTATAATTTTAAATGTTGTAAGCTGCGTTGAATAGACATGCAGTTTTCTGTACTAAATGATAAATATAAGTTAATTCTATTGCACTTATTGTTTCTGTTACTAGATTATATTATCTCCAAAGTTTACATTTGAACTGTTGCTAGCATTATATTTATTTTCAAACTTAGTTTATGCAGCAGTAGATTAAACATTCTATTTTATTTAAATCTATTCCTAGTAGAGATGTAGCATAGGACTGTCTGATGGTGGTGGAATACATTATTATTAGATAGGTAGAGTTCAGATAGATATTTGTATAGATAGGTAGAGTTCAGATAGATATTTGTATAGATAGGTAGAGTTCAGATAGATATTTGTATAGATAGGTAGAGTTCAGATAGATATTTGTATAGATAGGTAGAGTTCAGATAGATATTTGTATAGATAGGTAGAGTTCAGATAGATTTGTATAGATAGGTAGAGTTCAGATAGATATTTGTATAGATAGGTAGCGTTCAGATAGATATTTGTATAGATAGGTAGAGTTCAGATAGATTTGTATAGATAGGTAGAGTTCAGATAGATTTGTATAGATAGGTAGAGTTCAGATAGATATTTGTATAGATAGGTAGAGTTCAGATAGATATTTGTATAGATAGGTAGAGTTCAGATAGATATTTGTATAGATAGGTAGAGTTCAGATAGATATTTGTATAGACAGGTAGAGTTCAGATAGATATTTGTATAGATAGGTAGAGTTCAGATAGATTTGTATAGATAGGTAGAGTTCAGATAGATATTTGTATAGATAGGTAGCGTTCAGATAGATATTTGTATAGATAGGTAGAGTTCAGATAGATATTTGTATAGATATGTAGAGTTCAGATAGATATTTGTATAGATAGGTAGAGTTCAGATAGATTTGTATAGATAGGTAGAGTTCAGATAGATATTTGTATAGATAGGTAGAGTTCAGATAGATATTTGTATAGATAGGTAGAGTTCAGATAGATTTGTATAGATAGGTAGAGTTCAGATAGATATTTGTATAGATAGGTAGCGTTGAGATAGATATTTGTATAGATAGGTAGAGTTCAGATAGATATTTGTATAGATAGGTAGAGTTCAGATAGATATTTGTATAGATAGGTAGAGTTCAGATAGATTTGTATAGATAGGTAGAGTTCAGATAGATATTTGTATAGATAGGTTGCGTTCAGATAGATATTTGTATAGATAGGTAGAGTTCAGATAGATATTTGTATAGATAGGTAGAGTTCAGATAGATATTTGTATAGATAGGTAGAGTTCAGATAGATATTTGTATAGATAGGTAGAGTTCAGATAGATATTTGTATAGATAGGTAGAGTTCAGATAGATATTTGTATAGATAGGTAGAGTTCAGATAGATATTTGTATAGATAGGTAGAGTTCAGATAGATATTTGTATAGATAGGTAGAGTTCAGATAGATATTTGTATAGATAGGTAGAGTTCAGATAGATTTGTATAAATAGGTAGAGTTCAGATTGATATTTGTATAGATAGGTAGAGTTCAGATAGATATTTGTATAGATAGGTAGAGTTCAGATAGATATTTGTATAGATAGGTAGAGTTCAGATAGATATTTGTATAGATGGGTAGCGTTCAGATAGATATTTGTATAGATAGGTAGAGTTCAGATAGATATTTGTATAGATATGTAGAGTTCAGATAGATATTTGTATAGATAGGTAGAGTTCAGATAGATTTGTATAGATAGGTAGAGTTCAGATAGATATTTGTATAGATAGGTAGAGTTCAGATAGATATTTGTATAGATAGGTAGAGTTCAGATAGATTTGTATAGATAGGTAGAGTTCAGATAGATATTTGTATAGATAGGTAGCGTTCAGATAGATATTTGTATAGATAGGTAGAGTTCAGATAGATATTTGTATAGATAGGTAGAGTTCAGATAGATATTTGTATAGATAGGTAGAGTTCAGATAGATATTTGTATAGATAGGTAGAGTTCAGATAGATTTGTATAGATAGGTAGAGTTCAGATAGATATTTGTATAGATAGGTTGCGTTCAGATAGATATTTGTATAGATAGGTAGAGTTCAGATAGATATTTGTATAGATAGGTAGAGTTCAGATAGATATTTGTATAGATAGGTAGAGTTCAGATAGATATTTGTATAGATAGGTAGAGTTCAGATAGATATTTGTATAGATAGGTAGAGTTCAGATAGATATTTGTATAGATAGGTAGAGTTCAGATAGATATTTGTATAGATAGGTAGAGTTCAGATAGATATTTGTATAGATAGGTAGAGTTCAGATAGATATTTGTATAGATAGGTAGAGTTCAGATAGATTTGTATAGATAGGTAGAGTTCAGATAGATATTTGTATAGATAGGTAGAGTTCAGATAGATATTTGTATAGATAGGTAGAGTTCAGATAGATTTGTATAGATAGGTAGAGTTCAGATAGATTTGTATAGATAGGTAGAGTTCAGATAGATATTTGTATAGATAGGTAGAGTTCAGATAGATATTTGTATAGATAGGTAGAGTTCAGATAGATATTTGTATAGATAGGTAGAGTTCAGATAGATATTTGTATAGATAGGTAGAGTTCAGATAGATATTTGTATAGATAGGTAGAGTTCAGATAGATTTGTATAGATAGGTAGAGTTCAGATAGATATTTGTATAGATAGGTAGCGTTCAGATAGATATTTGTATAGATAGGTAGAGTTCAGATAGATATTTGTATAGATATGTAGAGTTCAGATAGATATTTGTATAGATAGGTAGAGTTCAGATAGATTTGTATAGATAGGTAGAGTTCAGATAGATATTTGTATAGATAGGTAGAGTTCAGATAGATTTGTATAGATAGGTAGAGTTCAGATAGATATTTGTATAGATAGGTAGCGTTCAGATAGATATTTGTATAGATAGGTAGAGTTCAGATAGATATTTGTATAGATAGGTAGAGTTCAGATAGATATTTGTATAGATAGGTAGAGTTCAGATAGATTTGTATAGATAGGTAGAGTTCAGATAGATATTTGTATAGATAGGTTGCGTTCAGATAGATATTTGTATAGATAGGTAGAGTTCAGATAGATATTTGTATAGATAGGTAGAGTTCAGATAGATATTTGTATAGATAGGTAGAGTTCAGATAGATATTTGTATAGATAGGTAGAGTTCAGATAGATATTTGTATAGATAGGTAGAGTTCAGATAGATATTTGTATAGATAGGTAGAGTTCAGATAGATATTTGTATAGATAGGTAGAGTTCAGATAGATATTTGTATAGATAGGTAGAGTTCAGATAGATATTTGTATAGATAGGTAGAGTTCAGATAGATTTGTATAAATAGGTAGAGTTCAGATTGATATTTGTATAGATAGGTAGAGTTCAGATAGATATTTGTATAGATAGGTAGAGTTCAGATAGATATTTGTATAGATAGGTAGAGTTCAGATAGATATTTGTATAGATAGGTAGAGTTCAGATAGATATTTGTATAGATAGGTAGAGTTCAGATAGATTTGTATAGATAGGTAGAGTTCAGATAGATATTTGTATAGATAGGTAGAGTTCAGATAAATTTGTATAGATAGGTAGAGTTCAGATAGATATTTGTATAGATAGGTAGCGTTCAGATAGATATTTGTATAGATAGGTAGAGTTCAGATAGATATTTGTATAGATAGGTAGAGTTCAGATAGATATTTGTATAGATAGGTAGAGTTCAGATAGATTTGTATAGATAGGTAGAGTTCAGATAGATATTTGTATAGATAGGTTGCGTTCAGATAGATATTTGTATAGATAGGTAGAGTTCAGATAGATATTTGTATAGATAGGTAGAGTTCAGATAGATATTTGTATAGATAGGTAGAGTTCAGATAGATATTTGTATAGATAGGTAGAGTTCAGATAGATATTTGTATAGATAGGTAGAGTTCAGATAGATATTTGTATAGATAGGTAGAGTTCAGATAGATATTTGTATAGATAGGTAGAGTTCAGATAGATATTTGTATAGATAGGTAGAGTTCAGATAGATATTTGTATAGATAGGTAGAGTTCAGATAGATTTGTATAAATAGGTAGAGTTCAGATTGATATTTGTATAGATAGGTAGAGTTCAGATAGATATTTGTATAGATAGGTAGAGTTCAGATAGATATTTGTATAGATAGGTAGAGTTCAGATAGATATTTGTATAGATAGGTAGAGTTCAGATAGATATTTGTATAGATAGGTAGAGTTCAGATAGATTTGTATAGATAGGTAGAGTTCAGATAGATATTTGTATAGATAGGTAGCGTTCAGATAGATATTTGTATAGATAGGTAGAGTTCAGATAGATATTTGTATAGATATGTAGAGTTCAGATAGATATTTGTATAGATAGGTAGAGTTCAGATAGATTTGTATAGATAGGTAGAGTTCAGATAGATATTTGTATAGATAGGTAGAGTTCAGATAGATATTTGTATAGATAGGTAGAGTTCAGATAGATTTGTATAGATAGGTAGAGTTCAGATAGATATTTGTATAGATAGGTAGAGTTCAGATAGATTTGTATAGATAGGTAGAGTTGAGATAGATATTTGTATAGAT